TACACTACGTGCAAAATAAGATGGAAACGTGGTTTCGGCTCGTCGTGCATGCGGTGGGCGCATGCAGCCAACGCGTCTCCAAGCAACAAGGCATGTTTAGCAGTCGTGGAGAAATCACGTAGAGCGAAACCTCCCTATTGGCATGGGCAATCCCACATCCATGCAGTCAGTGTATAGCAGTACGCCAGTGTTGTACGACACAGTGTGGACGTATGGCGATGACGACAATAAGTACTAGACACAGTTTAGTTTAGTTGCTGAGCTACATTTTGGCCAAACGTTGCCGAAAGCTCATACCGTATGTCAGCGCCTTTAAAGCCATGGCCTTATATTCGAAACACCGTTGCTTTCCTAGCAATTTTTGATGCAAAATGACACACCCACTACGCCATGCCATAAAAGTCAAAGTCCACACAGATATTTCAATCGAAATCCACCTAGTCACCCTTCCTGCTGGGCTGTAAGTTTGTTAGCATAGTACCTATTCCTTCATTTTACCAAACATACTTCAGATGTCATTTTCAGTTATGAAGCCCATGGCTTTAGAAGTGAGACTGGCTTTATAATCGAATATAACTCCATGGCTTTAAAGGTGCGGACATACGGTACGAACCTTTGTTGCTCGAGGCCGTCACACCCAGATTGGATAAATCAGAATTTTCACTGTGCGCAACATCTACTTATTGTACGAACCTTCGTTGGGAGCATGCACGGGTTGTTTATTTTTGCGGCGAAATTTGCTCCCAATAACCAGGTGAACTATTTTCAGCTTATCAAGGGATTCCCTCCCCCCAAAAAGAACATACATAGTTCACAAAATGTCGGAGTTGGACTTCCAACAAAAATTCATACAGCTGTACAGTGCACAGAATAAGAAAGTCGTAGCCGGGTGCAGAGTACATGTACCACGTTGCAGGTTCTGCAGTGAGGAGAGTCACTGGAAAAAAATAAATCACGCTTCGAGACTCAGCTGGAGGCCGAGTTTTCCGCATCCGCAGGAACACCACTGGAAAAGTAACCATAATTTAATTTGACCCGCACTGCGAGGAGCGTACCACCAACCAGATTAGTGCGCAGGCACACACAAGTCACGTCACGGCCCCACGCTATCAATACATGCACTGTGGAACGTTGCAGCGGGCAGCAAAACAGACGGAAAGGAAACACAGCCGCGCATACTCACTCTCATGCGCAGGCTGAGGCCAATGAGTGGAAGCGGCATGATAGTTTGATCCGGCATGACCTGCTTCATAGCCACAGCCAGGGCAGCGACCAGACCTCCCATGCCATTGAAAGTGGTAAACCTAGCCAACGAGCACATGCATACACAACACAATAGAGCGGTCATACATACACAACACAATAGAGCAGCCATGCATTCTTTTCTCACATAAATTTCTACGATTGGATAACGAACGCCCATTTTCGGAAAATTGATGCACAAAGTGATCACAGATTTTACGTGGTATAGATGCTGGCCTAACGGTTTTTTGAAAGCAGAGGTCTGGACTTTCGAAACGCACCATAGTCACATGTACCTTGCCTTTCAGACTAGTATACAGGCTTACTACAGTGCTGCTCGACATAATCCGACTACAGAGTCAAGTAGGTGCCGGGCGCTGTGGAGCCCTAGGCTAGACCTGCGGACACTGAGATGTTCACTGGTGCAGGGCGCAACTCGGCTCGCGCCATCGAATGTCATTGAGCAGTACTCTAGTAGCACACATAACCTGTGAACGGTGAGAGTACTACAACCTACAAGACCCTGCATACATGTATGTAGCCATAGCTGCCAGCTGGTTACTACTACGCTGGGAATAGAAGGGAACTCAACAGGCTGCGCCAGCAATAGAAATACCCCAACACCATCATGGGCGCGTAGCACAGTCAAACAGCGACAGACTCTCCATCTAGCCCCACCTGACAGCTAACACACAGTAACCGTCAGCGACACAAAGACTGAGAGATGCTGAACAGTTTCAGTTGGACACCTGGACTTACAGGTATGCTTCTTTGCGGATCAGGACATAGATGAAGAAGTACACCAGAATGACGGCGATGGAGGTCAATACTTGCACTAGTACGATGAATCTCTGCAGTGCATATAGACACGCATAAAGACTTCAAATCAGTGAATCTCTGCAGTGCATATAGACACGCATAAAGACTTCAAATCAGGCTGTAAGAAACAAGGACAGTGGACTATCCTCGACCACTCCTGGATCATGTCTCAAAAAATAAAACAAAGAATCAAAGATGCAGAGGAACTTGCGTGCTTTACAATGACAGTGTTACCCATCTCACATCATAAACAGTGCACACGTACACGTGCGTACACACGCACATGCACACACACACACACACACACACGCACACGCACACACACACACACACACACACACACACACACACACACACACACACACACACACACACACACACACACACACAGGCATAGCAGCAACAACAGCAGCATGAGCAAACACACAATGTTCATGTCAGCTTTCCACACATCACTAAGCACTATCTACTGCATAACATTTCACATTGCACCAACATTCTTAATCCTTGGTCAATAACTGTTTATGCTACTTACAATGAACTCTTCGCCACCCCATAGCGGCTGTAAAGTTGCACTGCTTGATAGCAGAGCCACGAAATCCAGCAGCACCTAGTATATCAACACACATGTGTACACACATACACATGCACACACACACACACACATGCACACACATGTGTACACACACACACACACACATGCACACACATGTGTACACACACACACACGTGTACACACATACACGTGTACACACACATGTACACACACACACACACACACACACATGCACACACACACACGCACACATACATGTGTACACACACACGTGCACACACACACACACACACACACACGTGCACACACACACACACGTGCACACGCGCACACACACACACACACACACACATACACACACACACACATCTCACACACACATACACACACACACATCTTACACACACACACACACACACACATCTCACACACACACACATGCACATACACACACATGCACATACACAAGCACACACACGCACACAAAAGTGCGATCGCACATTAGTGTTGCTACTTAGCCATTGCTCATCCATATTACAGCCCGGCGAATCATTGCTCATCCACATTACAGCCTGGCCAATCATTGCTCATCCACATTCCAGCCTGGCCAATCATTGCTCATCCACATTACAGCCTGGCCAATCATTGCTCATCCACATTACAGCCTGGCCAACCATTACTCATCCACATTACAGCCTGGCCAATCGTAGCTCATCCACATTACAGCCTGGCCAATCATAGCTCATCCACATTACAGCGTGGCCAATCATTGCTCAGATACATTACAGCCCAGCCAATCACGGCTCATCCACATTACAGCCTGGCCAATCATTGTTCATCCATATTACAGCCTGGCCAATCATTGCTCATCCACACTACAGCCTGGCCAATCATAGCTCATCCACATTGCAGCCTGGCCAATCACGGCTCATCCACATTACAGCCTGGCCAATCATTGCTCATCCACATTACAGCCTGGCCAACCATTACTCATCCACATTACAGCCTGGCCAATCGTAGCTCATCCACATTACAGCCTGGCCAATCATAGCTCATCCACATTACAGCGTGGCCAATCATTGCTCAGATACATTACAGCCCAGCCAATCACGGCTCATCCACATTACAGCCTGGCCAATCATTGTTCATCCATATTACAGCCTGGCCAATCATTGCTCATCCACACTACAGCCTGGCCAATCATAGCTCATCCACATTGCAGCCTGGCCAATCACGGCTCATCCACATTACAGTCTGGCCAATCATTGCTCATCCATATTACAGCCTGGCCAATCATTGCTCATCCACATTACAGCCTGGCCAATCATAGCTCATCCACATTACAGCCTGGCCAATCATTGTTCATCCATATTACAGCCTGGCCAATCATTGCTCATCCACATTACAGCGTGGCCAATCATAGCTCATCCACATTACAGCCTGGCCAATCACGGCTCATCCACATTACAGTCTGGCCAATCATTGCTCATCCATATTACAGCCTGGCCAATCATTGCTCATCCACATTACAGCGTGGCCAATCATAGCTCATCCACATTACAGCCTGGCCAATCACGGCTCATCCACATTACAGCCTGGCCAATCATTGCTCATCCATATTACAGCCTGGCCAATCATTGCTCGTCCACATTACAGCCTGGCCAATCATAGCTCAGATACATTACAGCCCAGCCAATCATTGCTCATCCATATTACAGTCCGGCCAGCCATTGCTCATACACATAAATGCATGTATCAACATAATAATATCACCACATCACTATGCAGACAAGTTGTAAAAACACACTAACAGTGGAGTTTCAAAGTTCTCGACAACAACAACAACAAAATAAAGGATGAACAGTGATCAACTATAATTGTAGACCTTACATAGACTAAGTGTTGCTCATAGAACCCAGCGGTCAGTGCTGTCCATATTTTGAACTGGGGCAGAAACCTGGTCATCCAGTCACACAGCCACATGCATATGCACACACAAACGCAGATGCATGCACACACATATGCATACGCACACACATACACACACAGCCACACATACACTTACATGCACACACACACACACACACACATACACACACACACACACACAAAATGGGTGAACATTGCAAGTGACGTATGCAGCAAACTCCCTTGTCTGTGCTGCTCACCGAATTCAAAATGCGTTACGAGACGCCCTGGATAAGAAGACCTTATCAAACCTGTTTGCAAAGTGCCGCCACTTAGTTGGACATTTCAAGCATTCCGCCTTGAAAACTGGCCAGCTTGAAGATAAGCAACGTCTGGTTGGTGCGAAGGAAGTGAAGCACCTGGTTCAGGATTGTGCAACGAGATGGAACAGTGTGTACCTGATGTTGGATCGTCTTGTCCAGCTCAAAGTGCCTGTGCAGTTGGTCCTTGCGGATATGCCAGACAAAGATCGCCGCTCCATGGACTTGTCCGCAGACCAGTGGGCCACTGCTGAACATCTCCTCGATTTCCTGAGGTCGGTGGACCAGGTGACGACATCTTTGGGCGGTGAGCAGTACTCAACCCTGTCCTAGCTTCTTCCCCTACTGACGGCACTGAAGTCCCATTGCCAGACCGGAGATGATGACGACCTGCTGGTAGTGGCATGCGTGAAGCAGGCATTTGCGGATAGTATAACTAGGCGCTTTCATTTGGATGGCTTAGATGTTAACGGAGAGGCAGTGCTTGCTGCTGCGTTGGACCCTCGGTTTCGGGCTCTAAAGTTCCTCGACTTGGAGCAGCAACATGAAGTGCAGCAAACGCTCATCAGCTACGCAAGTGTCGGCTGCTCGCCCTGCACGGAATCTTCAAGCTCTAGCTCCGAGCCACCAGCAAAACGCCGCTGCCTCCTGGATCAGCTGCTTTGCGACGACGGTGAGGATGAGGATAGCGAGGGATCCATCGAAGCAGAGGTAGCAGCTTATCTGGCTGAAAAGCCAGTCAAGCGCTCTGTTGACCCTCTGTTGTGGTGGAGCACAAATGCTGCCCGATTTCCCCGCCTGGCTCCACTCGCACGGAAGTACTTGTGCATTCCAGCAACTTCTGTTGCATCTGACCGCGTGTTTTCCTTTGCTGGGCAGATCGTCGACAAGCGCCGGAGCAAGTTGTCTGCAGAAATGATCGATGCACAAGTCTTTCTGCACAAGAACGCCCACATCATCGATGTACGAGTTCCTGCGCCACCGAAGCCGGCCATGCCACTTGTCTTGGCTGCAGTCGAAGACGATGATGAACCTTCACTGCCAGATCTTCTTTCACAGCCAATTGAATTATAGATAGTTCATGCTCTCTCTCCCTGTGTGTGCGTGTATGTGCATGTGCGTGCGTGTATGTGTGTGCCTGCCTCTCTCTCTCTCTCTCTCTCTCTCTCTCTCTCTCTCTCTCTCTCTCTCTCTCTCTCTCTCTCTCTCTCTCTCTCTCTCTCTCTCTCTCTCTCTCTCTCTCTCTCTTTCTCTCTCTCTTTCTTTCTTTCTCAAGAAGAAGATTCATTCTGGTTAGAAATGCGTCCAGAATGCCCGTAAAAGAGACTTTGTGCTTACCATCATAACCAGTGACAATGCAGTGGCAATGTTCTTGTAAAAAGTGTATGGCTTGCTAAAGGGTACCCGATAACCCGCCCGTTAAGCCAGGTACCCGTTTGTTAGCTTAAAGGGTAACCGTTTCACCCCTACAGCAAAGAGACCATGTTTGAGTGTTTGAGTTGGGGGACCATAATGTGTAAATGGCTGCAGTTTTGTGTTTAGAAAAGTACTCAAAACGATTGGAAAATGTCGACTACACACAGCTGCGCATGCAGAGGACCGTGCACGATGCATGCACTGCATTCTCCTAAACCGATACACCATCTTTGACATGCCGGTGCCAGATTCGTTCGGATTTCGCTTGCTGTTGTTGTTGCTGTTGTTCTTGTTGTGTGTGTGTGCACGCGCGCGCGCGCGTGCGTGCGTGCTTGACACACCCTACACCCCCCCCCCCCCCCCCACATACACACACACACACGCGCGGGCGCGCGTAAGCACACCGCATCAGCATGCGTACACATAATTATAGGGAAGAAATGGCACCTCATTGGATTCATGTTTTGGCAGATAGAGACTACTGTAGTATACAGATGCTCATCACGTTACCATATACATGCATAGGTTTTCCCCTTACGTTCCAGCAGAGATGGCAAGGTTTTTTACAGACACACCAGGAGCGAGGCCCACCAGGTACAAAACTGTCAGGCACACGCAGACGATCTTCACAACTGGCGCAGAGTCAACGACAGTTTTGGCCACCTGGGCATGGGGCAGCATAATTGTACACAGATGTCACCATACCGTACCTAGCTTAATGCACAATGGCCACCACATTTGAATCACTTTCGTGCACAACTGTCAACAGAATGCAAGCAAAATTCAGACACAAGACACCCAAACTAACCTGGTTAGCAAGAGGCCTTGTTCCTTGTCCAGTGGCCATGAAAGCTTCAAGGCACCTGGGTAGCAGCTCACGTTGATAGAAAGAAGCAAGCTCCAACGCAAGAAACGAGAGGTACTTTACAGATGTTTATTCATTGCTCAAGCTTCAACTATAGGCCAAGGGACTTCTGGGATCAATGTGGTATCGATACCCAAACATTTCTTTGGCTTCGACTTTGACTCCGAGTTTGAGCGCAGCGCCGCCAGCTCTGTGTAGTATGTACGTGCGTAGCATGTGACTGATTGCCACATGAAAAAAATACAAAAATTAATAATTATTGTATTTCTAAAATGATGTAATGCATCATAAGAACGACGTAATCATGGTCATGTGGTAATGACTCAATACTCGGATACTGACTATTGCCATGCCAGTGAGTGCAGTGCACCCAGGACCGTACTCTGTCTGACTGAGTGAGTCGTCAAATTTTTTTAATATTTTGACTACTCCCTGCATGCGCTATAGGTCTTTTGCCAAATAAGACACGCAGTGACTTGGCGGGGCATGGTATGCGTACTGAATGCGTGACCCAGGCACGCCATACATGCAGTGCATTCCTCCCAGCGCGAGCTCTTGTTCTGGAACCGCAACGATCAATCACCGCGTTTGGCGTGTACTCACCCAGGCGGCCAGAAAAAACGAGACTCTCCTGGATCGGAAAAAAACTGACAGCGAAGGATTCTGTTTTCTTCTCGCTTCTTCATTGCTGTCCGATATGTAGAAAGGGTTTTTTTGCATTTACTTCTTGCTGGACCTTTGTGATATGTTTGATACATGGCTGATGAAGCGGTCAATGAGCCGAGCACTTCATCTCTTGTGGCGGTACGTTGTGATGAAGGGAATGTTGATAGTAGTCCTGCGAGGGAGAATCAAGTTGAATTAGCGATCCCAAAGCTCGGTTGTTGATGCCTTTGGACAACGAGTCCTTTAAAAAATGGACAATCAACCAGTTGAAGACTTACCTGCGAGCTAGAGGAGCCGGAGTGTCCAGGAAACGGGGTGATTTGCTCGATCGGTAAGTACCACTTCAGGATGCAGTCTTCAACATTTCGCACAAGAAAAAGTACATTTATCGATACATGTTTTACATTCTAACTTTCTCCATCTGTTCAGGGCCTGGTTCTATCACATCGATACTGTGCACTCCAGATATATTTGGCGGCAGGCATCGGCAAGGAAAGCGGAAAACCGCTGCCATTCAGAGCATTGTTGACGCTGAGCTCGTGGAAGCCCAGCGACGCAATGAGCATATCGTCCCTCTAGCAGCTACATTTCGTCCTAGTTTTCCTGAAACTGGGTCCAGCTCTGCTCTACCAAAGGACTTATAGTATGGCTGCAAAGATACTTTTATATTCGCCCTTGTAAGTCTGTTGTGACCATGGAAATTGATAAACCGCCATGCGCCAGCACTAATATTCATCAAGAGGGGTATTATTATTATTCATTGCACTTTTTGCAAATATTGCAATCTAAATTATATCATACTATCCACATTTATACCCACTAAGTCATTAGCTGCTCCGTATTGTGCATGATTGTTCAGGCATGACAAAATTCGTGTTGCTGAAGATCAATTCGCCATGCAATGCTAGCAACAGTTGGCATGGAAAACATATTTGCTTCAGCAAGTAAAGGAGCCTAGAATACTGTGAGCAGGCAGCGAACAATCCATATCTGAATGATGGTAGGGAAAAGAATTGTTGGAACGATCTTTGAAAAGATAGAGAACTCCCTGATTCGCACCATCAGACACTCAACATGAATTCGTAACGTGGCAATTTGTTGCGTTTTCTGGACATCTTCTAAGGCCATCTGTTGCTTGATCGCTTGAACGGGGGAATGTTCAACTTTACGCCATGTGGCACCAAGAGATCCCGGATGTCAAATCCTTGGTCTGCCATAATCAAAGTCCCATAGCCGGCTACTGGCAGAATATCATAAGTAGTGGCTTCTGATTGTGAGCTCGTGGTCACTGGTGGATCCCGTAAATGACTTGGAGGTAAGCACTGCACCACCATCTGGGGTCATACGGATGAGGCACGTCAAGGTAGTAACGTTATGCGTCTTATATTAGCTGTAGAGTTGCGACTGCGCAGACAGACTGGAAGCGATATTACATTTCAGCACTGTAGCATCTATGATCATGAATGTTGTAGGATTATTATTATTATTATTATTATTATTTATTACAACATCTCAAGACTCGTCAGAAACACCGGCCAATGTTACGAGAGTGGGTGATTGCCAACCACGGCGATAAATAGAAATAAGGGGAGGGAAAAAGAAAGAGTAGCAAAATGAACAGCAACAACAACTCCGTAAAGAAAGATAATGTCAAATAAAAACAGTGAAGAACACAGAGACGCAAAGGACATGTAGATAATGAGCTATGTATGTCGTAGTAAATAAGGGGCGGCACGGATCTTAAACAGGCGGAGTGAGGTCAGGTCCTTAACTTCTCTGGGTAGATTGAGCCAAACAGAATAAGCAACAAAGAGAGGGGAGCGCAAAAGAGTGGATGAGTTACACTTAGGAAGTAAGAGCGAGTTTCTAGTTCTTAGAGAAGAGGACCAATTAAAACACATGAGATGAGGTGGGCACAACTCAAGCTTAATAGAATGGACAAGAGAAGCCAGGTGTGCACTGCGTCCATGTGATAACTGGGTTGTGTGAGCGATTTTATAAAGGGCGGATGATGAGAGCATGCGGGGTTGACGGAGGAGAATTTTAAGGATTTTCTTCTTTTCAGCTTTTTGAAAACATCCAGCAATCGTTCTGCCACTTGGGAAGGACGCGGCGAGATTGGTATGTGTGCCGTGGCGAAGACTAACCATGGTAATGAAAAAAATCTCCAAGCCAATTAACTTAATCTTCCGTTCATCACCGGGTTTCCTTTTCCGGGAATCGGCATCCACTGGTTTACTGCGAAAGGAAAGACGCTCTTATAATCAAGGTGAAGAAATTGAATACATGCATCAAACGCAGCAAGCAAAGGAAAACCAGTGTAGTACTGAATGTCAGAGTCTTCAAACCGAGCTAAATCTCCAGGCTGAACTCCACTTGGATATCGTCGATAGCGACTATAGTATTCATCAGTGAATTGGTTAGAACACACCACTATATTGTATGACATGATGGTACCCGTAGCCATTCCGCTTATCTCGACGAATGGCGGCAATCCAAGACTTTCTTGTGTCCAACTCGTCACTTCTCACGCTCTTAGCTTCTCCAGTTTTCGATTCCCTGCTAGCAGGGAAGACATTGAACAAAGTATTTTGTCTGAACGTCGGTCGCTGTTGCACTGCGGAACGCAGCAGTGATCGCCTTTCCCATGGCTAAAACATCTGGAGAGATCTTCTAGAAAACAAAACTAAATCCTTTACAAGAACTAGGCAGAGAAAATCCAGTGACCGTCCTCATTATATTATTCTAGAATGTCGATCGCGATCGCTTGAAGAAACATAGTTTTTGAAAGACACAAGCAAAACAAAATAAGTCACTATTTTCTCGACGCGTAGGTGAGTACACGCCAAACGCGGTGATTGATCGTTGCGGTTCAGGAACAAGAGCTCGCGCGTGACTCGTAATGCACTGCATGTATGGTGTGCCTGGGTCACGCATTCAGTACACATGCCATGCCCCGCCAAGTCACTGTGTGTCTTATTTGGCAAAAGACCTAATCATAGTACAGATTGACTAGTACTGAGCATTGCAGCAAGCCTTGCTACTATCAGATCGCCTCCTGCCCGGGAGTCCTGGGAATCGGGCCTCCGCACACATCCGTATCACACATGCCGGTATTTTACGCCTCCCTGCCTTGTATATACACATGTACATGTATGTACTTGCAGTCGAGTACAACCCCCTGGGGGGTTGTGGACCGTCTTGACTGCACATCTGTTTTCAGTGTTACTTGATCGGGCTCGTCTTCTTCAATCGAAACAGCTTCTCACGGTCTGCCGGGTGTCTGCCTGCACGCACGCACACACATCTGTGGGCGTACCGCATCATCACAGCACGAGTTGTTCGCCAGGGCTCGGTCAGAAATCGGCATTTTTGAACTCGCGGCTATTTTTGAACTCGAACTCCTTATGTGTACTCTCGGCAATCAAACGCAAATAATCCACGGGCATTCGATCAAATTAGCATTCAGTTGTATGATGGAATATCAACTTGATTTTGAATACAGGCCGCGATCATGCAGTTACGGCTAGGGTGCTCAAACTGATACTGGCTAGCCAGGACTGTTGGTGGGATTCCAAGTGCGGTCTACTGAAATGACAAACATTGCATACTCCGCACAGTACAATGTACTCGTACTTCAGAAATAGATCAGATATATCCCAAGTAGTACCCTATTCGGGAATGGTTATTAAACCAGCGAAAGGTAGGATACTGCGGGTCTCTCTCTCTCTCTCTCTCTCTCTCTCTCACACGCACATACGCAGGCACACACACACGGGACCACTCTACATAGTAGGTTAGCATTAGACTTGTCATAATGCCATCGTAATTATGCATCAAGCCGCAATGTAGCTGGTCCTCTCAGTGCTGCTTTGGTCTGAAACCAGCATATTCAGAATGAAGTTCAATGAACCGTGATCAAGTGTGTAACTCAGTGTTTCGGTCGATGGCGTTGTATGTAGTCCCGTGTTTCCCGAAGTGTGGTGTAGCGAAATTGCCGCCTTGGAATGCCAGAGTCGAGATCACATCCGCCGTTAGACGGCAAACGAGCCTGATTCGGAACGTCTTTGCACTGGCAAGGTTTACCGGCCGACTGCGTGCAGGTTAGCGAGTGGTAGCGCAAGCGGGCAGCCTCCATGTAGCGCTTGGTGCTGGTTATCTGCTGGCGGAGCATGTCGGTAATGGCTAGCGCGACGGGACTGTAGGCCGTGACTGCTTCCAGTGATTCGGCACTCACTACGTGCTCTGCTAGTGGCCGTGAGTCCACAGTGGCCATGCCCAGTGGAGTCGCCGACGCCACAGCACACGGAAACGCTTGCCAGATGAGAGGGATGTCCGCACTGCTGGTCTGAACTTCCTTATCAGCACACACGACGCCTTTGACTGCAGCAGCAGGGCGTGGCGCCGCGGCGCTGGCAACTGCATCGGCTTGGTGGGTTCTTCGACGGTCGTCCATAGTTCCTTCTGCGTCGTCGGTCATGACATCGGAGCCTGCAGTTCTGCAAAACGAATCATCAGAATAGTCGTACTTAGCAGTGGCGTCACTTTCAGCGGTGTCACTTTCAGTGGTACCACTTTCAGCGGTGTCTATGTGAGAGGTGCCAACCGTGATATCAGAATCAGCACTTGCACTTGAATCGGACTCCCGGTGTGTGAGTGTTTGCGACGAGGGGACATTTTCCGACTCACTGTCACTGGCGTTCTGGGCATCGCTTTCAGGGATGCTGCTTGCAGAGCCTGTGCCAAGGGAACAATCAGATTGCCTTGGTGTTACTACTGAGTCTGGTGAACTCACATGGGATCGGGCTGAACCTGTTTCATCTGACCCGCCACTACCGGCCTGATCAGATGAGCTGGCATCGTCCGAATCTGTTTCAAATTCATCCGTGTAGACACAGTCCTCCGAGTATTCGTCCCCTACAGGTAACTTCTCGCTCGACTGTGCGGTACTTGTGCCAGAAACCCCGCTTCCCTCTGCCAGTTCATTCGGACTATCGGTGCTGGAAACCAAATCGTCCAGTGCTAGAAGCAGATCGAGCCTGGAGTCTGCGTCACTTTCAACAATAGTCCTAGTACTTTTACTTCTAGGTGAATCTTGACTTTTCGATTCAGTAATTGTCGACGTAACTTCCTCGCTCGATGCGGTATCAACCGATGGAGGAGCTTTGGCGATCGTTGGGCTCAGATCATCTATCGCGAGGTCAGAAATGGTGCTCAAGTCGTTCACCGATAGAAGGTTGTTTATTTGAGAATTAGTTTCACTGAGACTGCTAGTTGTGATCGTGCTCCCAGTAGAGCCCGTAAGTTCAGTTGAATCACCTGCATGTTGCATCTGCACAACCGACTGAGGTCGGCTCTGCATAGAATCTGGCAGAGACAGCGTTGGGATATTCAGCGGGTCACCCAGATGACCCGTAGAGAGTGGTGACTGACCGACCAGCCTTGCACTCCGTGTAGTATCAGCTGAACTTTTGGCAGAAACCTCGTGTAGGTCGAGCGTGCTTCCAAACTCAGATGACGATGATACGCTTTTGCGCAAGCCCAGAGTGCCGTCAGAAACACCGGATGCCCTACTTGCAGCTCTGCTGCTTGCAAGCTCGAGCTCATCAATGTTCATCATGTGGTGGCCAGCAAATGACGCGGAAGATGTAGGGCTTTCCTCAGAGCCAGAGCCAGAGCCAGACGAGGCCATGTGAAACGAGCTTGTCATAGAGAGCTCCAGCTCAGAAGCTGCCGATGAGCCGACGTCATGGAACATATCTCCATCGTCAAGCGACAATGCAAGCGAAGCCGTGTCCCGGCTGTCCAAGAGCTGCGTGCGTGTATGGCCTTGGCGAGCAGATGCTTGTTCCTTTGTCATTCGTACAGGATTCACCCTTGTTTGGCGAGCGTCGAAACGGGCCATGTGGCCGCCCGACTCCGGCGAGTCCTCCAAGCTATCTGGAGACCGGGTTTCCATTGCCCCAGCGCCTGCCATTGACATTCCGGTCACACTCAGTGCTGAGCTCAGAGGCAGAGGGGACAGGCCGACCAGAGGATTCGTTCCAGCCGCTGAAAGTGATAAGGCGGCGATATCCAGACTATTAGCTGTCCCCGCTGGCAGAGGCCGGCGGGTGCTACCCTTAGGTCTGCTAGCTACGGCTGGTTTCAGGCCTGAATTGGAACTATCGGATATGTCACTCATGGACATGGACGAGTCTAGATCCAAATCACCAGTGTCTGCAGTACCAGTGGGGTCCATTGTAATTGGTTCATTGGGCTGCATCGCGCTGTATCGCGATGCCCGCTGACCAACCAGCCCATGTTTCCTGCTGCTACGGCCTGCCACGCTTGCTCTCTGGTCACGTTCCTGCTGAAACAGGCTAGAAGAGTGCATTGTACCACTTGGAGCCAAGAGACGGCTGGCTGCGAGGCGGCTTGACCCGGCGGCACTGCGGTGTGTTGATGCTCTGCTTGGCGGTTCAGTATCAGCAGAAGTCGCCTGCTCTCTCTTTGTCTGGAGCTGGGTGCTTCCATGGATGTTAAAGGAGCCTCCAGGCCCCCTCTGCAGACCTGGGCCAAGGGCACGGCTGCCGCGACTAAAGCTACCTTGCATCCCAAACCTCGCTCCACTCGACGCCGACACAGCAGCAGACGGTTTTCCATTTGTTGCAGGTGTTGGCGAGCTGGAACCACGTAGGTACGCAGCCAATGCTGCTTGGTCGTCTTCGTCGTCGCTACCATCCAGCAGAGATTTGAATTTCGGCATCGCTACGGTACTTGCTGTTGCAAAATGATTATAAACTCGGTAAAGTCATAAGTTCCACCAAGAGCTGGATCTATGATCTCTTGGTTATACCAATGGAGTGTCGAGTGAACCAGTCTACTGATCAGAATATGAGATTGATTCGCTCCACGGAGCGACCAATTTCAGTGCCAAAGGCAGGGTCGTTCGTAGTATCCATTGACGGCGTCCCAAACTACCGGTAACCGGCGTTAGGCTAGTGAAAAGCAAAGAGCCAAAGACTCATCTGATTAGCCACAAACCTGAGCTATTCTCGACCATTCTAATGCGCAATGGTGGAGGACAGTGATTTCCATTCAAACTGCGGCAGCCCTGGCGAGGCATGCCGCCCATGCTGGGCGCACAAGTAAATAATTAGTTGGTTGAACTGTCTGAAAAAAAGAACTTCTCTAAGACAATACTACTTATTACTAAAAAATACTAGGGGAGCACAGCGAATCATCGGGTCCCTGTGGCATTTGCAGTACTACAGTCAGCTTTTGCTCTACCAACCAGGTCAGCCTGGCATCATGCAAGAAAGGAGTCAAACTGCCAGTCCCCGTTTTTGTTTTTCTGCTTCTTCACGACTCCCAGTCACCGCCGCAGTACATGATCTACTGGCACCTAGCGATTGTACTGTAGTGTAGACAGTGTAGTGACAGTAGTAGTAGGGACTTCAATTGAAAAATCAAATTCGCGAGTTTTGCATAAAACGCTAGTTTTTCTAAACCGGGAAGAATCGAGAAACAACCTGTGAAAATTTGAACCCAAAATTCCAAGGCAATCTAGAGTTATAGTCGATTGAAGATCGGAAAACGGGGGAGAAAGTAGTCACAGAAGTAAATGCAAGTATGTATGGGAGCCGTGTGGTTTCCGTCCAGCACTGCACTATCTGGTGCACATACATGGCGATACAGGATGTGTGCATGCATGCAGTGTGCACGCATGCCGTGCGCGCCGACTTGCACAAGTCACACGTTTTCACCGTCACTGCTTCTACCAGTGTGCGCGCAGTTCACTCGATTTTTTCGTCTACCACCAGGAAATCGCCGTGGGCTGGTTTCTGTGATCATTTTCCTTCTACGGCGATAAAGCGCGAGCCTCAATGTTGTAGAATCCTTTTGGTTTAGGCTAATTCGAGGCCGCTGAACACGAAAACCGGGTGTTCCTCGCGAAGCCGAGTACGGATCTGGTCGAAATTAGTACTTCGAAGTGCACCCGCGCCAAGCGCGGAGGCATTATTTTTGGAAGCATGGCATGTGTGGCACCATTGGAAAGGTAATGACCTCAGCTACCTAAAAATAGCATCGACAAGGCCGAAAAGGCCGCGGGAGAAGATACTCGGGCCGCGAACTGCATCTCGAACTGCAGCCACGAGGCGCCCATTCACTTTGTACAGGCGAGCTGTGACTGCACTTTTCGCTTTTCAGTGACCGGAACTGAACTCCCTAGTAGTAGTGTAGTCTCAGTCATTTTGTAGACTTCATGCATTGCTTCATCCTGTCTTCATGGTGACCAGACTCGCCACACTTCCATCATGTAGATCTACCAGTAAACCATCAAATAATTAAAAAAGGTCCCAGGCGTTTTTGCATGGTTTCTGAAGGACATTGAGTACTATTATAGGGGTTCTCTGCGACTGACTGTTACGGTGGGTAGAAGGCACCCTAGTCCTTAGCCAACAGAAGCTCAACTGCAAACAGCTAGCGCTACATGAACGCATTCGTCCTTGTCAGAGCACACTCACCAAACAGCATTACCACCACACTGCACATCGCCAGAGAGAAGCCATCGGTCGATAGCAACATAAAATTTTCATCAGTTCTGGCAAAACCAAAGAACCTACCTAGCAGATGGATGGAAATTAGAAAACGAGATAGGGTTAAAATAGAATAGAATATAGATACATTCGTAGTGGCATTGCTGCCACAAGTATGCTTGTAGCTATTATGAAAACAGTCCGTTCAGAGTAGTCAAGCTGGATTTCAGCTTGAGGCTATGCTGAACACAGTCTGGTCAGACGGTAGGTACTCTAGCTGGATTTCAGTTTGTGGCCGGCAGTGGTGGTAGTGGATGATGAGGACGAGGTGGACGGCAAACTGAACTGGATGTTGTGCAGCAGGAGCACAAACACGCAGAAGTGGAAACAGCAGAACACGGCCCAGACCAGCGGGAAGAGGTCGGGCAGGCGCCGCGGTGGCACGACGGTCGCTTCCAGTGCGTGCAGTGACAGCATACCGGCAAAAGAAATGGCCACCTGCACGGAATAGAAACATACCGGTAGGTACAAAACCAGCATACCCGTATTAGGGAGAATTTCAACCCTTGGGGACTCGATCGATCGATAGCGCTCAATGAGCACTAGTATATACTTTATTGCAATCCCTTTAAAGTATACACAAACATTGTTGTTTTTAGACATCTATTGTCTGCCGATTCCTTTTCCTTCTTGGTCCATCAGTGCTCCTGGATCATCCATTGCTCCTTGGATTCATTTCACAGTGGAAATTCGTGAGTGCGCAACCTACAAGTCTGAATGTGCCCAGCAGGATATGGCGGTGGACAGTGAAGAAATTCCTCCAGCAACACCTCTTTGGTGGCTGAGTGCATTTTGCCGTCTGGTCCAATCTCGCAAGCAGCAAGCCGATTGCCAAAACTCACTGTTGGTTGTGAAAGCGGCAGCACCATGGTTAGACTAGATGGCAAGTCTGTTCCAGCATGGACCTGCGATGAGATGGAGTCAAGCTTCTGTGATTGGCTGAATGAAGGACAGCATCCTGTTCTACTTGTGGCCAATGATTAAGTCCACGCTCTCAAGTAATGACCGCCCGTCTCTTTCTCAGTTCATCAGGCGACTACGTAAGCCAACTTCCACCGGTGCTCCCATAACCTCAATGCAGAGACCGGACGGCAGTATTGCTCATGATACTAGGGACATTGCAAACTTGCTCAACGTGCATTTTACCACTGTCGCACCTAGTGACGACCCACAATGGTGTGTGCCATCTCTTGCGGAACACTCTGCTATTCTGTCCTCACTTGATTCCTTCCAGACCTCCCCATCCACAGTTAGGACCGTCATTAACAAGTTGAAAATCAATAAATCACCTGGTTTTGACGGTCTTCCCAATGAAGTTCTTCCCAATGAACTTCATTGGGAAGACTGATGGTGGAGAGAGGAGACGAAATTGGAGGTGCCAGACGTTTAAAAACGCACCTTCAATTTCGTCTCCTCTCCCCACCATCTTCAACCTCTCCTTTGCAAGCGGCGTATACCCATTTGTTTGGAAGTTTGCTGTTGTCACTCCCATTTATAAGAATAAAGGTTCTCGTCAGTACACTACCAATTATCGCCCCATTTCGCTGCTACCAAGTTTGTCGAAAGTATGTGAACGTGTTGTTTACAATATTCTGTATAAACATTTCTCACCAGCGCTTTCTCAGTACCAGTCTGGCTTCTGTCGTGGGGACTCTACCTCGCTACAACTGACCCACATTGTCCAGGAGCTGTACACTCAGCGACACCAAAGGCGCCATCAAGGTCTCTGCTTCTTCGACTTGGCCAAAGCATTCGATTCGGTATGGCATAGAGGGCTGATCGCAAAACTACGATCGTGCTACCGTGTCACCCACCGTGCCAACAACTGGTTGTCGTTATACCTGAGCATGCGGACCCAAGCCGTGAAAGCAGGCGGCCTGATTTCGGAGGATCGTCCAGTTAATACAGGTGTTCCACGAGGATCTATTCTTGGCCCCCTGCTTTTCTTGATGTACGTGAATGATTTGCCATCCGTTACTCCTGGCCTCTCGCTTTATGCAGATGACACCGCCCTTCACCGTTCAGCCTCCACCGAGCACGAACTAACGGTATCGCTCCAGCAGGGCATCAATGAGGTGGTAAACTGGATGAAGATCTGGAAGCTACAGGCCAATGTCCAGAAGACCAAAGTGTTGTATATTTCTGCATGTCCACCATCTGCGCGTTTGACGTTTCCGAACAGCACCCAGGCCCTGGAAGTTGTAACTTCTCACAGGCACCTGGAATCGTTCTTGACTCGAAGCTATCATGGTCCGAACATGCTGACCATATTTGCCTTAAAGCATCCAGAATTTTAGGAGCTCTGAAGCCTCACTGCCGTTACCTGCCTCACAACTGTAGATCTGTTTTTCTCTTTGTACATTGGTCCGATCTTCGACTACTGTGACATAGCGTGGTGTGGGTTATCAACCACGATATCAGACAAGCTCGAAGTTTGCCAACGCAAATTATTAAAAATGCTAATTTGCTTGCCCCGTGATTTCTCCTCTGCACAACTCTATGTTCTCGCTCGTGCTTGCCCCCTTTCTATTCGACGCAGTCTCCACAGCAACATGCTAGTTCAAAAGATAAAACTCGAGAAAGTACCAAGGCATCTCTTTCCCTATGACTGGTTTGTGCGGAGCCGTTCAACAAGGGCACAGGTCTCGCTACCTGCAGCTCGCACTGTCCAGTTTACAAAATCCCCTTTGTTTCATTCCTATTCTGACTGGCTCAAGATATCAAGCCTCGCCCACCACTGCCACAGCATGTCTCAGTTTCGCCAAGTTGTTTGTACTGAGTTGCGTCTTCCTGCAGCACTCACACGTGTTTAGCTAAACAATGTAATGCCCGACTATCTCACTTAATTGGCTGAGCTTTGTTTTCCTCCCTGTTCCTTTCTTTCCACTGCTTTCTTGTTCTCTTTTGTATTTTTACCATGGCTGGTTATCGCCCTCATCTCTGGGGTTGCTCCCCACATTAGCAATGCGTGCACATGCTACGAGATTGAGTTTAATAATAATAATAATAATGATTGCTTCAGATCCGATGCCCGTGTACATGTACAGCGTGCGTGTGCCAGCTCAAATCTTATGACTCGCATTGCTGGCTTTGCCGATTCTTACACCGCCGTAAAGCCCCTACTTCCTCAGTGCAAGCAGTACAACCTCACTAGCTTGCAACAAGACTTGGCTTCAGGCGTAGTACTCAGCGCCCATGATGCCGCGGGTGATGTGAAAGTGCTGTGTGCTATAGTTGATGCCAAGATATCCTCTGCTTCACTGAGAGAGCAAAGTGACACCGTAAGCAGCTATCAACAGCAACAATCGGCACATGAAGCAAGCAAGGCCTGGCTGAAGACGTTCGCTAGCATGATCACACTTCAAAAGCCTTGTTTAGGTCGATGGCTGAGGAGGCAGCAAATAGTGACCTTTGTGCACATCCTCTCCAGCTTGCGTATTCACGCAAAAGGAGCTGATGGAGTTCGACCCCTGCCGAGCGATGCTTCAGAAAGTTTAATGAGTGTACAGCTTAACGATTTGCAAATATTTCTCACTACGCAGACACAAAGCCTAGCGACCCCTGCCATTACACAGCCGCCTTTTATTTCTCCAGTGCAGAGACGAGACGGAATGTTTGGGTAATGTTTCTTGAGTTATTAACGATGGATTTTTTAATCATTAAAAAAAAACACTTTGGCACCGTTCAAGACTCAACTCGTGCAGTAGACATGTTTCAATAGGTTCCAAGAATTCACGGTAAACAACAAAAAATCCGAACAGCGCAATTCTCTGCCTTCTTACCACAAATAGATACATGCGCTGCTGACGTAGCACAGACCAGTACATGGTCGTGGCCAGCAGGACAAAGAGCAACGTCACGACGGCATACTCCAGAGCAACGCCGTCACGTTTCAACAGTGGGTACATGCTGTGTGCAGACAGGGCCACGACAAGACAAAAAAACCAACAACTGAGAGTGAGTCATGTGACAGGAGCTGAGCTCAGTTTCAGACATGCCATGTGATTCTCGCCTAGGTCGCACGAAATACCACAGTCCTTCAGTTGAGTACGTGTTTCAGTATTTTAGGGCAGGTTGCAGGATTTCTGGACGTCTTGTATATGAGCATGGTCTTCTAACAGGGCTTGGCTATTTGAGAAAATATGGAAGGCAGGCCTGGATCCCTGATCACGAGAGGGGAAGCGGATCAACAGTACTTTACGGAATAACATATTGCGTCAAATACTAGGCAGGACTACCACTTTTTCAATCAGTCACTATCCTGGTCTTTAGTGCTTCAACCCAATCTTTTTCTTTCTTTCTGAAAATGAACATACTGATACCAGCATGTATAATGCTAGGGCCTCACCAGATAATACGGCACACCAGTACTGAAGTTACCCACTACATTACATGTAATTGAGCACGGTTCACTCATTTGTTCAAACAGCCCCATACTGGCCTGGTACTGAAGCACCGTACTTTATTGGAGAACAGGTCTATCATTATGATCTTATCACTCGATGTAGTTGAAAGAACAGGAAAGCCCAAATGACACAGATGTTAGAAGAGATAGACACAATGGCCTTCTGAAAACCAAGATTCCATTGGCACACTAAAAGTTAAAACAGTTTGGAAGAGCACCGATGTTACCTAAACGAAGCAACCACTTGAAACCAGATGGAAAGAAGCGGGTAGTGAGGCAGGAGAAGTGCCATGGGCCTGTGTACATCACAAGCAAATGGTAGAGAAAAGTTCACAGCACACGTGAGTGTCAGTCAGATCAATGTTCCGCATTTGCAGAAAAGGCAGAACATTTGCTTGTAAATTGATTAGACATGAAAGGGAACAGTTTTCCACTGTACAGACTTACACAACATACAGGTACTTACATGTACCCCCCCCCCCCCCCACACACACACACAGTACTTACATGTACCCCCCCCCCCCCCACACACACACGCACACACACCCGTGCACAGAGGAGGCGACTGGACCATTCATTCCACAGGGGAACATATTTGACTCCAGACAGATTTTAGCCTTTTGATCACGCAATCTTGTTTTTATCACAAAGAGAGAGAGAGAGAGAGAGAGAGAGAGAGAGAGAGAGAGAGAGAGAGAGAGAGAGAGAGAGAGAGAGAGAGAGAGAGAGAGAAAGAGAGAGAAGAGCGAAAGAAAGCACAGCCATGGAACTTACAGAGCAGCCAGGAGAATTGACTTTTCATGAACTTGAAATGAGAATAAAAAGAATCCCAGAGAAGAACTGGCCTGTAGCACAACAGCAGCAGCAGCAGCAGCAGCAGGTAAAGGAGACCAGACAACATGCACACACTTATCTCCATACATATTTCAAGATATCAACACAGTTGAATGGTTCATTGTGACTAATCTATATGGATGTCAACAACAACAAACTCACATTTCCAGTGAGGCTCGGTTAGACCGAGTTTTCCGCATTCATACTAGGAACGCCGTCACCCTTAAAAAGATCGAGGTGGTTTCAACAACGTGTTGATACAGTTTGAAACACAAAGGGCATCTAATAACTCCAGTGTCCAGAAGTGAAAAACACAGTGCAGCACTGTCACTTACAAGTGAAAGGATGAAGTTGAGTTTGGTGGGTCTTGTCAGAAGCCGAATTGACGAAGGCAGCACGGCAACCAGGGTTGACACAGTACTGCAACACAGCCAACAAGAAGACGCGTGTTTGTGTGGCAGACTCGATGCTCAGTGATAATGCTGTTACAGCTGCACCCAGGTACGCACGTAGTGACAATGCGCTATGCTCGCATGCTCGAGTCTTCTACAAGTCTCCAGTGCATCAAACAGGAACAAAACTGCAGCAATGACTCCCAAGATTGGCAACCACACCAATAACAATAAGTTAACAGCACTGGACTACACACAACCAAACAAGCAATACCTGAGGATAAGAACCCAAGACGGATCGAAGTTGCGGAGCTTCCAAACAATTGATATTGAGCACCAGACATTCGATACCTTGTCCTATGCACGGAGAGAGAGTTTTTAAACGAGGAGTCAATGCTTGTGTGGTCAAGATCAAGAATAAAAATTCAACGATGCACAAACACATACACACACGCCCACACGCCCACACACACACACACACACACACACACACACACACACACACACACATGTTTTGTCTCTCCCCACACCCCACTGTACCATGCATGCGGTGTGACAAAGTCCATCCTACCTCAAACACACCGCGGCCGACAGGGAAGAGGCGGTGCAGCACCTGCAATGCATCCTCTTGACTATAGAGGAATGGAATCCAGCTAAGAACACATGCACATCATACAAGCATGGTTACTGGCAGGGTGCACAAGACGCAGTGCATCGTCCGGCTACGCATCATTCCCAAACCACAAACACCTCCAGAGAGTTGCGTGTGTATCACATTACTGGGCAATAAGCAAGAGAATCGGACTCCCCAAACACAAATTCACATCACCACATCATTTTCAATACACTTTAGCACTGGCCACAAAACACCCATATGATGCAGTAAAAATTGGGAATGATTGCACAGTTCATACTCGTGATAGCTATTCAAGTAAAACTTGTTTCAAGAACACATGGTACTACAGTAACTACACATACCAGACTAAGAAAGTTGCAATGACAACAATGCCGATTCCGCCGACTCGCACGGGGAACATCCTGGATGAAAAACCACACAGACATTGAAACATGAATCAGACTACAGCTTGTGCAATTTAAAATCATGTGTATTTTCACCCTCGAGATTCCCGTGATAGGCACCTATTTGCCTTTGGAAAATCAATAAAATTAAATTAAAATGAAAAGAAAAAGCAGCCTTGTGCTAGACATCACACCAAGGTGAAATGAATGCTACTATTGTACAATCAGTGATCACTCGGGCCATGTCAATAATAGACCAATAGACAAAGCCACTCTCTATCATCTACCACCAGTGCACATGGACAGGAAGTTTGTAATCTTGGGTGTGGATAATGAGGTCCTGACTTCGAATCCAGCATTGGTAGCAGGGAGTGTGTTCGTATGTGTGGCACGTCTCACTGTACACCACTCTACATGCGATTGGCAGCACTGACACCTATGAACAACTGGGTATTCACTTAATGAGTGCAAGGGAAACAAGAATGCGGTTTATCGGTGATCGAGCAATCGCACGCCTGTGGACTAAGGGAGTTTCACCCCACGCCTGCCTTACTTGCGACGGCCGCCTTTGCCACAACGCAAAGGGCATCAGAGCATGTGGTGGCCTGCCGGTGCGAAGGTCTTTCCTTGAGCGTTCCTAAATACTTGGGTGATGCTGAAGCGAATACAGATAACTTACTTTCTTTCCTGCACCACGTCTTACTTTTAGCATTGTTTTGCAAGCATACACAGATACACAAATACTAGCACACAGAAAAACACACATACACAGTCACACACACGCACATGCACAAAAGTCAAGAACACGTACGCGGCGGGCATGCTCGTGCATGAGCGCAGCTAATAAAAACTCCAAAGAAAACTACTGTTCCGTTCCTCACCAGTAGGGCTTGGCGAGACTCTTGCCAAGTAGGTAGAAAAAGAAAGGTAGTGCATGGTAGAGCTCCATTTGCTTATAGTTGAGCGCAAGCGAGAAGGCTATCGCACCGAGATGATTATAGTCCTGTGTGCAGGCTACAACTCCCCACAGTGCCAAGCCCAAACTAACTGCATTGTACCTGAAGCGACCAAACAACAAAACCCAGGGTAAAAAAGAGCAAAGACACCATAAGCCATGGTCCAGCACATCAAAACAAATTCACGGTTCATGTGAGAGATGGTCAAACTCAGTTTTCCGCATCCGTAGAAACGCCGCCACCTCACATGGATCAAGGTGCAGATGCAGAAAGTAAGCTACAGGACACAATAATCACCAGTTATTGAACGACTGCATGCAAGTATCGTGACATGAGCCTAGATCCATTGCACACAAACCATGCCTTTGCCAAGAAGGCCACCACAAATAAGGGGCGGGGGATACACAGACAAGAGAGAGAGAGAGAGAGAGAGAGAGAGAGAGAGAGAGAGAGAGAGAGAGAGAGAGAGAGAGAGAGAGAGAGAGAGACAAGAGAAAGAGAGAGAGAGAGAGAGAGAGAGAGAGAGAGAGAGAGAGAGAGAGAGAGAGAGAGAGAGAGACAAGAGAGAGAGAGAGAGAGAGAGAGAGAGAGAGAGAGAGAGAGAGAGAGAGAGAGAGAGAGAGAGAGAGAGAGAGAGAGAGAGAGAGAGAGAGAGAGAGAGAGAGAGAGAGACAGACAGAGAGAGAGAGACAGAGAGAGAGAGACAGAGAGAGAGACAGAGAGAGAGAGAGAAAGAGAGAGAGAGAGAGAGAGAGAGAGAGAGAGAGAGAGAGAGAGAGAGAGAGAGAGAGAGAAAGCGAGAGAAGAGAGAGAGAGTCAGCAACTCAAGTGTGAAGGACGGCAATCAAACAATGGAAATTATACAGAAACAGGTACTAGTAACGGCATAGAGCAGACATACTGGAAGTGGCCGTGATCGATGAGAGTGAGACCAGGGGAGAGAAGAATAAGACCGGCTGTCACAGACTATAATAAACAAACACACACATAGAAAAAAACAGCAGTGCAGTCAGCAAAGAAGGCTACCGATACAAACATGTGTTGCCGCTACTGCTACTGTTGTTGCTGCAAGTACACGTACATAGTACATGATTATATTCCATGCCTTGTTTTCTTTCCTGCTATTGCCGATGCGGGTATTACATATTTCAATAAAGTCTGTCATCATTGCCTTGGGACATGCAATATGCCACTTGGCATGTTCAGTCAAATGTCTTGTACACAACTGTTGTGATATCCCACTGAAAAATACTGAAGACTTGCTGCAGAGACGGGCAAAAACAATCAGATATACCCCCATTCATGAAGAACTTTGCCAGAAAATGCCCCCCCCCCCCCCTTATGCACACAGCTTTGCCTCCACTGGCCGAGCAAGTCAGCGATGCAGTGCCTGTGATGAACACAACCACTGTGATAGTTTACCTTTCTCCAGTCTGACTGACGCTTCAGGAAGTAGCAGTACAGGAAAGCAGCTGGAAAATAGACTAGAACATCTGCTATCAATGCTGCAAGGCACAGGGGGACACACATAGATAGAATTTTTCATAAAAGGAATGAAAGCACCTGTACTCAGGTGAGGTCGTTGAACGTCAGTAGTACCATCCGTCAGCATTGTGCCAAACGTTGCACATTCTCACTCCTCCATATCTTGGTATTACATTGGTGGACAATTGTACACAACCAGTGAACAATAATTATCCTTTCATTCCTTCAAATATAGAAGGTACACACTATTATGTAGGTCAGAAAACAACAAAAATTAAAAAATGACATTTGGCCAAGGATCTGCTAAAACCACCCTTTGGTGCTATTTTGCCGAAAATGAGTTTTTGGCGGGAAGTTGGTCCCTGGCCATTGCCCAAACATATGGTGAAGTATTAGGCTCAAATTGTATATATTCATTGATATATGACCCATCTTATGAAAGCTTTTGGTCCATAAAAATGTCCAAAAATAATTGATATTCACACTATATTTCGTATCTGAGGCTTCATACACCTGCCATACACCTGTCTATGTACAGAGAAAAACTCTTTTTCACAGTTATCCAGTATTCTACTATGTATGTTCCGAACAAATAATTAGGACATTTGGTCTGCTTGGTCTGGTGCTGGGCAGGTGATATCTCTGCTCTCTGGGTGGCAGTGCTGACGAATCTGTTGGTGCAAGTACTTTGCACGTTGTGGTGAGATTCCAGCCGTCTGGAGCGTCACTGGCAGATGATCAGATGCCAGGCAGTAATACACTTTGATAAAGGTCACGTGCCACATTAGCTTCTTCAATATGAGCTTTGAGTGCGTCAGTGTGCTTTAAGTGAGTTTCTGCCGATCTTGCCCTTACGATCTGAGACTGCAGATCGGAACATACACCGCACGCATTTTCTTTTGGTCTCATAATTATCACATCACTGCACTCACTGCTCCATATTTTCAGGAATGCTGTGTATGCTGCTGTTCTTCCAGCCTTAATATACTCAGTATGCACATGCTTCTTGGTAGTAGCACATGGCACTGGCAGGTTAGTAGGAGCCGGCCTCTGGGGGCAGCAGGCTGGGGAAGTCCATTGATGTCACCATAGTGGTGGATGAACTGCCTGATGTCAGACACTTCATCTGCAGGCAGTGCATTCCAGGGCAAAGTACCCTCACATGCGTGCTGAGGGGGAGCAACAGCATGCTCCAGCGCTCATACTTCCACCTTTAGCTTCCACTCCTTTACATAATGTGCGTCCATGAAAACAGTCTGATCTGGCACACTTCGTCACCATCCACTTCATAGCGATGACTGTTCTCCGCGCTGCATCCGTTGTGCAATGCTTCCATGGTGAGAAGTAACTGCCCCGCGTCGTCTCAACACATCGAGCTTTCCAGCGACATAACAGTACAGCTCCTCGTTCGTCAGTGCGAGCGCTGTGTTGCGTGCAGTGAGTTGAGTATCCGGTGACACGTTCTTGAAACAGTTGACACCGGCACAACTGCAGCCCTTGTCCACTCGCGCCTGTACCTCTTCAACAGTTCTGGGCGCCGCCTGGGCACGGGATTTCTTAGGTTGGCCCTGTCCTCCGGCGGCGAGGGCTTGTGCTGGCTGTAGCGCTGGCGCCGCGTCCAAGTTCTCCTCCGCATCGATCGTAAGCGCGATCGGCAGGGTCACGAGCGGAGAGGCGTCGGTCGATTCGTCATCGCTCTGTTCGTCAGAATCTTGATCTGACCACCCAAAGAACGATCTTTCGTCATTTAGCAGTGCTGACTACTCCGCTGCCGAGAATCCGACAACAATTTGTGCCAACGAGCGCCTTCGCCTTCCTTCCGCCATGACTGTCACCTGCGATGATGAGAAAATCGAGACGTGCTGACGTTTTCATCATTTTCTCCGAAAAATTACACAGCACCGAAGGGTGGTTTTAGCAGATCGCGGGCCATTTAGTAAAGCGGCAGCATGTGCATGTACACAGGATAAGCCAAGAGAAGGGAAAAGATCTGGAACAGGGCTAGTTTCATGACTAAAAGCAAGCTCTCGCACGACACTTGCCTGTTGCTCGCATGAAGCGCTTGTGCTCTGGGGTTTCGATGCCACGAGAAGCGTTGAGTGCTACCCAAGACGGATCGATGAGTTCAGCACTAAAGGAGAAAACAGGCAGAACGGAAGTGCTCTCATCGATATCTCTCAGTCTCAAATTGGCACCAATTGAGAGAGTTATTGCAAGGAAAGTGAACATTCCCAGCAGCCCCAATCTGATAGAACACAGTGTATTTAAATTTGCTCAAAGGATCAATCTAGGGAAACCGTTGAGTTTCCATACTGTAATAGTCGCACAGTACACTGCACAGAGATAACTGAGAGTATGTGTGCATGTTTCCTCACATGACTAAGCTCGTAACATCCAGTTTGTTAATTAATCGCAACATAGTACCCTATAACGGCTTACACTTGTCCGCACAGCCAGCTATGGTAGGCTGTCAGAGGTGGATAGTCCAGGCCCCAGTACAGCAAATCATTGTCTGGAGTCGGGTGGTACCTAATACACACACACACACACACACACACACACACACACACGCACGTACACGCACGTCCACACACATACATGTACGTGCACACACACACACGCACAGTGTACACGGAACACAGCACCGCCAGTCAATGACCAGTAAAGCAGACACACGGAATACCCCGCCACTATCGCCAGGTCACGCTCTACAAGTTCTGATGACCCCTGGCCCAGTACAGTACAAGAGTCAAACACACACACACAGCCATCACAGAGCACAATACTTGCCACTACTACTAGTAGTCTCTACCAAACCAAAAACTCACCACTCGTTAGCAGGCAAATTGACAGTTATTTCCTGCCAGTGTCGTTGCGCTTCAAAATCACCGTGCATAGGTGGCTTGCCGTATCCTGCACATCACAGAAAGAAACATGATATTGCAGACAACAGCTGTCGCCCCTCACTCACAGTAGGTTGCCCCTTCCCGTCATTAGGGCTGCAAAGTGGCAACTAGCGTTTCCCCACAACTAGTATTGTAACCCTACCAAGATAAGATAAGCTCCCAAGAGCGTGCAACTCTGGACACCTTTTCTATGGGGTCTGCCGACGGCGAGCCACTCATATCACGGTGCCAGTTTTAGCTAGCAGTGGAGTAGTAAAATAGCACTCCCTGGCAGAAACCCACTCGGCTATATGCGAATCATCAACATGATCATGGCAGATATCCGGACTGCGCACATTCTAGCCTACGTAGCACGCGGTACGAAATGTACTTGGACCACGTGCTGTGCGTTTTCGCCGTCGGAGGCCTCATAATATGCAGTACGCTCATGGGAGCTTAGTCACTCTTAATGATCTTGACGATGCTAATGTATCCAGCATTACTGCATTGTGTTTTCAGTGCACAGCGCACAGCACACACATACTGTATTACATGCATGATAACTTGCCCCATGGTACGTGGGGTGCAAGTGTTTGTGCAGCACCACGGGCCAAGACATTGCATCTGCTGCTAGGGTTTATCAGGTGTTACATGTAGTGGCCGCCGTGAGTTCCCTTCGGGAACGGACACGATAACTTACTTTTCTTTTTACAGGCCGAGACAAGTCAGCCGCTATGGCAATGCTCAGCCATCTATCAATTCAGAATATATTTCGGCTACGTGCACTGAGCGGACACGTGTCCATCTATGGCAATGTGACCAGGGACCAAGGTGTGTGTGTGTGTGCGCGCGCGCACGCGCGCGTGCGAGAGAGAAAGAGAGTGAGTGTCCATGTAAATATCTGAGGTAAATTATATCTGAGGTAAATTATGTTTCCGGTCCATAGCCGAGAGCACTACTTCTCCATGTAGGTCAAGCTGGATTATACACATAATTTTGAGAGACCTATAAAGGGGAAAAGCAAAAGCTGTACCTATGCAGCCTTACATGTACATTCTATTATATACTATAATAGCACATGACAACATCCCAAGATATAATTATTTGGATTCCTTGGCGCAGTGATTTTTCTTCCCGGAGAGGTTGACCCTTTTTTTAACACTTTTCTTCATAGCCCTACCAAAGTACTGACTCCGCAGAGATTGCACGTACTGTATCAGATCGGAATCAGTCTAAAGATATTATAAATTCTCAATTTACCTGAATAGGAGCCGAGGCTTACACATTGTCGCACAATAGCAGCGACAAGCGCAGCTGCTACAGCCGCCCAACAGTCCATGATTGCTACTACGAGGGACGCCAATTATTATTGATCACGAGTCTCCAGAGCAGCAGTGTGCCTCACGCAGCACGTGCACAGCATAGCATGGCAGCTGCTGGAAACAAAATCATGAAATTTTCAAAATGATTGTTGTTCTGCCTGTACTGGTCTGTGTATGTGCTGGATCACACACATGTACACAACTCTCGAAAGACTTTGGGGACTCCCCTTCCCTCACGTATGATGCAGCCCTGGCAGTGAATGCAGGGACCAGGATCGCGGGAGCCGGGAGTCATCATGCATTGCCGGCCGGGTACCCTGGCAAAGATGCATGGACGGGTTGCAGGGCTCTTTGTAATGTACTGAGAATAGTGAGATTACTGAATACTTTTGGTACATCATGTAATAGTATGACATTGTACTACATGTATTTACCAAAGGTCGATCAGGACTCTGGGCTCCGGTCTACAAATTACAATGAAGATCATGCCCGTGACTGTCGACTCGTGACGTTCAACGGTTAGTAGTCGGTTACTCGCCCGTTTCTGCCGCCACATGATCCCATGCTCTACTATGTAGTGTTATTTCTTGTCTTGAAGAGAAAGATCAGAAATGTGGTTCAGGTGAAATTTCTTCTTTCGATGACATGCAGTGACACATCGTGTCATGGAAGCCGGAAGAGAGTCGGAGAAAATGTGTAGCGCTAGTAGCTCAGTAACTGACGATCTGTTTACTAACAGCTATTGCTCTCAGGCGATACTGCTGCAATAATAGGTTTTCAAGTAGCTGCTGAGCTGCCATACGCTTCAAGGAAGTTCAACATACTACTAGTAGTAGTCATTCTAAATGATTCAACACAGGGATCCCACGGCGAATCAAACCGTCATGACAAGACCATCACATAACTGCAGCAGCACCACGCTCCTAAGGTGCTGGCACATGTATAATCATAAATGCCATGCGCATGCTCCTCTATTCTCTTGGCACCAATGACCATAATGATCCGTCGGGTATCATGTAACTTGGGCTTACTTGGCAATTTGCCAACATGAGTTCCCCAATGTCCCAGATTCTGAACTGAAGTACACCCTACACTCTTCTATTCTGGTTCTGAATGCAAACGAACTAGGCATGCGGAAGTGTGTCGTCATCGATAGCACATGTACTTGGTAGTCTCACATCATGCAGCGTGGATTGCATGGTTGCCAGTAGAACCCATGTCTAAGCGGATGCCAGAAACGGTGTTAGGAAAGGGATGGCAAGGGTCCCTCATTTGGTAAACCGTTTCCTAACACTTCTACCAGGTACTCACGATTCGTGAAAGACCACAACTTCCGGTACAGTTTTTAAGACCAGTGTTATCTCATTCGGTATTTAATTGGTAACGGTCAGCTATGAAGGACAGGGAGTTAGGTTTGTTGCACAGCAATTGCAAGCACAGGCATCATGCCAGTTAGCAGGTACAGGCAACTGCTCATGTTGAAATTTTCATAATGCTGTCCTCACAGTAAATAATCTAATAGTTCCCGTTACAAGCCATACTCACAACCATAATAACTCCATCCTCGGTCGTACACTGCAGTTGTCCACTGTCTAGTGTGAATCTACTAGTCTGTACTAGAAGTAGGGGCTATGTTGCTGAATGATAGGTGACCAAGGTTATTTCGGATGCTGCCTTAATGCCGTACGGTTCTGTACATCATGTATACATCATGGTGTGGTAGTCTCGACCAGGGAGTAGTACTACTCCCTGGTCTCGACTCACCATGCATGGTTGCCATGAACACTAACGGTGCGTTCTTAAATCCTCTCGGAAAAGTTTGAGACTCTCCGAAAAGTTCGAGAGCCGTTCTTATATCCTCTCCGACTTTTAGGAGGCTCTCCAAAGCTCTCCAAGCTCTCCGACTTTCAGAGGTGGTTGAAACTTGGAGATTCCCGCGGTTTGGGATTAGCGCATGCGAACTACAGCTAAAAGCCACGTGTTGATCATGAGTGTACGCATTTCCCTTTTCTAATACGCACATGTGCATACTACATTCATAACTCAAGATCGCGGCCCCTTTGGCGCTTCATATTGCTTGACATGTGCAAAATATCTCCGAATTCTTCGAGACCCGTTCTTGAATTCTACCAGTTCGAGTCTTCGACTTCTCTTTTCTTCTTCTCCTAGAAGCTAGAGAATTTTTAAAAGAACGCACCCTTAGTCACCAGTGGCAGTGGTCAGGCGCGTTGTGTATGACTTGTGCACATGTATGTTGGGCTGTCTGGTCACATGATCACACACTGAGGTGAAGTCAGAGGCGGAGTGCAGGACACACAGTCGCAAAACTAATTACGACAACATTAAAAAAATACGGTCTGACCTGAACGGCTGAAGGTTTTGAGGCCAGTCTAGTAATAGTATAGTCCCTCACTGCCTCAGTGGTAATGCTGCCGATACCTGTGCAAGTATCCAGAGTCCCTTACACTAGTACACACAATGATACTGATGTGAGTGAGCAACTTGGCCTCTTACTTTAGTCTTAGATTCTCGAACTAATCACTTCCTTACCGGCTTGTAGCTGCAGTGCCACGTTACCATGATATACGAGGGACGGCGATAGTCCCGACGATGCTGCCTGAATGGCTCATTGTACGCGTCGTTAGAGAAGTGCAACGGTTGGCGTGAACCCTCATAATTCCACCTGCCACCGGCTCTGAGCCGGTTTCACGTTTATATTCACGGCCATCCGAGTCAACTGGTGATCCAAAAACAACCAGGAAGACTGACCATAAAGGGAGAGCGTGGCGACGAGGTGAGGATGCGAAGGCAATAGCTCAAACAGTGCAGACTGTGAATACAAGTGTAGATGTAGACAATAACACACAGCTCTAGCAGCAGCTCTCGCGCGCGGTAACTGCATGAGAAGAAATGCAGCGTTGGTGGACCTTCGCGCTAAAACCACACACAAGGAACAAGCAGGAAACAGGTAGCACGGCTGCAAAGCTAGTAACATGACTGTATTTTCTAAGTAAGTTCCTGTGACCTGCGGACAACGTACACTCTGCAAGTACACAAAAGCTTTCCGCGATGACATTACACATACATTGTGTAGTTAGCATCTAATCCGCGAGTGTGAATAAAGGTGATGAAGTTTGGAATATTCTCGCTGGTGCACAAACCTGACGCTGAGATCGTTGCCTCTTCCACTCTTCCACTCGTACTACAACTACAGTACAACTTCAGTATTACGAGCCGTGTGCGTGACGCTGTTACCAGGCCAATTGCTTTCCACAGGCCAGGTCATAATTATGCCGTACACACACACACACACACACACACACACACACACACACACACACACACACACACACACACCTTTGACCTTGACCTTTTGACGCCCATCGCCGGAGGCGATGATAGCAATACTACGGCAGAAGCCATAGCAACTAACTTGTGCTGGGATTGCACCATTCAACAGCTTGCAAGGCTGAAGAATTGACCGTCACGCACACACACACACACACACACACACACACACACACACACACACACACACACACACACACACACACACACACACACACACACACACACACACACACACACACACACACACACACACACACACAACACATGTGTAACGCTATTTACACAGTTGAGGGGGGGGGGGGGGGGGGGGGAGGGGGGAGCTTGGTTCCAGCTCCCAGTTTCGCATAATTTTCATTCATTTGCTAGTTGGAAATCTTCCATACCGGTATTGCTTCAGCGAGGTGATATTCGTAGCAGATTAAAACTGAAACATAGCGCAGTTGGGAAAACTGGAAGATTCGGCGGTTACTGTGCCAGTGTGTCACTTATGCATTCAGTGATAACAATATGGATCATCGTATGGACTCCACGTAGAACCGGTTCGATAAAGACTGCAATCTAACCCTGGTGTACTTTGAGGTGTTTCTGTCTCGTTTTCAACACAACCAGCCGAACTCCTTCCGCTCCGCTGCTGTAGCAACAACCCTCGTAGCTCCTCCCTTCAGATTCTTGCATGAGCCGGGCGGCATGAGAGGCAGTCAAAGCTCTTCTGCGGGGCAAACTCGCTGTTTGCTTTGTGCCGAAACTGACGAAAGGCGCTCTACGATTGTGATGCGGGAATTGTTTCGGAATGGTATTGATTTGGTATGTGGGGGAATGAACGTTGGTGGCGTGAAGAAGCCATACTCCTTGCTGCAGACAGGATGTATCCAACTCCCCACATTACTGTTCGATCATCGAATGGTGAATCGATGACAGCCGCTTCCCTAGCTCGCCATGATTGTTATAACGTAAATTATTATTAAAATGTGTCATGCATGTGTCGATGTTCCAAGCACTGCATTGTGTAAATCCGTGTAGATCACTGGCTAAGTCAGCTAATCATGCCGTGGTGAGTTGATAAGATCTACGCATTATGATGATGGCTTCATTGTTATCCTGAATGCTGCGCCCGCTAAGCCTGGATTCAACCTGCGAGTGCAAAGACCTAAAGCAGAGGGCAACGGTATTACCGTAACATCGCTCTGCCTTTACGCGGACAACATCGCATTGTCAAGTAATAGTTAGCTGCTCCACCGATCACCTACATCCTGCGTGCGTGCTGCTTAGCGCTTGGCTGGCTAGAAGCGGTGTGGTCGCATCGAGGAAAAGCGGTGGACAAATCGGGTTCTCCCCACCGCGACACCAGGAGAGCGTTCGTTGCTAGTGTAGAGCCAAGTGGGATGGGACTGAACGGCAGATCTACACTGAAGTGAAGCGTGCTGCGCCCTGACAGAACCAGGCAATACCACCGTGCGCGAACGTCCCATCAGCTGGTGAGAGACATCCGCTCGAGACGAATACGAACACACACACGCGTTCGCGCGCGCACACACACACACACACACACACACACGCACACAGATGGATACAGCCATTGCCTTTGAAAGCACGCCGGTCGTTGTTCTGTCTTCTCTCGCCTGACGCCGTTCTCGGATCTCGCCGTATTGCCAGGGAACGTGGCAGTCTGCTGCTGCTCGCGACCCCATCCTTCCGCGTGCGGCACGACGACAGAACACCAGCATTGCTCGGCCAGACAATCGAATGCCACTTTGGTCTCTAACATACATGTACGCAATGACTTACATCACAACAACATCCTGCATCGCGCTCGTGTTGAAACTGACAAAAAAAGCCGCCACGTCGTCGATGAGCACAACCTCGTAGGTCTACCCTCATGCAACCAGTGATTGAACGACGAGCCAATGCCAATGGCTTTCCGTTGAACCAGTGGCTGGGAAGACAGGAAGACAGAGAAAAGTGGAGGTGAATTCAACTGCAGTGTCCACGCACCAGAAAACGAGCAAGGACGGCATGCTCCGTGGCACTTGACGTCCATCTTGCGTGTGACCTCTGTCTTGTGTTCCTGTGAATGCATGTCTTCTACTCGTGAGACTTGAACTTTGATCCCTGTATCCCCGTGTGGTCGCGCTATGCTGCAGCGGCCTATGTATAATAATTATTATGTCAATGTTTCTGCAACGCCATCATAGCGCTAGCAAGTGCCCAGGAGGACTCGGAATATCTTTCGTGGTAGTTCTGGCTGTTTTAGTGCGCCACCTATCGGTCATAGGCGCTCAAACCATCGGGTCGCAGCCGGCGCAAAACTACACAACTGAACCAGACCCCAAAGCCAAGGTCACAAGTGTGCCTGCAGCGGCTTTTGTTCCCTCTGTGCTCTCCTATGATGCAAACCTGTCCAGTGTTTCTGCCCTCTCGCTCACTCTCGGTTGCCAATCCCAAGATGGCGTGCATCTCATGTCTCTGCCGCTGGAAACCGCCATCAAGACGGCGCTCGAGCCCGGAGAGGGTATACTGACAACGTATGTAAACTGTCTTGTCTTCTCGGACAGCCGCCAATCCCAAACCAGCCCGCTGATCAGAGAGGCCGTGATCACGATCAACACCGGAGGAAGCTCTGTTCGAGAATCGTTCCAGCTGGCTCTGTCGTGCCACGGTGCCTCCGCCAAGCGCACCTACTTCTCACATCCCAAAGCAGTTCAGATCCACAGCGCCTGTACTGGCTGTAACGATGCTCCGCAAGTATGTACAGGTAAGGAAGGAAGGAAGGAAGGAACAACTGTTGACACGACCAGCGCCTGCGGCATGCGTTTGAATTGGTTACTGGTGGTGATACGGTTCAATGTCCTCTGGACTTCTTGTTTTCACCTTCGAGGCTTCGTCCTTGACGGCCTCTCGGTGAAACATTGCGACGGGGGTGTTTGGAGGTACCGACTGAAAGCCGAGGCAAATGCTGTCGTACAAACGTCACGCTCAGACAGATACTCCGAAGTCCGTTACATGTAGATCTACCCTGATGACAGTGATATAGACCTACACCGACTAAGATGAGTTCAAAAAGAACGAAACAGCATGCTGTCCGCAGATTGAGTAAATGTCCTCAGTCTATAATAAAATTATTGTGGCAAGTGAAATTCGAACTTACATACACTTTCAAAACTGCAACTATTGTGATGACCTTGTGCACGTGCTAGAAAGAGAGAGGTGTGTGTGGGGGGGGGGGGGGGGGGGGGGGGGAGGAATGGGAGAGAGAGAGAACTCGGAATGTCGAGGCCAAAAAGCATTTGACGCAGCAAGTGTGCATCGGCCTGGACTTCACTTGCAGCAACTGATATACCGATGCATGTTTTGTCTTTGCTGTTGCTTTGCAGGTACTGATGCATGTATGCATGTATGCACGTATGCATGTATGTGTGTGTGTGTGTGTGTGTGTGTGTGTGTGTGTGTGTGTGTGTGTGTGTGTGTGTGTGTGTGTGTGTGTGTGTGTGTGTGTGTGTGTGTGTGTGTGTGTGTGTGTGTGTGTGTGTTGCTGTGCAGGCTGTCAGCTCAAGTGTCCACATGGTCTGCTGCAGTCACATGAGTGTGATGCTTGCTTGGAGCCACCCACTATACCATCGGCAACGCTCCCGGCAGCACTAACGGATCTGAACATCAGTGCTATGCCAACAGCAATGCCGGATGGCTACAATGTGAGCTCAGCCGCTGCACTGGTGACACCTTCCGCGCCGCTGAACACGGCTGCGTCTACACCAGCCGAGACTACTGACATGGCGAACGCACACACTGGCGACTTGAACCTACCACAATCCACTGCTGATAGCGTTGGCACTGTAGTAGACATTGCAGCCACAGTGGCACCAAGTCATCCTGATGCAGCACAGGCAGCTGCACTTCCCGTGCCCAAGGAGGCCAACCAGCAAATTATTCTGCCGCCGGCTACGAAAACATCTAAGGATGTAGCCGTAAGTACGAAACCAGCCGAGTACTCTAAGCTCACTGTGACTGCTCCTGCTGATCTGTCAACTGCGGCTCAGTCCAGTAGAGTTACGACAGAGATCGCAACACAAGCTCCTGACGTGAACACTCAAACTCTGGAACAGAAAGATCCGCGTCAACCAGTGGGTGCGCCGACTGTAGACAGTGCCATAGTGTGGACTACTGAACTTCCGGTAACAACGCCACTCCAGCACGACCTTGCTGATGTGACAGATCCTACCCACGGCACCTTTGCTACGGATGCAACCGGTGGTATTGAAACTGGAGATAGTGCCACTAGGCTCTCAAAGAAGTCAGAAGCTACAGCTTCTCCTCCAATGTACAGTACAGTGGATGCAACCAGTGCGGCTGGTTTGGAAAGTCCATTCAGCGGAGCTCAAAGTTCTCAGCTGGGCGCTACTACAGAAAGTACCCTCTCGGAGAGTGGTCCGCCGTCTGAACATACTGCTTCCGTTGTGTCCTCGCTTGTGTCTCCAACCACTGGAAACGTGCAGAGTACAACGGAACAGAATGCTCCACAACACACAGCGGCTAGCAGTGGACCTGCTCTAGACGAAGCTACTGCATCCAGTGACCTATCAGCAGCAATAACAACACTGCATCAGGGTACCCTAGGCAGAACTCCATCGCCCAGTCCGATGGAAGCTCGCACCACAACCGATGTCGGGAATGAATTCACCATCATATATGCAGATTTGGGCGTAAATGATACACTGGACAATGGTTCACTGGCACTCGCTGTAACTGTGCCCACTGGCCAGCCATACGGCCGCATGTCTGATGTGAACATTCCACATGATCCACTGCAAAAACCTCCCGTGCACAATCCCATTGAATCTACGCCACCAAGTTATCCTTTGCATGTTGCTACTACCCACGTCAGCACGAATGAAGGTGCTGAAATTGCTCCTCCAGCAGAGAATGATACCAACAGCACAGAACAGACCACTGTGAGTCAGCCTAGTGAGGCACCGCATGCTGCTACTGAACAGACTGTTCCACTGCGCATGCGGCATACAGCCCAAGTATCTGGATCAGCTACAGTAGATTATGCCGTGACGCCCACCGAACGTTCCCAAGTAACCCTAACACAAGATAGCATAGCTGAAGCACTGGCAGCTGACACGACGGAACCCAGCAGCCACGTACGTGCAAACGACTCCACCACTGACGCAACTCATATAGAGACTATGAAAGGCACTTCTCAACCGGGCACTCACACTGTGACTATGACGACGGATCCAGGGATACAGACTACAGAAGCTGTGCACACACCATCAACAGAGTTGAATGTTTTACCCAGCACATTCAAGACCCTACCTCTACCTGCAGATGGCATGTGGATGCCACCGACAGCTGAAGGCTACGATACAAGTACAGCTTCAAATGACTCCAATGCTAGTGCCACGGTGAATGAGACTGTGGGTGGAACTACCCCAGAGAATGATGTAGGAAGCACAGTGGTACCTGGAACTCAGAGCATGCAGACCACTGAAGAAGAATACGCGGTGACATTGAATAATGCACCACCGATTGTCACTGGACCTTCCCGGAATAATTCTGCGATGCCCACAGTCACAGCCCAAGTTGATGCAAGCGATTCTGTTACCAATGGCACGACCAGTGAGGTCATGGGAAGTACAGCTATGGCTAATGCTGTTCCCATCACCATGCCTGCTTCACAGAGCGCAAACACCACTGAATACTCGAATGGTGTTGTGGGTAGCGTTAATACGGATCCGCACTACACAGCGCAGAGATCGCCTGTGGAGAGTTCAAGTGTACCAGCTGAATTACCGACAACAACGGCGACAGGAACACGCAGCAGCGTATCTGAAGCAGCTACTGTTGCTGCTACAATAGAACACATCCGTGGTAACTACTCAACCAGTGATGCTGCTGCAATGAATGACTCTAGTACCGGGAACAAGTCTACTGGTGACACTCCATACGGCGCATCTCCAACGAATGATACTGTCTCTACAGCATTACCATACAGCACTGCAGGCGCACGCAGTGAAACAGAACAGCGAACTAGTCAAGAACCAGTCAACAGGATGCGGCCAGGAACACCGTTTGAAAATGTGACCATGCCCACTACCAAAACCTTTGTAAATTACTCCACTACTGGCGTTAATGTTGATGGGACGATGGAAAATACTTTCCCCGCATATGACCCTGTTGCTACACCTTTGCCTGTGACTCGGCACAGCGAACAGTCAAGCAGTGTGACAGAGCCAGACAGTTCAGCTGGGAGATTTCCAACTACCACAGAACAGTCGACTACAGCCCCACGCCAATGGGCAACCGAATTAGCGACAATGGCCTCCTCTGGTGTGACTACGTATCCCAGTACTGGCACTGATAGTTCCATCCATGAAGAAACTACGGGCAACAAAGCTTACCTGGATCCTGGACTTCCATCATCTCCAATGGAAAATACATCTAATGCAGCTTCCTTTGCAGATTCAAATGTGATCACCGATGAACCTGCTGCGGCCTTGACTGACACTGTGCCCACCAATAGTACTAACGCTAAATTGGCTGATGTATTGCCTAGCAATGTCACTGCTAGTACCCTGTCCAGAAATACCACCGGCGATAACTTCCTCTCTAACAATGCCACTGGCCGTGTCTTGCTGAGTAATGTCACTGACGAGGTCTTGCCTATTAATGGGCTCTGGCCTAGGAATACCACACACAATCTCCTGCCTAGCAATACCACCAATGGTTTCCAGCCTAATGCAACGGATAGTTTTCTGCGTATAATCATCGATAGATTTCAGCCTAATGCCACGGATAGTTTGCAGCATAATGTCACGGATAGTTTCCAATCTAATGCCACGGATAGTTTCCAACCTAATGCCAAGGATAGTTTCCAGCACAATGCCACGGATAGTCTCCAGCACAATACCACGGATAGTTTCCAGCAAAATACCACGGATAGTTTCCAGCACAATGCCACAGGTAGTTTCCAGCATAATGCCTGGGATAGTCTCCAGCATAATGCCACGGATAGTTTCCAGCATAATGCCACGGATAGTCTCCAGCATAATGCCACGGACAGTTTCCAGCACAATGCCACGGATCATCTCCAGCATAATGCCACGGATAGTCTCCAGCATAATGCCACGGGTAGTCTCCAGCATAATGCCACGGATAGTCTCCAGCATAATGCCACGGATAGTTTCCAGCACAATGCCGCGGATAGTTTCCAGCATAATGCCACGGATAGTTTCCAGCATAATGCCACTGATAGTTTCCAACCTAATGCCACGGATAGTTTCCAGCACAATGCCACAGATAGTTTCCAGCGTAATGCCACGGATAGTCTCCAGCATAATGCCACGGATAGCTTTCAGCGTAATGCCACGGATAGCTTCCAGCGTAATGCCACGGATAGCTTCCAGCACAATGGCACGAATAGCTTCCAGCATAATGCCACGGATAGTTTCCAGCACAATACCACGGATAGTCTCCGGCATAATACCACGGATAGTTTCCAGCACAATGCCATGGATAGTCTCCAGCATAATGCCACGGATAGTTTCCAACATAATGCCACAGGTAGTTTCCAGCACAATGCCACGGATAGCTTTCAGCCTAATGCCACGGATAGCTTCCAGCCTAATGCCACGGATAGCTTCCAGCATAATGCCACGGATAGTTTCCAGCATAATGGCACGAATAGCTTCCAGCATAATGCCACGGTTAGTTTCCAACCTAATGCCACCAATAGTTTCCAGCATAATGCCATGGATAGTTTCCAGCACAATACCACGGATAGTCTCCAGCATAATGCCACGGATAGTTTCCAGCATAATATCACGGATAGTTTCCAGCACAATGCCACAGGTAGTTTCCAGCATAATGGCACGAATAGCTACCAGCATAATGCCACGGTTAGTTTCCAACCTAATGCCACCAATAGTTTCCAGCATAATGTCACGGATAGTTTCCAGCAAAATACCACGGATAGTTTCCAGCACAATGCCACAGGTAGTTTCCAGCATAATGCCTGGGATAGTCTCCAGCATAATGCCACGGATAGTTTCCAGCATAATGCCACGGATAGTCTCCAGCATAATGCCACGGATAGTTTCCAGCACAATGCCACGGATCATCTCCAGCATAATGCCACGGATAGTCTCCAGCATAATGCCACGGGTAGTCTCCAGCATAATGCCACGGATAGTCTCCAGCATAATGCCACGGATAGTTTCCAGCACAATGCCGCGGGTAGTTTCCAGCATAATGCCACGGATAGTTTCCAGCATAATGCCACTGATAGTTTCCAACCTAATGCCACGGATAGTTTCCAGCACAATGCCACAGATAGTTTCCAGCGTAATGCCACGGATAGTCTCCAGCATAATGCCACGGATAGCTTTCAGCCTAATGCCACGGATAGCTTCCAGCGTAATGCCACGGATAGCTTCCAGCATAATGGCACGAATAGCTTCCAGCATAATGCCACGGATAGTTTCCAGCACAATACCACGGATAGTCTCCGGCATAATACCACGGATAGTTTCCAGCACAATGCCATGGATAGTCTCCAGCATAATGCCACGGATAGTTTCCAACATAATGCCACAGGTAGTTTCCAGCACAATGCCACGGATAGCTTTCAGCCTAATGCCACGGATAGCTTCCAGCCTAATGCCACGGATAGCTTCCAGCATAATGCCACGGATAGTTTCCAGCATAATGGCACGAATAGCTTCCAGCATAATGCCACGGTTAGTTTCCAACCTAATGCCACCAATAGTTTCCAGCATAATGCCATGGATAGTTTCCAGCACAATACCACGGATAGTCTCCAGCATAATGCCACGGATAGTTTCCAGCATAATATCACGGATAGTTTCCAGCACAATGCCACAGGTAGTTTCCAGCATAATTCCTGGGATAGTCTCCAGCATAATGCCACGGATAGTTTCCAGCATAATGCCACGGATAGTCTCCAGCATAATGCCACGGATAGTTTCCAGCACAATGCCACGGATCGTCTCCAGCATAATGCCACGGATAGTCTCCAGCATAATGCCACGGGTAGTCTCCAGCATAATGCCACGAATAGTCTCCAGCATAATGCCACGGATAGTTTCCAGCACAATGCCGCGGATAGTTTCCAGCATAATGCCACGGATAGTTTCCAGCATAATGCCACGGATAGTTTCCAACCTAATGCCACGGATAGTTTCCAGCACAATGCTACGGATAGTTTCCAGCATAATGCCACGGATAGTCTCCAGCATAATGCCACGGATAGGTTCCAGAACAACACCACGGATAGTCTCCAGCATAATTCAACGGATAGTTTCCAGCACAACACCACGTATAGTCTCCAGCATAATGCAACGGATAGTCTCCAGCATAATGCCACGGATAGTTTCCAGCACAATACCACGGATAGTCTCCGGCATAATACCACGGATAGTTTCCAGCACAATGCCATGGATAGTCTCCAGCATAATGCTACAGATAGTCTCCAGCATAATGCTACAGATAGCTTCCAGCCTAATGCCACGGATAGCTTCCAGCCTAATGCCACGGATAGCTTCCAGCATAATGCCACGGATAGTTTCCAGCATAATGGCACGAATAGGTTCCAGCATAATGCCACGGTTGGTTTTCAACCTAATGCCACGGATAGTTTCCAGCATAATGCCACGGATAGTTTCCAGCACAATGCCACAGATAGTTTCCAGCATAATGCCACGGATAGTCTCCAGCATAATGCCACCGATGGTTTCCAGCATAACGCCACGGATAGTCTCCAGCATAGTGTCACGGATAGTTTCCAGCACAATGCCACGGATCGTCTCCAGCATAATGCCACGGATAGTCTCCAGCATAATGCCACGGATAGTCTCCAACATAATGCCACGGATAGTCTCCAGCATAATGCCACAGATAGTCTCCAGCATAATGCCACGGATAGTTTCCAGCACAATGCCACGGATAGTTTCCATCATAATGCCACGGATAGTTTCCAGCATAATGCCACGGATAGTTTCCAACCTAATGCCACGGATAGTTTCCAGCATAATGCCGCGGATATTTTCCAGCATAATGCCACGGATAGTTTCCAGCACAATACCACGGATAGTCTTCAGCATAATGCCACGGATAGTTTCCAGCATAATGCCACCGATAGTTTCCAGCGTAATGCCACGGATAGTGTCCATCATAATGCCACGGATAGTCTCCAGCATAATGCCACGGATAGTTTCCAGCGTAATGCCACGAATAGCTTCCAGCATAATGCCACCGATAGTTTCCAGCATAATGCCACGGATGCTGTCCATCATAATGCCACGGATAGCTTCCAGGATAATGCCACGGATAGTTTCCAGCGCAATGCCAGGGTTAGCTTCCCGCATAACACCACGGAAAGTTACCAGCCAAATGCCACCGAAGGTTTCCAGCCTAATACCACCAGTAGTTCCCAGCCAAATGTCACCGACAATTTCCAGTCCAATGACACGGATAGTTTCCAGTCAAATGTCACGAATAGTTTCCTCCCAAATACCACCGATGGTTTCCAGCCTAAAGATATGGATAGTTTCTTCCCGAATACCACGGATAGCATCCAGCATAATGCAACCGATAGTTTCCAGCATAATGCAACCGATAGTTTTCAGCATAATGCAACCGATAGTTTCCATCATAATGGTACGGATAGTTTCCAGCATAATGCCACGGATAGTTTCCAGGATAATGCCGCGGATAGTGTCCATCATAATGCCACGCATAGCTTCCAGGATAATGCCATGGATAGTTTCCAGCCTAATGCCACCGATAGTTTCCTGTCTAATGCCACGGATAGCTTCCAGCATAACGCCACCGATAGTTTCCAGCCTAATGCAACTGATAGGTTGCAGCATAATGCCACGGATAGTTTCCAGCATAATGCCACCAATGGTTTCCTGCATAATGACACGGATAGTTTCCAGCCCAGTGACACAGATATTGTCCTCCCGAATGCCACGGAAAGTTTCCAACAAAATGTCACTGATGGTTTCCTCCCGAATATCACCGATGGTTTCCAGTCTAATGTCACAGATGGTTTCCAGTCTAATGCCACGGATAGTTTCCAGGCCAATGGCACAGATAGTTTCCTCCCGAATGCCACCAGTAGTTTCCAGTCAAATGTCACCGATGGTATCCAGTCTAATGCCACGGATAGTTTCCAGGCCAATGACACAGCTAGTTTCCTCCCGAATGCCACGGATAGTTTCCATTCTAATGTCACCGACAGTTTCCAGTCTAATGTCACCGCTGGTTTCCTCCCGAATGTCACAGACAGTTTCCAGGTTAATGTCACCGATGGTTTCCAGTCTAATGTCACTGACAGTTTCCAGCCCAGTGACACGGATAGTTTCAAGTCTAATGTCACCGATGGTTTCCAGCCGAATACCACCGATGGTTTCCAGCCTAATGTTACAGATAGTTTCCAGTCCAATGACAAGGACAGTTTCCTCTCGAATGTCACGGATAGCTTCCTCTCGAATGTCACGGATAGTTTCCAGCATAATACCACGGATAGTTTCCAACATAATGCCACCGATGGTTTCCAACATAATGCCACCGATGGTTTCCAGCATAATGACACGGATAGGTCCCAGTCCAATGACACAGATAGTGTCCTCCCGAATGCCACGGAAAGTTTCCAGCATAATGTCACCGATGGTTTCCTCCCGAATATCACCGATGGTTCCCAGTCTAATGTCACGGATAGTTTCCAGAGCAATGACACAGATAGTTTCCTCCCGAATGCCACGGATAGTTTCAAGTCTAATGTCACCAATGGTTTCCAGCCGAATGCCACCGATGGTTTCCAGCCTAATGTTACAGATAGTTTCCAGACCAATGACACGGACAGTTTTCTCTCGAATGTCACGGATAGTTTCCAGCATAATGCCACAGATAGGTTCCAGCATAATGCCATCGATGGTTTCCAACATAATGCCACCGATGGTTTCCAGCATAATGACACGGATAGGTCCCAGTCCAATGACACAGATAGTGTCCTCCCGAATGCCACGGAAAGTTTCCAGCATCATGTCACCGATGGTTTCCTCCCGAATATCACCGATGGTCTCCAGTCTAATGTCACGGGTAGTTTCCTCCCGAATACCACCGATGGCTTCCAGCCCAATGGCACGGATAGTTTCCAGTCTAATGTCACCGCTGGTTTCCTCCCGAATGTCACGGACAGTTTCCAGGTTAATGCCACCGATGGTTTCCAGTCTAATGTCACTGACAGTTTCCAGCCCAATGACACGGATAGTTTCCAGTCTAATGTCACCGATGGTTTCCAGCCGAATGCCACCGATGGTTTCCAGCCTAATGTTACAGATAGTTTCCAGTCCAATGACACGGACAGTTTCCTCTCGAATGTCATGGATAGTTTCCAGTCGAATGCCACTGATAGTCAGTTCCAGCCTAATACCACTGATGGGTTACTGCCCAATATCACCGATGGTTTCCTGCTGGACAATACCGCCGATTGGATTGAAAATGCCAGTGCCCTGGAATCAACAAACACTACAGTGTTGAACAGTACCACCGATTTGGACAATCCAAGCACACAAGGAACGCCTGCAAGCCCTGCAAACTGGACAGAAGAGGAGGGGCAAGGTTATGAGGATGAAGACCCGACCATGCTGATAAACAGAACAGGAGCTGCTAATGAGACCATGAGGAGCAACACTAGTAACGACATGCCCGGTTCTGACATGCAAGCAGCATACAACCATAGTACTATGCCAGTGGAGCAGTGGGATTCTGAAAATACGACCACTGTTGAAGCAACAGTTGCAACTGACATGCTCACATCCAACCAGTCTGAGCTTGGTAACGATACTGTGGATGAAAACCTTACACGGAATGTGAACGTGTCATCTCCGGTTCAAAGTAGTACCAACGGAGAAGTTGCCGTAATGCAAAACGATTCATTGCTGGTTGCGGAGTGTCCTTGCTGGAATGGAGGTGTTTGTGCTCGCATTGAAGAAACAAATGAGACGACTTGCTTGTGCAGCGCAAACTTCACAGGAAGCCTATGCCAGCAGGAAGTTGCTGATGTTGCTGACAACTGCCTGTCTGCTCAGTGCAATAACAGCGGATCGTGTGTATCAACAGCGACCGGTTACCATTGCGTGTGCTTTGTGGGCTTCACGGGCAGCATGTGTCAGCTTGAGACGTGTGATACGTCGCCGTGCGCTCCCACAGCAACATGCGTGGATGGACGTGACAGTGACGGATACCAATGCCTGTGTCCTGAAGACTACACAGGCAGCACCTGCACTGACCCAATTGTGCCAGGTGACTTATGCACGGTTAGCAATCCATGTCATGACGACCAGCACTGCATCAGCAATGGTACACACACTGAATGCCAGTGCATGGATGCGACGATGTATGGGCCACGTTGTCAATTCTGGATGAACGAAAGCTGTCTTTATGAACCCTGTGAGAATGAGGGTGTCTGTGTGGAGGCAAGTAATGGTAGTCTGCTTTGTCAGTGTCCACCGGAATGGCTTGGTAAGCTTTGCACTGAACCCTTGGACGTCTGCAGTACATTGTCCTGTGACCATGGTTTGTGCATGCTGGTGCAGGATGGCAATTTAACTAAGCATGAGTGTGTGTGCCATGTTGGATGGTCCGGTTCAAGCTGCTCCAAAGTCACAGAAGCTGTCTGCAGCCTGCACACTAGCGTGTGCACTAACAACGGGACGTGCGTGCCAGATGGGACTTCTCCTGAGGGCTACGCATGCATTTGCCCAGATGGTGATGGCGATGCACAGTGCGGGCCAGTGGAGGATCCATGCACGCTCAACCCATGCTTGAATGGCGGTATCTGCACCGTGGTGACAGCCAATTCTAGCGACAGCCCCGGTTTTGACTGTGTCTGCACCGTTGGCTTCTCCGGCCGGACGTGTGGTGTTAGTCCGTGTGATGGTGCCGAGCGGTGCAGCGGACGTGGAACATGTGTTGCTAGCTCACTATCTTTATCTGGCTACGACTGCCTGTGCCTGAATAAGTATGAAGGTGAGCATTGCCAGACACGCATTGATCCGTGCAAATCACAGCCATGCTTGAACGATGGCAAGTGTCAACGCACTACTGCAGTTTCCATACAGCAGTACAACAGCACTGATGATAAGAATGGCGACAGCAGCAGCAGCAGCAGAAGCAATATCACTGGGAGGTCTTCTATCAGGAGCAGCGACAACACCACTGCAAGCAGTGAAGATGAGTTTGAATGCACATGTCGTTCTTCATACACCGGTGACCTGTGTGAACAATGGATCCATCCCTGTTCCCTGATAGAGTGTCATGGTGCAGGCTCAGCATGTCATAGCTTGGACAATGAGACCTCTGCGTGTATCTGCACTGCAGGTCGCACCGGCTTCTTTTGCGAGACTCTCCTTCCAATTGGTTCATGCGAATCATCACCCTGTCCCAATAACTCTGTCTGCGAACAAGGACCAGCTAATAGCTCAACATACTACTGCCGATGCCATCAAGGGCACACCGGCAAGTACTGCAATGAATCTAGTGATCCATGCGAAGACTCACCGTGTCAAAATGGTGCAACATGTGTGGTGAACAGTGGGAATTCCTCCACGAACATCGACAGCGTGGATGCATGCAGTTACAGCACACCATGCTACAATGCATCGCGTCCTGGTGTTGCGTGCGCCTGTGCCAGTGGCTGGACGGGCGAAGACTGCTCGGAGCCGACCTGCACGGCGACTAGATGCCTCAACTCTGGCACATGCATCGATGATCCAACGTCATTGCATGGTTACATGTGCATGTGCAAGCAGCCGTACGGTGGTGAGCATTGTGAGGTGTTGACGGATGCCTGCTGGTCAGTGCCATGTCATTACACGGCTAACTGTACATCCGTGCCCGATCCAGCAACCGGAGATGCCGACTTTGTTTGCCACTGCGCCGGTGGATTCAGCGGCAGGCACTGTGACAATCACACTTGTTTGAACAATGCCGCAATCTGTTCTGGGCATGGAGTGTGCATGGTCAGCAACACCAGAGACACTGGCTACTCGTGTGTATGTGATGCTGGATATACAGGAGATGAGTGCCAGTCTCCTGCCGATCCTTGCCTGTCCTCGCCGTGTTACGGCAATGCCACATGCCATGCCTCCGCCAATACGCACCGACGTGACTCCGCAGTGGAACTGGGCCAGGCAGCACACTTTACCTGTCAGTGCAACTGGGACTACACTGGTGTGTTCTGCGAGTCCCATGCCGATCCGTGTGCACTGCTGGAGTGCTTTGGCACGGGTTCAGATTGTGTGATCGACGCTAATAATAAGACCTCCTGTTCGTGCAGTAGTGGCAGAACCGGGCAGCACTGCCAAATTGTGCTGCATCCATGTGATCTATCAATATGCCAGAACAATGGGTCATGTGTGCGGAGTAAAATTGACCCGACCGGGTACATATGTCACTGCCAAGATGGACACCACGGGCAACAGTGCCAGGACTGGAATGGAATATGTCGAAGCCAGCCGTGTCACAACAACGGCAAATGTGTGGAGACAGGCGTCAACCAAGCTGCCGCCTTCCGCTGTGAATGCACGCCCGGCTGGGATGGAGCCCTGTGCGAGCAGCGCATCTCGCCTTGCCAATCGTCACCATGTGCTGCCGATGCAACGTGCACTCTGACGAGTTCTGACCCGGCTAGCAACAGCAGCAGTGGTTACACATGCATGTGTCCACCCGGCAGCTTTGGCGCAGCGTGCCAGTACAACACCTGCTCGTCATCGCCGTGTCACAACAACGGGTCGTGCCACGTTGAGCCCGAGCTGAGTAGAGGCTACCGGTGTTCCTGTATGCCCTACTACACCGGCTATCGATGTGATGTGGATGTTGATGAGTGTGCCAGTCAGCCATGCTATGGCAACAGCGAGTGCAGGGATCTGCTGGGTACCTATCATTGCTTCTGTCCGCCGTTCTGGTACGGGCAGAACTGCCAACACTACTTGCCGGATCCCTGCTCCATCAAACCATGCCATAGCGGTGCGTGCTTTTCCACGGCATCTCGTGCCAACTACTCGTGTGTATGTCCGCTAGAATGGACAGGTCAGCATTGTGAGGTTGAAGTCAAGGTGACATGTCTTGCATTGCCCTGTGGAAACAATGGGACATGTCTGGATCTACGCAATGGTTCATTCATCTGCCAGTGTCCTGATGGTCTGGTCGGTGAGCTCTGCGAGGTGGACAACACAACAACCACTCCATCACCGACAAGGCAACACAACGTCACTGCTACCGTCACATGTGCAGATATCGACTGCGGGCACTTTGGTAAGTGTGCGCACAATGTTCAGCTCAACACTGTACGCTGCGTTTGCCTTTATGGCTTCTCGGGCGAACAGTGCGAACATGCCCTGGGTGGCTTCCACTGCGTGCAGACTGGTTGCGAGAATGACGGCCGTTGCCAGAACGATACAGGCCGGTGTGTGTGCCCTGAGCCATGGCGTGGTGATGATTGCGGCGTGGCCAGTGGCCATTGTACTACCGCACCGTGTGCTGCAAACGCTGCGTGGTGCAGCGAGAGCAAGGCGGCGGGCACGTACAGCTGTAGCTGCAAACGTGCCTACACCGGTGCCCATTGTGGGCAGTGTGTGGACAGCTGCAGTCGCTTTCCAGAGGTGTGCGGCGACTTCGGTCGCTGTCAGGTGTCTCCGTGCCAGGTTAGAGATGACAGCACGGTCGCCTATGCTAACGCCGCACCCACCCATCACACTCACACAGACGCTGAACTCGGGGGGAATCGCTCGGTCTGCCAGTGCGATCCGGGTCACTACGGCGAATTCTGCGAGAAGCAGCTGAGCTCCTGCCAGGGAGTTGTGTGCGAGAACAATGGGTAAGATGACATTCAATTAGGCCAGCTCTCAGCTAGCAGCCAGGTTCCTATATGCTGTATAGAGTATCAGACCAGAGCAGGGAAGTCTTATAATGTCCTCGTTGGTGATTCGCATTATGACTGTATACGGATCACGCAGTTGCAAATACATTCCCGTAATTTTCAAAGGCACCCTAGAACCACTCTGTAATTCAGGTACACTATACTACAACACTAGTGTAGTGTAATGGACATGGAGTGATCCTATGTGAAGATTAAACCACTTCAATCAGCTGTGTGGTGTAGACCAGGCTAAAATTAGTGGCGGTCAATTCATCAGCCTTGCAAGCTGTTGAATGGGGTAATCCCAGCACAAGTTGCTATGTCTAACGTAGCTGTTCGCTATCATCACTTCCGCGATGGCATGTGTGTGTGTGTGTGTGTGTGTGTGTGTGTGTGTGCGCGCGCGCGCGTGCTTGCGTGCATGGTATGCTTGCAGGACATGCCTTGAGCAGTCTGGCACTGTGCATGGGCAGCAAGTCATCACCTGCGCCTGCACAAACCCGCACTGGGCAGGAACGATGTGCGATGGTAGGTCATCATACAGTAGTACATAGCACATCATAGTGCATGCTGGAATAGATACGAGCAAGCTTGGCCAGTACACTACAGTACATTGCCGCAACTAAAGCTTGTTGGAGACTGCATGCTAGAATTTGTTGGCACCAATGTTAGCAATGGGGGAGGGGAAGGGGGGGGGGGTGACAATTGCCGCTATGCCTTAGGGGTTAAAGCGCCTGTCTAGTAAACAGGAGATCCCTGGTTCGAATGGGATGTGTGGCTGAACTTTTTCCAACGCACATGGAAATGGAATAAATAGAACTCAAGTAAACTATGAAAATGAAGTGAAAAGCAGACTTCAGAATACGCTTTCCAAGCATGAAGCTGCTGGTTTGATTTCTTTTTGTGCCAGGCAGCGAAATTCAGCCGCCAGTGTGGAAACTAGCACTGCGCTCTGCTGTACTCTGCACAGCCCTTGCACTACTGCACAGTGGACTCTGTACTCAAGCACATTGCTGCTTTATCCATAATAGGCACTCTTCACAGGCCAGGATTATAATTTGCGTGAAGACGAATCCACTTGCTGAGAGCAAACTGCACATAGAGTAAGTACTTCAATTGGGGAGGCCAGGAGAGGTGATGAGGGAGAGGAGTGATGAGCATTCAGTGACCCTTACTCTGTGGAACTATCACAGTAACAAGAGTGTCGAAAAACACCCCTACCCCTTCAGTCCGCATGGCTGCGTACAGAATGGACTATAGGTTTGGGGTCTTTGCCACGTGGTTCTACTATTCCGTCACTGTTTCTGAGGAACTCACGTGCCAGGCTACGCAGATCTAACCACGACTGTCTCCCTCTCTGGTGCCTGTCTTTTGCTGTCTAGAATGTGCTCTGGACTGTCTCCATGGTAACCCCGATGCCCAGTGCAAGCATTGCTACTGCAAACCTAACTGGTCCGGCCAGCATTGTGATGGTAAGATACAGTATACGGTGCACTAGGGTGTAGCTAGTGATTATGTCATGATGATGTCATCTCATCGACTGGAAACCAAACTGGTCAGGACTCAGGACAGCAGTGTGATGGTAAGATACAGTGTGCAGTGCACTGTGCCGTAGCTCGTGCTTATGATGATGTCATCCCACCCACTGGGGTAAAATAACTGGCAGGGGATACTACAGAGGTTTAGCAAGAGGAATTTCGCGTTCAAATCCGCACTTCAATGCAAGACATACTCAGTGACGAAGTTAGTTGGCGGTGTAGTATGGATTAGCAAACAGAATTCACACTTGCATGACATTCACACAGGTCGTACACGTGTACAGGTCGTACCAAGAGTACATAAGGGAGGTTTAGTTCCCACGTAACGGAAACGCGTACGTGGGTGATCCACGTAAAGTGGATGAAGGGCACCCACGTTGCAATGTTGTGTTTAGTCACACGGAACAAACAAAAGCATGAAGCTAAAGGCCAAAACCTGGTCAAAAACGGAGCTACCCCGGCCTAAGAAGCTCATCCAATATTTTGATTTCGTGCTTCGGAAACTTCTTCAGCTGAGCACCCTCACAGCTCGCACAATGCGTCCATTCTGATTTTCACCCACGTTCTGGCGGAACGTGGGTGAGCCTCCATACACGGTATGTCGTGAATCAGAATACGTCTGTACGTGGGTCACTGAGTATCACGTGGTACACCCACGTAAAGTACCCACGGATTACGTGGGACTAAACCTCCCTATAAACCAGAGTGTGCAACTCGGGATGGTTCCTGTGGGAGCGTAATTCATGCAGTACGTCATTTCTGATGGCATGGTAAGCCACAGGTACGGTGAAAAGTTGCGTAACCAGTCGCGGTGGTGCAGGTCACTGAGTTTGTCCTGATTTCGGTTTTTGAAACGGATTGCCTGGTGACTTTACTTGTCGGTGGATGTACGCCGCATACACAGTCACACAAAACACCGAAATCCTGAAACAGGACGTCTAAAATCAAGCAAACTTGGCTGATTTCCGGGCTATGAAACACGAAAATTTGAGCTGTACGCAAGTCACGGCTTGGCTGACCTCATCAGGGTGACGTAGTGCACGAACTGCGCTGTTTCAGATCTGATATGCACAGTTGCACACTCTGGTTTATGTACTCTTGGTCGTACAGCATAGTAACTAAGTTTAAAGATATAATTATAGGACTGCCTGACACTGCGATTCCGACTGCTTTTCCAAACAAAAAGTGTGAATTTATAGTAAAGAAAGTGTGAAAGTTTGCATTTCAGGTCGCGAACCGAAAAGTGTTCGCGAACTCCAAACGTGAAATTCGTCTTGCTAAACCTCCGTACATGTACTACCTTGAATGTGTGTGTGTGTGTGTGTGTGTGTGGGGGGGGGGGGGGGGTGTTGGATTGGTGTACCAGCCACAGGTGCAAGGGCATGCTTGGAGATGCGACTTGAAAAAAGCGTGGGGTGGGGAGATTTGTACAATGATACTTCTGTGCTGGATGCTACAGCAAGCTGAATCTATTCTTCTGTCCATGTTGTCGCTCGCAGTGTGCCGGGGACGGGTTGAAGCCGATCAGTGCAAGCCCTATTGTCTCAAGAAAGGTTTCTTACCAGTCAACGGTACTTGTTATGGTTAGTTGTGACTCTACTTCATGTGCTACGAGCAACACACATGCATTGTTTGATGATCTCAATGTGGTGTATATGTGCACACATAAAGTGACCAGTTGTGGTGTTGGCCAATGTGAGAGTGAACAATGCCGGTACCGTAAAACTTGCTGCTTTGAAGCTGGTGCCAGATCCGGCACTACAGCCGTAAGCCGCATGACCAGCTACAGTTACTGCTGTAGCGAGAAGGAGCCACGGGTGTGTGCGTGGTCCCTGTAGCCTAATCGGTAAGGCCCTGTCCCGGAAAGTGCTGGGTTCCGAATCCCGCTCGTGGATCCTTCTTTTGCAACACTGCTGATTGCCGCAGTCCATGCAAGTCCATGCCACACACTCTCCACCACGGGTGCATTCTACTTTATAGCGGTGATTGCTCTCTTCTACTTCTCACTCGTGTCTAAACTCTATGCTCCCATGTAGTACATGGTGTTGATTCTGTTGTTTCTCCCATTGTCCATACTTTCCCTACCTGCAACCCGCTGCAGCATGTGGAATACAGAACTGCCTGCGCTGCACTGGGCTGAAGTCTAAAGATGGTGGCACGGCGGCAGGCAGCAGCACTGCAATGTGCCTGTCCTGTACTGATCCCTACGCTCAAGTCCGGGGACGATGCGTTGCCATCACTACCTCAAGTACGTCATTTTGCTTGGGGGGGGGGATCATTTCATTGGTTCGACTTGCTGCACTGTCTTGCAGGGAATTGTCATCAAATATCATCTTTTCAGAACAGCATGACCTTAATAGTCTTGACTCTTGAGAGTGCTTGGAATCTGCTAATTGCCATTAAACTTTTGCATTTCAGTGCGCCAATCCCACTTGAGCATGGACTCTAAAAAATAGGGGGTTCTGTTTGTGCACGATGGTTATACGTTTCCAGGTTTTGAAGTAACAACCAAGAGACCTGGCATCCACAGCTGGCTAATCATCGTCCTAGCTGTTGTTGGTGTGATCGTATTGCTGATGCTACTCCTGTGCGTTGCATTGCTCATACGCAAGTGCTTGCGTCGCCGAGGCTCGTACACTCCTGGCAGCGTGGACATGGCCTACGGTGCCAAGAGCAGCGGTGCAAGCGCCTTGCCCAGCACTCCAAGTGTCAGCAGGGACATCAAGATGCTGGCAATCGCCAGGAAACCGCCTCTGGCAACCATGGTCGTACAGAATCCTGGGTAAGTTGGCGTGTTGGAGTGAAAGTCTACTGGCGGTGGTACCTACTAACACAGTCACCACACCACACAATGTGCTCTGGCACATAGTCACCACACCACACATGTGTGAGCTACGCCTCTGGGCGTGCACATCGACTGACTTATGACCTGCACCTGGAAACCCAGTCATCCACTACATGTACGTGTATCACAATGTTGTCGCCAAAAGCTGATTTACTTCTGTGGACGAATACAGGGCATGACAAGGTATAGCTGGCTGACCGGGAGTCATTCGGACTGCATCCTATCCTTGGAGTGATGTCCCAGCCAAGCTAGTACATGTACATAGCTTACATGCAGTGCTGCTTTGCAAAGGGGAGTGTCAGCTACACTTGGCCAGCAATGTTTTTTTACAACCGATTCTCAGTCAGACAGCCTCACCCGTATGCAATGCTGACTTATCCAGTAATGATGGTCTCCTCCCGCTTCATGAACGCATGCAGTCCAGAAGATCCGGGCTCGACTGGAATAAATTGCCGATGCAAGTTAAGTTGTGTCTTGCCTGCTGCCTCCCGTTGTTGCTGTAATGCAGGGCCGACGACTCATTCGCAGAGGTTTCGCTGGAGGAGTCCAACATGTGAACTCGACACTATCCGGTCTACTGCTCCTGATGCTGCTATGGACAAGGTCAAAGTGGCATTTGCCATAGTACGGGACGCTAAGCGGCAAGCTCACAGAGTATGAAGAACGTGCCATGAGAACAGTGATACAGTAGGACTCCTGATCCCCCGCAGTCCTCCTGCATGGAATATTTACCGCAATACTATTATATTTCCTCTTGACGTAACAATCTTGATTTAGCCCACTGACCGGCCCTTGCATTCAGGCTGATGCGACTGCACTCTCTGTCTCTCGAGTCAAGGAAGAATGGCATAATGGAGAACAGAAGACGTGATTGTCTGTGAAAACACTATATACTCAGGCAGCCATTCGCACATGCGCAGTTTGCATGACGCTCTAGCGTTGTTCTCCAGTGAAGCTTAAAGAATGACATCATTGGCTTCATGTAAATGGTCTACACAGCAATGTAATAACACTTGTAATATGTGACAGTTCGCGTACAATGTCCATTGACACAATAACCATGATATTATTGTGCAACACATGGTTCCGCTGCTGTTCCTCGGCTAGAGATTGCATGCACCCGCACATGCGCTGTACCGCGTGAATAAAGCCTCTCTGAGCTGCTCGATCCTGGCATGGGCCATGGCGGAGAGTTCGTCAACATGGCGCTGAGTGGAAAGGCTTGGCACCTTCCGGCACGACACAGCGTCACTGTGCAGAACACCTGGCATTATGGTTCAAGGTTGCCGTATTACGACGGGTTAGCATATAATTACTTTTTTTCCTCCAAATAATCGTTGGTAGGTGTTGTCAAACACAGAACGGCACTTGTGCCCTAGGTGGCAAGAAAGTTCAAGAAAGGTTCAATACACTAACAGAAAATCCAAGACATGAGCCACCACGGGCACTATTATAAGCAGAACAGATAGAAAGGCGAAGTCCATTGTATGTATGAACGCCACACAACTCTTGGTGATATACTGTTTGAGGTTCTAGTATGCAGTTGTACTGCACTGCAGCCACGGAATGGCTGTCGGCTGAGGAGCACCACGATGTTGCACAGAACAGCAGTGGCATACGTTGTTACTACAATGTCATAGTGGATTGCCCACCGGATCTGTAAAGTATTTAATATTATGTTTTTTTTAAACTTTTTAATAACATTATTATGGTATTGTGTATGTACACTAGGTAGCAAGAATGAAAAGCAGCAGATCAGCTGGGAAGTATTATACATGGGTCGTATTTACAGGGCAATTGTCTACGTACAAACTCTGGGTCATGTACACTGATAAGTTTGAGAAACTGTACAAATCGTGTCGTCAACAAGCACGCAGCCAGCAGCCGAACAAGGCCCGGGAGAGCCACCTGCGAGTGGCATTCACCGTGTCTGGACAAGGTCGCGGAATATGCTCCGCTTCTTGGCAGCAGGCGCGCAGTCCATGCTGGCTGCCTTACGAGTAACCTGCAAGCACAACAAGGGCAATGCAGAATTACATGACAAACGGTATCACCCCATTGTGCCTCAGCCTCCCCGGAGTTCACAGTAGCAGTGTGTGGGGATTGAGTTGCGCAGAAGCTAGCAAAGGCTGGACATTTAGATCATGATGCAAGTGAGCCACGCTCAAGTCTGATCCCAGGAACACATAGGCTCTTGCTTCCATATTAGTTGCAGACTGTGCAGCCATGGAGGAAATATCCTACCCCCATTGGGTGACAGAAGCGAAACAGGCGCTGTCTGAGTTTTGTTCAAGCAACATTCTACTACGAGAACTGTTCAATTATTATTATTGTTGGGTGATATGCCACTCATGGCTACTGCACAACATCACTGACCTGTGCAGGCTTTGGCAGCGACGGCTTCCGAGATGACGAGGGAGCAGCAGGGTTGGAGTTCTCGTTGTTCGAAAGCGTGCGCTTGAAAACAAAACCCCTGGTGTTGCCTTGCAGGTTGAGTGCGGTTGAAGTCTGACTTTCAATGCGCTTGAGAGTAGCCTTGCTGCGGTTCAGGAATGACCCGCATTTCCTCTGCAATACAAAGGACAGCGGAGGATGGGTTTCCCCCCGCACAAGATAGCGGGCGAACAATGGGGAACAATGCACATGCATTCATCAGGTCGAGGGAGTTGAAAACGAAATGCACAATCATCATGTACTTACGTCAAATATTCATAGGCTGAGGGAATGGAAAAGGGAAAAGTCTGAAGAAAAATTTGACTGTCACCACCAGGACTCGACTACTTACGTCAAGTAAACAATAAAAAATTGAGAGCGAGAGAGAGAGAGAGAGAGAGAGGAGAGAGAGAGCAACGTATGACCCACACTCACCAGCCGTGGTGCTTTCTTTGTTGAATGCGGCACTGTACAGGCAGGACCCGATGGGTAGTGGTAGTATTGGAGACACAAACAGAAATGCACAGGCACATGATTTTAAACACAGTAATTTTACCCAACACCCACGCGGGACGACGGGTTGAATACATCTGAGAAGAGCAACCGTGCACTACGATTGACAAGGTAAGAAAAACACTAGCTATGTATGGTGTTGTCTGAGGATTGGCCCTATTGCCACGAAACTCGGAGTAACAACAAAACAAAGTTTCCCGCCATTGTCAACTTGTGTATGTCCGTGTACGCCGAAGTATGGTACTTCATGTATGTGAACATATTAAAGATTGTGAAGTGATATGACCATGATCCCTACCTGCGCTGCTACTATTGCTTGTCTCCAGATTGTCGAAGACACTACGACTGTCCTCGTCCTCCAACAATAAACTGCTGTTTTCTTCACCGTCTTTCATCTGCAGGGAAAAGAAACAATGAGCATAGAAAGTGAGATAGTAACCAAGATCGGCAGTACATTCCGTTGCCACCGTCTATAGCCACGCACAAACAGCACTAGCAACTATTGAAAAAGCCGTCCGGGCTTACGCGTTTTTCGTGGAGGAAGGCGTTGCGTTCGTGCCGCTGTTTCCGCCGGGCCGCCTCCATTTGACTGTCCTCACAATCGTCAGAGCCAGAGTCTTCGCAGGCCGGTCCAAACAGGTCCATTTGTGATGACTCATCCATTACTGCGGAGAAAGAAAGCAGCCACAAGAACAGACGAACAAGACAGGTATTCAGCTACAGGTATAGTTACGCAGGTTGCAGCAAGTGAAGTGTCACTATACAAGCACACAGAGGAGTGTAGACTAGTGATCCAGGGTGTCACTAGATCTACCGGCACGTCTACGCAAGTCAAACCATGGCAATAGCACCAGCACAAAGCCACACAGTGCATGTGCAGCCCCGCCCCTCAAAGCTGACTGGCAAAGTACGAAATGTAGCAGCTCCTCACCAGGTCTATAGCGACGTGTTCTGAAAAAGCCTTCATTGTTCATTCCTTCCTCGTAGTCGGCATCTGTACAACGCAGCACAAAGAAAAGAAATGGGGGATGAGCACAATCACTCAGCACGTGAGGTCTTCCAGTGAGGTCAGCAATATCAGACACAAACCATACCAGATAACTCAGGTTGCGTTTGGTTGGTCCCATTCCACAATGGAACTCACTCGGAATCACTGGAATCATTCTTGCCCGTTTGTTTGGTCAAAAAATTCCGTTAGGTTCGTCCCATTCCAGAATGAGAATCGATGAGAATAAGTCAGTAATTGGCACGGAACAAGACATGGGAGCAATCCCACACCGTATTCGTATTCCGTGTCCCTTCTTTCAGCGGCGTAGTTTAAGGTGTATTCCCGGCCAGCCACATCTACAAACTTGACGTTAACACACAAAAGTAAACACCGCTGCCGCAACGCAGCTGATAGAGCTACCTAACTCCCTGGTATGGCGCAAACCAATTAGAGTAATTAGAGCCTGCCTTTACCCTAGTAACGTACGTACAATTTTTCCCGTATCATATTACTGCATATTAAATTATTAACTCAAGGAGGCTGGGGAGGGGTATGTTGAAGTGCTCACCTCCCAAAATCATTTCCTTGAACGTTCTCATTTCAGCATTATCGTCTTGGAGGGAAACTTTCCTGTACATCACACACACACAGACACACAGACACACACACACATACACAGACAGACGCACACACACACACATGAACAGCAATTACATAGAGGAGAGAGCAAGGCAACATGAGCTTACAACAGCCGTAATCTCACGTATTAACGCCGGGCTTATTCCTGTAGAAGCCGATGTCAGCGCTAGGCTTCTATGTACTTCAAAGTATGTCAGCACCAAAGCCATGCTTATGTGCCACCAGTGCACCTCGAAAATCAGGCTGGCATTGAAAACAGGCTTCTATATGAGACAAGCTAATTAAAGGGGAAGTTAAGGCAAAAATTAAAATTTCACCAGTTGTAGTCTTCGGGGTGCTGAGTCGAATGGTCTTGGTCCGAGAAAGCTGAGACGCTCCCTTCCTACTTGAATCCCAATCGAACTCGCGCACTTCCACCGAAACTGGGTGACTGCGCCCTACTAGATAGGGATTTGTATGCAAAATGTCACTAAAAGCGCCATTTCGTTCTTATAAAAGCACGGATGACCGCGATTGGCCCATATGTTGTAGTCTTTTGGACGCTGAGTCGACTGGTTTTGGTCCGAAAAGGCTGCGATGCAGCGTTCCTCCTTTATTCCCAATCGAACATGGTTGAACAAGCGGTCACGTGCTCCTGGGTGCCCAAATCACCTGGTCACCACGCCAGCAGGCGACAACTTTCACACCAAGGTTCAACTCGAGTGACAGGACTGCACCCAAAAAAGGTCAAACAGGCTAGTAAGTTGTACCCTGCAGGCACGGTGACCAGGTGACTGGCGTACGCAGGAGCACGTGACCGCTTCTTCAACCATGTTCGATTGGGAATAAAAGGGGGAATGCTGCATCGCAGCCTTTTCGGACCAAAACCAGTCGACTCAGCGTCCAAAAGACTACAACATATGGGCCAATAGCGGTCATTCATGCTTTTATAAGAACGAAATGGCGCTTTTAGTGACATTTTGCATACAAATCCCCATCTAGTAGGGCGCAGTCACCCAGTTTCGGTGGAAGTGCGCGAGTTCGATTGGGATTCAAGTAGGAAGGGAGCGTCTCAGCTTCCTCGGACCACGACCATTCGACTCAGCACCCCAAAGACTACAACTGGTGAAATTTTAATTTTTGCCTTAACTTCCCCTTTAATACAGGACTTCTATACGAGACAAGCTAATTAATACAGGACTTCTATACGAGACAAGCTAATTAATACAGGACACTACGGTATACTAGTATGTGCTGTGCGCCCCCCCCCCCCCCCCCTTGCGGAGAGCGCTGAATTTTGGGGCACATTTCCCAAGCATCGCCGCCGCTCTCAGTGCCCACTCAAGAGACGAGTCACTCTGCAATCATGACTACACAGGGGAGGTGTGTCTGCACTATCTGGCTACCATGGTTACCATGGCTACCAGGGGTATCTATAGTTATTAGTAGCAAGGTTCTACTGTACACCATTAGCATCTAGAGTGTGCCATGGCCTCAACCGCAAAGAGCATACCTATCGACATTCAAGTACTAGTACCCATACCAGTAGAAAGTAAGGCAATTATACAAGTAGAACTGTAGCGAGGACATGCCACACCAACAACAGCGGAGTGCTCAACACCACATGCACCCACACACCCACACACAAACACGCAAGCACACTCACCCACACACAAACACACAATTTACTCAAACGTCTATGTACTGAACTCACTGGTGGACCTTCTTGAGTTGTTTCTCAAGAGCCTCTTCACTAGGCAGGGCCTCATCTTCACCAGACTCCTCTTCATATTCATCAGCCGACACACCAAGCTCTTCATCATCGGATGCCTCGCTGCCGGACAATTCAGCTTCACTGCAGGAAATTCCACACAAGCATCCAGCAACAACAACCATCACAAATAGGCAAATGGCAGAAACTGGCTGATTGGTCAGATAACCGCAATCAGTGGCTATATATTCAGAAAGATCACCCAATGAAATTCTGGTAATCAGCGATTGCATTCACTTGTATGTACCCGTAAGTTGTATCACACAACATAGCTGATAACGAGGGATCGGTGCGACTACACCATGTGATTGTTCACGCACAGAGTGGAATAACAGCATGTTAGTTTATGGCATTGGTTAGACAAGCAGGTCAGAGTCCTTTAGATCTCGATACGCAGTGTCTTGTGCTCCATACTCTTCATCTTTCATCTTCCCTAGAACACTCCCTTGGTTGGCATCCATTGGCGTTGGCATCTGGAGAATTCTTCACACATATACCCGGGAACTATACACTGCTGCACACTAGGGATGAGCACTTACTTCCCCGCTTTCCATATTGTCATCGCCCATTTACGTCAACTCATGGTCCGTCAAATGCAATTCAAAATGCAACCTGGACCTTGAACGGGAATAATCTCTCCCCCCACCGAATATGAGAAGCCACAGTATTCTCACGATGCAATATAGATAATAGAGCACAGCTGTTGAACAAGGGGAACTTTTCGTCAGTGTGTAATTTAGGGCATGATCGATTGGGCGAAACCCGAGCAAGTGCACTCAGAGTGAGTGTGATCGTTTGGCCGAATCCGGAGTAGGTACATGTATACTTGAAGTGCAATCCAACCACACTGGCCCCCACACCAGGAGTGGCTGGCAAGGAAATGGACTTTGACTTTGTATTTGAGAGCTTTCCCAGAAACTTTGTACGATATGGGCACTACACCTTTGCTTTGTTCGTTTGGGCGAGCGCTGCTCGGACCACACCACCTGCTCGCACTCAATCCGGATTCGCCAATCGCTGACACCCTTAGTCTAACTTTGAAGATCAGTTCATCCGGTTAAAATTTCATCCATGACCGACGTGTCCTATTACTAGCCTAGGCATATCACCATTGGTCCAGAATTTAACTTTGTCCGAAGACGAAACTAAATTCCCGGCGAATGTTTTTGCCGATATGGTAATGGCATGGTCTGCACATACGCCATCAAATACTAGCCCTTGGCGCTGCATGTGCATGGCTGACCTTTCAACAAAGCCACGCAGGTCGGCAATGCCTTTCTTGACTGGAGCAGCACTGGCAGTAGCACTGGCAGCATCGCCTTCGTCATCGCTATCATCATCGCTGTCGTCATCGCTATCGTCCTCATCATTATCAGAAGCACCAGCACCAGCGACTTGGGTCGGGAATGCACCCGACAACACACCCAGTAGATCAGCACGAACATCAGCTGGTGCTTGTACATCATCATCTTCTCCTACACTACTGGCATCACTAGAATCATCATCATCATCATTGTTCTCTTCACTTTCATCGTCTGCGTCACTACCCTCCTGATCACTAGCAGCAGCATCATTATCATCTTCGTTTTTTGCCTCTGAACCAGCAACATGGTGCCTCTGCATTGGTGCTACCTGCCCATTGGCGATTTCTTCATCGTCATCATCCTCGTCAACATCCACACTGCGGCTGTTCTCCTGCGAGGAAGGTACCTTCGCCTCCTGGGTAGCCACCAACGACTCTGCATCTGACGACGACTGGCTCATGGTTGTGGCAAAATTGGAATCACATGTACTTTTGTTCTAGCACTGTACCAGGTCACACTTTCTGCAGGGAAGACGAGCGGGTTATAAATGGCTCTAGTCTAGGCAGCTACTGTACCATATCGCCTGACATAGTCCGGGGAAGATCAGAAAAACATACCAAAACTGAGGCCCAGAAAGGAAAACATTGTAGTCAAGAACAGTCAGTTCGTAGATCGTGACCTGCGATTTCCAGCAAAAAGATGATCGTGCACGCTCGCTCGAATGGAATCGCGAAGTCGAAGCACGCTTCACCAAATCAAATTTTGGCGGGAGAGCGATGTCGTGATTGTGACGTCTTCTACGTTTGTCGCATTATCCTCGCATACTTTGCAGTAAAATTTTGATCTTCAAGTGCCGATCTAGATTTTTCCATTTGGCGGGAGATATGGATCTGCAGAGCCTAGCCGATCTTGCGAAGGTCCGAGCTGCATCAGGCTGCACAGGATTCAGGAAGTTTGTGATTTGAAGAGTTGGGCTTGAGCTAGCTGAGTCTTCTTTGAACGACTTCTTCTTTCTCAGTTCAAGATCATTTTCTCTCACCTGACCAAATATTCCGTGTAAATCTACCAGAAGACCCTGTCTTCAGGACTCTTGCAGCAATGGCGGGCATGACATCTATGTACGTCGTGAAGAGAGGTAAGAGCGACGATGTTTGCCGTGCTTGAAGCTTTCGGATGGGACCCTGACGGTCATTTTTTTCATTTTACTCTTCCAACTTACTGCAGATGGCAAGAAGGAGACCGTAATGTTCGATAAAATCACGTCGAGGATCTCCAAGCTTTGCTATGGCTTGAATACAGAATTCGTTGAGCCCGTAAGTTCACATTTCGTACACCATGCGGTTTCTGTTTTTTTGAATACTGAATAGTCATTGTCAGTGCATCTCATTACGGATGATGTAACATTGTTTCGCCTTCGACTGACTTATGACAGTACTAGCTCACGAGATGTCCGAAAGTTCAGATTTTTCTGCAATATTCCTGTGTATCAGGTGCTTGGCCACAGCACTCTCCATGCTCCAATAGCCAGAGTATGCCCCTATGGTTTTGAGTCAACTTTTGACCATATCCCCCTCTCTCCCCCACCCTCTGGCACTGCTTCAATAATAAAAAGTGCCATGCCAGAGCAGGCTGAACAAACAGTACACATGGTGCACGTTTGCATGGGAAGATACGAATTTGAAAGCAGCTTGAAACGATTTTCCGAAGATGGGATAGCACGGCGCTCAGTATCCAGGGGGGGGGGGGGGGGGGGGGGGGGGGTAATTCAGAATAGAAGTCAAGAAAGCATGCAGCTCTAGGGACCTGTCGTCAGTTTGTCTCTGTCCCTTTTTTAACCCTGAGAGTTGAGCCGCTGAAAAAGCAATCTACTCTTCTTTGTTACGTGTCTGATTTTTTTACTATTTTTTTACTTCTTGAGCTGACTGCGTTGTCGCATGTACTTTCTCGGTCTTGACATTCTTTCTGTGTGGTGTTACCTGCAACTCACTCTCACACACACACACACTGGCACATGTACAGGTGGCAATCACGATGAAGGTTGTGTCTGGCGTGTTCAGCGGTGTGACCACCGTTGAACTCGACACGCTGGCCGCGGAGACTGCAGCCTGCATGACCACCCGGCATCCGGACTACGCCATCCTGGCCGCCCGCATTGCCGTCTCCAACCTGCACAAGGAGACGAAAAAGACCTTCAGCCGTACGTACACGTACTCCGATGGTGTCATAGCACAGTGTAGTGCTGCTATTGTGCAGTGTGTGTGTGTGTGTGTGTGTGTGTGTGTGTGTATGTCGAGGAGGTATTAATTCCATTCCTGCTAAATCAATGAAAACGCTCCCTTCAGCATTTATTTGAGTCTTTTGTGCAGTAGAATGCTGGCTATCCGAAAAGCCTGTTCAGTGGTCACACTGCTTCGAGGGGGGGGGGGGGGGGTAAATTTAGAGATTTCGTATTCTCCTCACTTACAGCAGCATAGCACTGATGAACCCTATCCCCATGGGGAATGTCAATGCGCTGGACGGCGTATTATTGCAGTGCTGCTTCTGAAGGAGAGCAAAACATGATGGGAACACGAGGGATTGTATATGCGTTAGATGGGTGTGTGCCCCGTGTCTGGTCGTTGAACTGCTTCGATAGCAAGTGTGTGGTCTGTTTGATTTTTTCTATTGTATAGATGTCATGGAGGACCTGTACAACTATGTGAATCCCAAGAACAAGAAGCATTCACCTATGATCTCCAAGGGCACCTGGGAGATTATTGAGGCCAATACAGACGTGAGTACGACTATATTAGACGCTGTGGGCTTTGTGACATGCCTATGCTTACGGCCAACGCCGCGTTCATATCCTGTGTGTTGGTGACTGTGAGAGACAAGCTTCCATGTTGACTTGTTTTGTGTGCAGCGTTTGAACTCTACCATTGTGTACGACCGCGACTATCAGTATCAATATTTTGGCTTCAAGGTAAGGACTGATTTTGAATAGCCTGATTACCTACTTGGGTAAGGACTGATTTTACCTTCTTAGGTATTAAAAGGACTGATTTTTGAATAGCCTGATTACCTTCTGCGCTGATTCCTGCCCCCCTCCCCCCCCCCCTTCATTTTTTGTTTCCATCCTTCAATAATAGTGGGTGCTTTTGTCGTGTGGTATTTGCTTTGGCTGTACGATGCGTGTATGTGCTTCGCTATACAAATGGCATTTGCCAGTATGACACTTGTCTACTGTCGTCTGTCGGTGAGTCCTCCGCCTCTAGTCTCGTATAAACACTGGCGAGCCTGTAGTAACATCACAGCGATGCTTTGCACTTCAAGTAAGATGTCAACTTATCCTACCTGCTGTTACGGATGTTCATACTTGGTAGCAAATGGAGCTTTGTTGTTGTTGTTGTTGTGTAGACTCTGGAGCGCTCCTACTTGCTACGCATCAATGGCAAAGGTCAGTCTGGATTTTGTGGTATTGTTGCAGCATTGCATTAGCATGTTCTCGGGCCTTCCCGGGAGCATATCCAGATAATGATTGTGTGGGAAGGGTCCACCTAAGCAACAAGGAATGTTTCATTTGTGTTTGTCCATTATGCATTATGCTTACAGTCGCCGAGCGTCCTCAGCACATGCTCATGCGTGTAGCTGTCGGTATCCACCAGGACGACATTGACTCTGCCATTGAGGTGAGCAGCACACTTGGGTACACTAGCTTGTTCTCTGTGATACCTAAACCTTCCTAGTTTTGGTAGTCGGGCTTCTTTGCAGACGACTTGATGATCCATGTGGGTGTTTAGCAGACGACACCGTCGACTATGGCTCCTCAAATCCACCACGTGTTATCCAGGCAACCAATATTGTCCGTATTGTTTTGCTGTTCGTGTTGTCTCGTTGCTGCTCAGACCTACAATCTCTTGTCAGAGCGTTGGTTCACCCATGCCTCTCCAACCATGTTCAACGCCGGCACTGGACGCCCGCAGATGTCCAGCTGCTTCTTGCTGCAGATGAACGAGGACAGCATTGATGTGAGTTTCCTGACGGAGTGATGGAGTGTCAGTGTTTGCCAAGTTGTGACTGATCTTGGTGTTGATTTGGGTCATTTGAGCTCCAGTGAGTTGCCTGCATGGCAAATGTATGTACATGTACTGTGCTGGCCAGAGAGATCCAACCTCATGAATAAAGTAGCGCCGCTTTCGAGTGCACAGAACAGTATGCGTGGTGCTAGGGCTGCGTAGCACCCACCCCGGTGCTATTTTATTCATGAGGTTGGATTTCTTTGGCCAGTACTGTACATGTGTCTGTGATTAGGGGATTTTGAATTGGGCAAGTTGCTGCAAGTTCACAGTGTATGTGCTTCTGATGTTCTCCGTCGACTACATGTACAGGGCATCTACGAGACACTGAAGCAGTGTGCCAACATTTCCAAGTGCGCCGGTGGAATTGGTCTCGCCGTGCACAAGATCCGATGCTCCGGCAGCTACATTGCTGGGGTAAGTCTGCCTTGCAGTCTGGTGTGTGTGTCAGTGTGTGTGTATGGATATGTACCTGTATCCTCCGTGTTCATGTACCCACCCCAGTACTGTCCTCTTGACGTAACTGTGTGTAATGCCTGTGTGTGTGTGTGTGTTTGCGCAGACAAACGGTGAATCCAACGGACTTGTGCCCATGCTACGCGTCTACAACAACACGGCACGCTACGTCGATCAGGGCGGCAACAAGGTCGGTGCAGCTTTTGCCGTTGGCTTTACTCTGGAGCCGAGCTTTGCTGCTGTGGCAATGCCCGTGTATGTCTGTCCTCTCTCGGTTCACTGTTGTACACATCTGGCGTACAGTTCTGGAAGTGGTGCTTGCCAGTATGTGCTTCTTAGACTCCTGCGCTGGAGCAGTTCTTGTTGTGGCACTGAGCTATGGTGTTTGCTCTGCTTGACTGATTGATCTTGTGTGTTTGTGCTTTCACCGCTTGTAGCGACCAGGTGCCTTTGCCATCTACTTGGAGCCATGGCACGCGGATGTCTTTGAGTTTCTGGACCTGAAGAAGAACACTGGCAAGGAGGAGAACCGCGCGCGTGACCTCTTCTACGCCCTGTGGGTCCCCGACCTGTTCATGAAGCGTGTCGAGGACAACGGTGTCTGGAGCTTGATGTGTCCCAACGAATGCCCAGGCCTTGCCGAGACTTGGGGCGCCGAGTTCGAGGAATTGTACACCAAGTGAGTGTGCTGACGTGCTGCTCATAATCATATGTTGGGCTACTTTTATATAAAGAGCATTGTGGCCAGCAATTGGTCTGGAGTGCGCTGGTTGGCAATTGTTCTATTTGCCCCCTGTTTTTCCTTGCCGTATAGGTACGAGGCCGAGGGACGTTTCCGCAAGCAGATCCAAGCGCAAAAGCTGTGGTTCGCTGTCCTGGAGTCACAAGTTGAGACCGGTACACCGTATATGCTGTACAAGGATGCATGCAACGGCAAGAGCAACCAGCAGGTTGGTTTGCTGCTGCTAGGGGCTTTTTCTGGGTTGTTTTTACTTCACTGTCAATTCCCCGCCGCGTGAATCAGTATTCAGATCATTCCGTGCTCTAAACCAAACCTTATGTGTGCTTCAGTAGCCTTTGGTCTACACTTTGGGTTTGTGCGATTGGAAGCAGTGGGCACTCCATCGAATTACTTAACTAGATAAGAGTGTGTTTGTGTGGAGTTCTAAATTTGCTTGGCAGTTCTGATTTGGTGCGAGTAGGCTGGCAGTGCAGTTATATGCACCGAGACCGAACGTTTGGGAACTAATTGCGGTAGAGTCAGGAAAGACTTGTGACGGTGCACGCTCTGTTCTCGATTTCAATTGTCTGTTGTGTTTGTTTGCAATGCTGTCGTCTTGCAGAACCTTGGCACGATTCAGTGCAGTAACCTTTGCACAGAGATTGTGGAGTACACCGCTCCAGATGAGGTGAGGAGATTTGCTGTTGGCCACCGGTGTATCGGTGTGTCTATGCATCCTATCATGTCGTCTCAGTGTGATGGTGAAGTAGCGAGAATTGTCATGCTCCGGCCATGTGTATCCGCCGCGTACATTGACCCTGGAGTTCTGCCGTTTTGCTTTCCTTCTGGACAGGTTGCTGTGTGTAACCTTGCTTCCCTGGCCGTCAACATGTTCGTGAAGCCAGGCGGAACCTACGACTTCCAGAAGCTGCACGATGTCACCAAGGTTTGTACTTGTGACTCGTGTGTGTTCACAGTTGCTTGTGTGGGTGTGGGTCCTTATTGGCTGATAGTACTTATAGCTTATAGGTATAGTTTCCAATTCCCACGTGTGTAGCTCCTTCGCTGGGTTTCTACTCGATTTGTGGCCTTAGCAGACCACCAGTCTAAGATGGCCGCTGCATTCTATCTGCTAGTGGTTGCTTTCTATAATGGTGTTTATTCCCGATCTGATTTTATCTCCTCTCTATGTCCATTGTTGTGCAGGTTATCACGCGTAACCTGAACAAGATCATTGACATCAACTATTACCCAGTTCCCGAGGTAAACAGTGTGTGTTGCTCTTTCTGCTGCTTATGTAAGGTAGTCGAGGGCGTATCAATGTGTGTCTACACTCATACGTCGGGTATCTGGACACCAAAGTTACGGGCACTTCGGTCTGCTGGGCTCCCTCCAGGCGAGTTCCAATGGACATAGTACTGCACCTTTGTCACTTTTTTGGAAATAGTGACACCATATGCCATATCTATGGCCTTTCCCCATCAAAATGTATGTGATTCGGGGTTACGGACATTTCCAAGTTCCAGGCAGTGCCCGATCCCGGACAGACAAAGTATATGTATATACCGATATGCTGTATGTGGCTGACAGTGTTTTGTTGCTTGACCTTGCTCCCAGGCCCGTCGTTCCAACATGCGTCATCGCCCCATCGGCATTGGCGTTCAAGTGAGTTGCTGCTGCTGCTGCTTCTCTCTGGTAGTATGCCACCACACTTAGTACACTTAGCACATACAGTTCTGGCCAGAGAAATTCTACCTCATGAGTTTAGTAGCACAGCGTTCGAGTACACAGAACAGTGTGTGTAGTGCTAGGGCCGCGCATTGCCCGGCACTCCTCATGAGGTTTGGTTTCCTGGCCAGTACCGTAGCTGTTATCAGTACACATGATGTTGTGATAATTCACTGGACATGTAGCCTTGTAAGCTGTCGTCTGTATGTTATTGAACTCGGATAATGAGCCAGTATGAACTGTAAAATAGAAGAAGAAACCGCTTATTTTCTTGTTACATTCGTGGATAGTTGCTTCATAACTCGTTTCCATGTTTTTTCTGCTATTTTGTATGTTTTTTCTTCAAGTTATATTTCGCCCCACTGGTTGCGGTCTTTGACTTCACATGAAACCTGTCCAGTGGCTTGTAACTGTGCCTTTCTTTCTTTGCATCCGCTGAGTCTTGTGTACACGTTGGTGTGATATTTGACGACTGCTTGTGGCCGCCTCTCTTTTCTCTCTCACAGGGTTTGGCGGATGCTTTCCTGCTGATGCGTTTCCCGTTTTGCAGTCCCGAGGCTCAGAAGCTCAATTTGGAGATCTTCGAGACCATTTACCATGCCGCTTGCGAGGTGAGTCCATGTGCGACCAGTCGACCTTGATGGGGTTCCACGTTTGTGGCGGGATTTCGCGTTTCCGCTGTTGTCTGTGGTTTGGTTTCGCATTTGCAGCGTTGTCAGTTGTCTTTGGTGGATAATTTCATACTTTCTGCGTTCTAAGTTGTCTGTGGTGGGGTTTCATGCTTGCAACATCACTGGTTTACCAGATCCGGGGGGGGGGGGGGGGGGGGATATCTGGGTATCTCATTATGTGATCTTTTTTTCTCATTGTACGAAGCCATTATTTGTGTAAACTGCCTTACCTTTAGCATCCAATCGATCTACCATAGCACTCAATTCTGCTTGCTTAGGGTTCACCCTTGTAAGAAAGAAAGTCGAAGGAGAGGTAGATGTTCAAGGAGGCAATCGTTGTTCCTGCTTGGCTTGTGTTTGCTCTCCTGTACAGGCATCATGTGAGATCGCAGAGAGACTCGGCCCATACGAGACCTATGAGGGCAGCCCGGCAAGCCAAGGGGTAAGTAAGCGTTTGCCGTATTCACATGTTGACGTTTGGCCCTTTGTAAAGTGGGAAGCCTTGGTGACGGTTTATGCTCGCGATTTGGGGGCTGGGTGAGTGGACCTTCCTTCATGTTCAGCTATAACTGAGGTCTATCTCTATCGCTGCGCATCAAGGAAGTTCCACTCGCCCATCCAGCCCCAAAATACAAGCGCCTTCTCCCTATCAAAGGAAATCTGTCGCCGTTGAGGAAGAAGGAGAAAAGCAAGACAACAGACACTGACCAAGCTAACTAAAGTGCAAAGTAAACGTCACCTCTTGCCAAGACATTATGTGGCATGCTTTGATGTCCGTTATATAATTTTGGAGTGCTGATGATGCGGCAGGTGTACTTTGTCTGATGATACTAACATGTGTGTGCGTGTATCTTCACCTCTTGCGACTATGCAGAAACTGCAGTATGACCTATGGGGAGTCACACCCACAAAGCTCTGGGACTGGGAGACTCTGAAAGCGAACATTGCAAGGTGAGTGTAGGTGGGCATGCGTATGTGGGTGGCTGGGTAGGTGGCTATGGGCTTGTAGTGATGGCGACAGCGCCGTCCTTTGCTAGCAATGGATTCAGACATGTTGCACTTGTGGCATTCCTCTGTGCATGCCACCGGTGGTATTGGAATGCCTGCTATAAATGGTCTTTTTCTCCTCTGCTGTGTACCACAGGCACGGACTGCGTAACAGCTTGCTGCTTGCACCGATGCCCACCGCATCCACCGCTCAGATCCTGGGCAACAATGAGTCCATTGAGCCATACACCTCCAATGTCTACTCACGGCGTGTGCTGTCCGGAGAGTTCCAGGTAGAGGCTTGCTTGAACATCCACTGAGATAATGACGGCACTCGATTATTTTCACTGAATGCCATTCTTGACTTTCTTTGGGTGTTGTTCCATTATTTGTTCTTGTTGATATCAGTTCGAACAATGTTGTGCTCTCTCTCTCTCTCTCTCTCTCTCTTCTAGATCGTCAACCAGCATTTGCTGAAGGACCTCGTCGAGCGCGGCTTGTGGTCAGAGGACATCAAGCTGAAGCTGATCGCTCACAACGGCTCCGTGCAGGTGAGAACATCCTCTTTTACTAGAGATGTTCTGCGAATGGAAAGTTCTCGACTTCCTCTGACTGGCTGACTACTATAAAATTGGTAACTTTGCTATGCTCTGATAGGGCTTCAACGTGATAACATCAGAAGTCACACCCACGAAAACACGTAACGACAAATGCCGACGTCTGGATCCACTCTGTCCATAGCGCAGTACAGGGTGTGGTGGGTAGGCCCCTCATGTCGCATGCAGGTGTGGGATTTTCTGTGCCAGGAGTGAGTCCCTGGCCGGGAGGGTCCAGTTTCAAACCCTATTTGCGATTTTAGCGCAACGTTGTCATCGCCAATTTGAAATCTGTTCCTCTCGGTCCATTGTATGCCGCTCTGTTTTCTGATGTGAGACTGGTCACTATTCACTACATTGGGATGATCTGGGAGATTATTTGAGCCTTTCCCCGCAAAATGGCCCATTTGCGGTGTGCGTTTGCAAAGCTGCAGTGTAACAAGTGTCATGTATTTTCTTGAGAAGTTGCATTCATGATTTTTAAATAGCCTTTTTGTTCTTCTTCTTGCTGCCTATTCTGTTGGGTGTGTGTGTTTAGAGGATCGATGAGATCCCAGCAGATCTGAAGGAGCTCTACCGCACTATCTGGGAGATTCCGCAGAAGACGCTAATCAACATGGCGGCCTCCCGCGGTGCGTTCATCGACCAGTCTCAGTCGTTCAACGTCTTCATTGCTGAGCCCAACTTTGGCAAGCTGACCAGCATGCACTTCTACGCGTGGAAGAAGGGCCTCAAGACCGGCATGTACTACCTGCGTACTAAGCCTGCTGCCAGCGCCATTCAGTTCACCGTCGATCAGGAGCGTCTCGCCAAGCTGCAAGCCAAGAAGGCGACTCCCGGCGAGGCACTAACCGAGGACGAGAAGACCGAGCAGGAGGCCGCCATGGTTTGCTCGCTGGAGAACCGCGAGGCGTGCGTCATGTGCTCCGGCTAGGCCAACTGCTGTCCCCTTTCTCGCTTGATGATTATGAGATGGGTGAGCATGAGAAGTGCGTGTCGTGCCCCCTGTGAGTTGCCTGCGTTGGCAACATAACGGCGACCTCTACTTCCTCGCACGGTGTGAACTGCAGGCTCCGGGGGATTGCTCCCGGCATTTGTACATACTGATATATGAACTTGGTCCGGACCATCCTAGTCTATTTGCTACACCACAGATAAGATCCTATTGCATTGCTGGACTTTACTTCTAGATACTGATGTTAGATGCTATCAACGCTGTTTCTCAATCTATATCTATACCTATCTTCTTACCCTCTCCTAACTCTGCAACAACGCTTTGTAGTAGCGTGACAACCCTTTGTTGTCCTGTCTAAAACTTTAATTGGCTTCCTCTTCGCAATGGTTTTCTACCATCTCCCGGGTAACGTTAGGTCCATGTATTCGGCAGTAGAAGCAGTTTTTTGTTTTGTTTTTTATTGTGGAATTTGCGGCTGGCTGCAGATCTCTCCGCTTGGTCTTTGATGAATGTGTTGCATTATTTGTTTATTGCTCTGTCAACACATTGTCAAAAGGTTTTAATACGCCTCCTCTTCGCGTAGGCACTCCTTTCTCCATTGATTATGATTGCTCAACCCTCAATGGCTCTTTGTTATTATGAGCAAGTTGCTGTTCTTGGCCGTTCGTCGCATGGTGCGATTGAATGCCGGCCAAGAATAGAAATAACGCCAGTACTGCTATCCTTTTCGGGTTGGGTGGGTGGTGTGTGGGTGACGGTGTGGATGGGACAGATATGTGGTATGCTGTGGATGTTACTGCATGAGGCTGTATTATTCTTCAACCCAGGACAAAATGTCCACAAGTTACACACGACTTTCTGTCCTGGCACTGATTTGTTGCGCTATTTGGGATGGGCCGGGGTGGTATTGAACAGTACTGTGATTACCTTCAAAAAGATGTACTACTAATGCAGATGAATTCCCCAAGGAATGTACCCCCCAGAGTCCACTACCCACATGGACTCTTGACCTTGAAACCTTTTCGCAGTTCACTGTTCTGTCTTTCATGCTTTTCCTCTGCTATCCTTCTTGTCTGTGTTGAACTGGAAGGCCGGGTCCGGTTGGCGGGAGATCTGTCTTACGATTGCCATGGAGACATTAGAATGGCGTCAGTGTAGCTTGCCCTAGCAGTTTCAGCGTCACTGCACACTACGTAACGTGACAGTCATGATGAGATGGGAAAGTCGTTGATTTCCCGTTTTGTAGCTTTCACGACTTGTCAGTTCACCAGCGAAAACGTTTGGGTGAAATAAACAGATTTTGTCCACACTGTATTTGTTTTTCACTCGTAAGTACTTGTGTCGGGACAGAGCGCGGGTGCGAAGACCCGAGACAAAGTTACGCTTGCTGTAGCCTTGTTGGACTTGATAGAGTGTGCCCTTTGGAAGCCCTCTCATTCGCAACGTTTATTTTTGCTGAACTTGGGTGATGTAAATGTTGCTCTGAACGAAATACTGAATACGTCTGACATGGCGGAGGACAAAGAAGTATTGAAGGAGGTATGGGAAGGGCGCATACCTGTGCGCTTTGAGCTCGCAGCTGCGGACGTATCAACCATGGAGCCCCCAGACCATTACTTTGTAAGTTTGTACAGTTCAAATTCATTGACTTCAAAAGTTTAGACATAATGATAATTTACTCTCTCCTGGGCGTTTGTAAGGGAGGTACAGATCTCCGTCATTACTGATGGTTTGTGGGGTCGACTTCAATGTGTAGAAGTATGTAAAAGTCAGCTACTGAGTACTGAGTACATGGAACTACGGATGTACACGTAACTTCCTTAGAGAACAGCTCTGAAGCTCTGGTGAATTATGAGAACTCCACAATGTGTGGAGTTTGGGATGCTGAGTTAGAATAGCCTTGGTCCAATGCTGCTGCTGCTGCTGCACGGCATCACTCATCACATACCCCCTATCGCCGTGCACTCTCATACCGGTACGCACTGTACCGCATTCCTGCGCCGCGCGGTGGTATCACTGAGCCCAACTGAGAGGCACCCATGCTGTCTAGCTAAGCAGATGACCGATCCTGGAGCCTGGTCAATCGGGGATCGGCCTCTTCAGAGTAAGACCACTATGAGGTGCACCAGCAACAGTATAGAACAGGCGTGGCACACGCACAGACAATGCATGCCCACAAGAGTGCTATCGGCTATCTATTAATTTGCTAGATCCTATATATAGGATTTTGGTCATATTTTTCAACTCGAAATGTGTGTGGAACGAGCATAGGAAGACGCATGTGACCAATTCTTCCTTGCTAGGTCTTAGTAGATATTGAGAGTTGAATAAGATAATTTTTTCGAATGCTAACATCTCAGGCTCATCTCCTTGCGCAATATTAATATTATTACTAGGGCCTGTGCCCTATTTTTCGAATCCTATAATATAGGATTTGAGATTTTATTGGACCTTGTTTCATCCTTTGAACTGGTAGTTTCACCATGGCATGGGCGATGTGTCGTCAAGAAACCACCCGGTGCCACACCTGTAATGCTCTTCTGCACATTCACTGCTTCAGTCCTTTCCATGACAGCAGCTGAACAATGCTGCTCAAAGTTCCAATTCTTGCTGAAAATGGGTACTAGTATTCGTGATGTCCTATGAATCTAAAAAGTAAACATTCATCCCTCAGACAGATTTACAGCTTCTATGAAAGCCTTTACTGTAAGACATGTATATATAACGAGGAAGCAAATCTAACGTTTTAGCGGATGAGATTTCTTCGTTATAATAAGATCCGTTGAAGCCATACTGCTTCATATATGTTGTGTGTGGATATGCCGAAATACTGCCAGATCGTTAACATATCTTCTCGTTAACCTATGAATTTTGGACAATCGTTAAATGTGCGGCTCGTTATAATAACACATGTCTTACAGTATGCCGTTATTATGGGTCATGATGACCAATAACAACAGCATAAAGGTCACACATTTTCAAATCCTATATAGGATTTTTGCCAGCAAATTATGAGATATAAAGTAGTGTATTTGAGGAGAGAATGAGCACCCTATGTTATACTATACAGTATACCAGTGAATTGACATTGGTAATAGAGTGCTGTACCTCAGCTATAAATACACGTACAGATTTTTGTATGGCACGTGGGGGTACGGTGTACTGCAGTTTCACGGCAGTACTAGTACTACTATGCTGGAGTCTTAGTATATGTATGTATGTTGTTTGTTGTGTTGACTATTTCATGTATGCAGCTGCTGGTTCCTCGTGTTACCTATATCTCACTGATCATGGACAAGGTAAAACGGCATTTTCAGAAACACGTGCAGGCCACAGAAGGCAACCAGGAGATGTGGTTTGAGTTTGACGGGCAGCCGCTAAAGTGGTCAGTTGCTCCCCGACCACCTGTGTGTGTGTGTGTGTGTGTGTGTGTGTGTGTGTGTGTGTGTGTGTGTGTGTGTGTGTGTGTGTGTGTGTGTGTGTGTGTGTGTGTGTGTGTGTGTGTGTGTGTGTGTGTGTGTGTGTGTGTGTGTGTGTGTGTGTGTGTGTGTGTGTGTGTGTGTGTGTGTGTGTGTGTGTGTGTGTGTGTGTGTGTGTGTGTGTGTGTGTGTGTGTGTGTGTGTGTGTGTGTGTGTGTGTGTGTGTGTGTGTGTGTGTGCGTGTGTGTGTGGTGTGTGTGTGTGGTGTGTGTGTGTGTGCATGTGTGTGCATGTGTGTGCATGTGTGTGTAGTGTGTATGTGCACGTATGTGTGTGTGACACTGTGCGTGTGTGTGTGTAGTGTGTGTGTGTGTGCCCATGTATGCATGTGTGTGTGCCTGTGTGCCCATGTGTGTGTGTGTGTGTGTGTGTGTGTGTGTGTGTGTGTGTGTGTGTGTATGTGTGTGCGCGTGTGTGCCCGTGTATGCATGTGTGTGCGCGTGTGTGCCCGTGTATGCATGTGTGTGTGTGTGTGCCCGTGTGTGTGCCCGTGTGTGTGTGTGTGTGCCTGTGTGTGTGCATGTGTGTGTGCGTGCGTGTGTGTGTGTGTGTTTTGAAGTGATACTTTTGCCAAACACATCAGCTTGCTTTTAGAGTGTACAGTTGCTGACTGGGGGTACATTGTCTTATTGGAACAGTGTACACAACAAAGAACATACTAATTCACTTTCTGTCTTGATATTTTGATTGGAAGACTTTGTAAGCAGGCAGGCATAGTGTGATGGTCTAAGATCATGATTGAAAAACAGAGGGTACCAGGTTCAAGTCCTGCTTGGAAGCGGAAGGATTTTTCCAGCCGTGCTGCGACCCACAGTTAATTGGGAACTCGTGGCCTGGCACGAGGAAAACATGGATGCAGTGAATGGGATTTTCGGTCTTTGACCACTTGGTGGTGAACTGATCTACTCACCTCCCACCGCTTTAGGAGCTGCATCTGCGCCTTGATCCTTGAAGGGTGGTGGCGTTCCTACGGATGCGGAAAGCCCGGCTTCCAGCCGAGTCTCACGCGAACCGTGAAAAAAAACAAAAAAACAGCGAGGCTACAGTTATTACTATTTTTCCCGATACCACAGGGCAGGGAGGACGTATCTGGATAAGCAAATTGCCTGTGCGGGGCCATTTGTACAAGTCCAGCATGCACTGCACATACATACGGGTTCAGTTGCATTCCACTGTTGCTTTACTGTGGTGACTCTAGTGAGTATGTTGACGTCTGTCTTCTGGTGTGTGTTGCGTGTGTTCTTCACAGGCACATTCCTGTTGGTCTGTTGTTTGACCTGCTGGCTCACCGCTCCATGCTACCGTGGAATATCATTGTACACTTCTCTGTGAGTAGTTTTTTAAGGATCTCAATTTACCTGTGTATGCATAAAACATCTTTTTGGTAGTTGGTTTGTATCCCCCTAAAACACATCCTTGGTTTACAAGCTGCATCGGATGTTCGTTGCCCTTTCAAGAAACTTGCGAGTGCACTGTTTGTCCACAGGGTATGCACCAAGCAAGTCTTTCTTTCTCTTTTTCCCGGGTGCGATGTTTGTATGTGTGTGTGTGCACGCATGCGTGCATGTCTCTCTCTTTCTTTTCTTCCTCGCCTGCAGCGCTTCCCCGAAGAAGAGCTACTACGGTGTCCCAGTGAGGAAGCCGTGGAGGCACATTTCATGGCCACAATAAAAGAGGTGGGCATCTCTTGTATGTACAATGCTGGCCAGTAACATTCGACCATTATTCACCGTTTGATTCCTCTGTACGGTGCTTTGGTCTTCTGTACTTTTATTTGAGAGCCACCATATCGGAACTAGTCATGTACTCTTTGTGACCTGCCAGAAGAACAGGCGACCCCCCCCCCCCCCCCCCCCAACCTTGAAAGAAGTAGTTGGGGCGTTAGAATGCCTGGTTCTTGATCTCGGGCTGTGTGACTGATCTTTGACATTGCAATGTGCTTCCATGTTCTCCCACTTTGCCAATGTTTTCAGCAGTGCACCCGCTGACTATAATTAGATATTATTGGATCCAATCGATAAACGTGTGTGCGTGTGTGTGTGCCTGTGCGTGCGTGTGTGTTAACCATTCGTTTATTGTTGTCAGCATTGTGTATGCTCTGTTCAATGTTGCGTAGGCTGATTGTTTGAAGCACCGCTCAGCAGTGATCAATAACATGACGAAAAGAGATCACACACAGCTATGGACTGGGCTGAAGGCGGGTAAGAACGCTGCGGCAGCTGCAGCTTCTACATCTCGTGTACACACACTACACCATAGTCTATGCTATGCACTGCACTGTTAGTACCATGTCAGGAGAAGATGCCTGAGTTCCTGTACCAGCCATCCAGATTGTTGTGAAGCGCTGACTGTGCTGTGTTGCATCAGTAGTGCAATATGCTGCCGCTGCACAGCTCTGCAGTGTCATTTGGCAGAGAATGCAGATGATGATAAGCAGCATGAGATCATAAGCAGCATGAGATCATAAGCAGCATGAGATCATAAGCAGCATGACTGCATGAGTCAATGTTCCCTGTAGTGTCTAACATGTGCTGGACATGGTGATGACGACCAGAGACAGGGGGAGCACTTTTGATTGCTTCTTGTGTGCTTCTTCTCATGTGGATATTCTGCAGATCGGTTTGATCTCTTCTGGAGTTCTAACAAACGTCTAATGCAGACGAAGGTGCAAGGCCAAGCAAACTGTCCGGACTATTTCCGGGCGGTTCCCGTTCGAATCTACCAGGTATGTACTGTTGTAGAGACGCTAGCACAGCACTGCGATATGATCTTTTGAAGAAAGAAAGTCTCTAGTACATTGCAGGGTGCACATTTTGCAAGGCACCTAGGGCCCTCGGTTACCGAGTGTTTTTCAAAGCAAAAATTGAAACGAAAAGTTTCAGTGCTTCTAGCCTCCACCCCCACCCACGCTCACCCTATCCGCAGGTAAATTAAAATTCTCCAAAATATTGGTTTCATTCTTCAGTACCATCCGTTTGACTGGTCGCTTTGTGCACTCGATGCGTGTTTTTTTTAACAAACAACCCAAGCCCATCCACCCCGAATGAAAACATTTCATTTAAGAAAGGTAGCCTTGGATATACCCAAAGAAGAGCCGATGCTATACATTGTCATATAGGCTAACAAGAGTATGCATTGCAACTGTGATCTCCTTTGGCAAACCAAGTAAGTACCTGTCTAATCTGCCTCTCTCTCCTCTCTCCTCTCTCTCTCTCTCTCTCTCTCTCTCTCTCTCTCTCTCTCTCTCTCTCTCTCTCTCTCTCTCTCTCTCTCTCTCTCAGGCTGACAAGCAGTATGTACAGCCCTTCTTCAGACCTGTCGACAGCGAAGATAAACATTTGACTTTGCGAGACATGTTGCACGAGGCAGCACCAGATTCCCTGCCGGAAAGTAAGTGTTCTGAATCTAGTGGCTGCACTTGTCACTGGTTGTCAGAATGGACTATAAGTCCATTGCTAGTGTACAGACAAGTTCATACTAGACACCCTTAGCAAAAAAACGTTATATTGTAACGGTATTACCGTAAGGGGGAAAATACCGTGATTTGGGTTCGACCTTTAGCAAGATGCACGCTATTTTTAGTATGCTGTTGCCACGAGAATAGCTTTTATTTCGCGCGGTACAACCATTTGTCACTATATACGCGCTACAAGGTGAAATGCGTACGGACTATGCAATATTTGGCCAAAAAAACATACCGTTTGTCACAACGATAAATCAGCCCCATAACGTTTTTACGCTGCAGCTTCAACGCTATTTGGGTGATCAAGGTACGAGTACCGTAAAAAAAATAGCGTTACCGTTGTTTGCTAAGGGTGTCTACTGTCTGTATGACACTGTTCTTACTGATGGGTGTGCTGATTTGATATTTTGTATGGAGTGGGGAGTGACATCACCAGCTCTGACTTGCCACTCCATACCAGCTCTGGCTTGCCACTCCATGCAAGCATAGTGATTATACAGTGACATCACCAGCTCTGGCTTGCCACTCCATGCCAAGCATAGTGATTATACAGTGACATGACCAGCTCTGGCTTGCCACTCCATGCCAAGCATAGTGATTATACAGTGATATCATTTGTTTGAGAATGACTACTGCTAGCTACTGGACTTGGTTTTGTCTTTGGTGTACACCTAGTAGACCCATAGTACTGTGTACTGTCAGTGTGATCAGTGACAGTGAGTATGGGTATGGCCGGTGGGTATGGCCGGTGGGTGGGATCTGAGGTGTACAACAAATACAACGGTGTGTACCAGGCAGTTGTACAAACTCCCCGGTGTGTACGATGAAAAGAGCTGCTTGTTTCTTGGCATTCAATGTGCTTGCTTGCGAATAGATGTAGTGGAGATTATGTTGATGATTATCTCACTCCAGCCCAGTGCCGTCTAGCTGTCTACCGTTCTGTGTAGCGCCGAACAGACTAACAACGTTATAGCACTTTCCATCAGTGCATTGTACTCGTTGAAGTAGTAGTATTACTAGTGTTAGTAGTACAATGCTGCTCAATGAAATCTGATCGCGCGAGTCAAGTAGGCGCCGGGCGCTGTGCAGACAACACTCAGCAGTGCTAGACTTGCAAACACTGAGATGTTCATTGGTACAGGGTGCAAAGCTGACTCACTCGATCGGATTTCATTGAGCAGCACTGTGGTAGAAGTAGTTGGTTCTCACTTCTTAGCTTTATACAATTCTTTGTACCTTGAACACAAGAGAAAACTAGCAATCGCATGGCAGACTTGGTGCTATCTGTCACAAAGATTCATTCAGCCCTGTCATCATCAGCCATGTTTATAGCACCTATTAGAGAGGTTAACGCACTCTCCACATACAGGCATGCACCCGGCTCAGAACACATTGTTTTCAAATTGACAACTGACGGACGAACCAGTGAACAGTCAAGTCGTCGGAAAGCAAAAGTGACAAAGGAGTCTCTCTTTTCTCTTTCTCTCTCTAAAGCAAGATTTGGAAAGCACGCGTGGGAGAGTGGCGCGCGCTGCGCATGCGCATGTATAGCAATGACATCATAATCAGATGCATGATCATCAGACTAAGTATGAGTGGTAGATGTTCCACGTTCGTTAACAGGGCTTAGCGCACACGCTAAACCACCATTAAATTTGGCATAAAACTCCTAATGTCGATGTGAGCAGCAGGCCACTTGCGTTGTTTTCGACGCGCGAGCCAAATAACGCGAGCTGAACTTTCGCAGTGAAATCTGTCCACATACATTATACAGTTGTGCTAGATGGAATCCAACCCAACGTACATACACTGTATTGGCACCCTGGACTTTTGTGTGGCCCTTGACGCCCTGAAAGTGGTGTGAATGCTGCTGGATGAACACATCTACAAAAATTGTAGATGTGTTCATCACTGTATTTCACTGAGCGCAACATTCTTCACAGGACCACCCAGGTCTCTTGTACTCTCAGCAACGCATCACACGAAAATCTGAGACTGTACTTTACCATTGGCTTTGGTTTCCTGGAAGAAGTGAATTTTATCGCCTACAGCCTCGCGCCTCTCAAAGGAGGCTGACTGCCATTTTGGCACAGATTGGCAGGTGTTGTTGTTAGTGCTAAACTTGCTCATTGTCCCAGGCACCAGCTCTTCCGGCACTACAGTGGGTTCACGGCATTAGTCAGTGCTGATTTTAGTGCTGAATGTGAAATGTTCCACAGCATTCTTAGTTAGTGCTGAAACTGCCCTCGATTGGTGGGGTGATGACAATATGTGTTGTGGGTGTGTTCTTGGAGTGCTAAACCTAGCGCTGAATGATGGGGTGACAACATGTGGTGTGGAGTGCTAAACCTAGCGCTGAATGATGGGGTGACAACATGTGGTGTGGAGTGCTAAACCTAGCGCTGAATGATGGGGTGACAACATGTGGTGTGGAGTGCTAAACCTAGCGCTGAATGATGGGGTGACAACATGTGGTGTGGAGTGCTAAACCTAGCGCTGAATGATGGGGTGACAACATGTGGTGTGGAGTGCTAAACCTAGCGCTGAATGATGGGGTGACAACATGTGGTGTGGAGTGCTAAACCTAGCGCTGAATGATGGGGTGACAACATGTGGTGTGGAGTGCTAAACCTAGCGCTGAATTCACTTAGCGCTCACCTACTTTATTGTGATATTTTTGTTCCTTGTTTTCGCAGGTGGAATAGGCCTGAAAGCGGTAATCAACGGCATTGAAGCTCCCATGGAAACCAAACTACAGTGGCTCAGTGAGCACCTCAGTCACCCGGACAACTTTCTTCACATTGCCATTATCAACAGTGATGAAGGAGGAAGCTTATAGCAGCTTCAAAGCGAGAAGCACCGACACATTTGAAAGTGGAAAGGTGAAACTGAAAACATATTCTAAAAAATTGTTGAAAAGCCACAAAGAGACGGCATAATAATAAGAGTCAACTACCTAGCTCTGACTAGCAGAGCAAAGCATAAAAAAATCATTTCATGAAATTGCAGCCATGAAACGCAAGAATGAGCATGTGCATGTTTATATATTTTTTTATTCGATCTTGAGTGTGCAGTTGTCTCATGCATTCATTGTGCTGCTGAAAATGCTTTCAAATAACACCTGTTTGTACATACGTTTGTACATACGTTTGTACATACGTTCACCTCTACACATCTGAATCACGCTGCCGCTGTTCTTGCTGCCACATTATTCTATTTAGTCGCTGTTACAGCAGCCTATTGTTACAACTATTTTACAAAAGATCTAGGAATGTCATCACCGAAGCAAGCTATACTGCGAGAACGATGCTGCTGGTGGCGGCTGTTGTTGTTGTTGTTGTTGTGGAAAGGGAGGGGGGGGGGGGGGGGGGGGAGGAGAGCTAGGGATAGTGTGTATAAAAAAGTTCTTAAAAATTGACTGAAGCAATAAAACTTGGCAAGTAACGATTGTGACCTGCCGATTATTCGAATCACTCAAATTCGATGAGGAGATCGCCTTCTTGTACGACTTGGTTGGGTTCACAGAAAACAGCCTTGACCTGTGCATGCATAAAGGAAAATCACGGCGACATGCACAGAACATGATTGTTCACTTATCATCAGCTATCTTGTGTCCGTTTATGTCACTTGGATTCATGTTGGCCTCTGAAATATTACTAGGTATACATGTATCACTTTTCGGCTAAGTTGACAACGGTGACATGATTATATTGCTGCGCATGTGCAACCAACTCTTGAATTGACATTCACTACGGTCGTTCTACAGTCTACATTTGCTGAGCTAGCTGTATTTGCACACGTACAACCTCCTTGTGTGTTCGGTCACATGCACAGAATGACCAACATACTGCGCCAACTCCACTCGGCATTCTTGCAGAAAACAAAAATTCAACGGGCACCAATAGAATTCGGTGCACAAGTGCACGTGATTTGAAAGAATTTTGAACATGAGCATTTGCGCCTTGATCCTTGAAGGGTGGTGGCGTTCCTACGGATGCGGAAAACTCGGCCTCTACTCTAGCTGAGTCTGATGCGAACCGTGAATTTGTTTAAAACATGAGCTTTGGATATTTGGCTATTTGCCATTTGGTGTAATCAGATTTACCTTGAAGTCGCCAGGAGAGCGTAGGACATCCTGCATTTTCATTGCCTCCAACACGGCCATGGCCTCGTCCTCACCCACCTGGACAGAGGAGCGCATAGAATACACAGATACACGAACACCAATCATACTACAGAAGTACATTGCAGGTAGAAACTACTACAGAACTCCCCATATCCGGGCACATTGGACCGTAACTAGGAATTGCCCGTAACTCGGAAAATACATACTGCGCCCGGATCTGGGGAGTCCGGATTAGTGGAGTTCACTACTTTCCAGTACTGGCAGTAGTAATGTTACTGTAAAAGCCATATACATGTATATAACGAAGTGCAGAAATCGATACATATACTGTCCTATTGAGCGTTGAGAATGAGTGAGAATCGTTACCTTTGGTACACGTAAGGCCAAGTAAAAAAAATTGATCGTTTATCGTCCGCGCCCGCCCCAAATTTTCACCCTCCCCGCCGAATTATTTTATTTTTTAGTACTGGTAAATGTACTGTATGTACTGCGGTCTACAGCCTCTATTCAGCATGGCCGTAGATTTTCGAAGGTCAAGTCCACAGACTGAACCATAACTTAGTTGCTATGGGCTTGAAAAGTGAAACTGATCATAAGCTGCCTGATTTTCTTCGTTTTTTCTACGTAACGTTGGTTGTTCCACTTTCCATTATCCTCTGGGGTTGCGAACACCTGCCCTACAGCCATAAATGCATAATAAAAAATAAAATTAAAACCTCCCGTCCGCCCCGGTTTCTCGGGAAAATCTGACGATAAACAATCAATAATTATATTTTACATGGCCTAACTAGTCAATTTTGGGAAATCGTTATACAGTCAACTTCGCTTATAACGACACTCGGCAGGGCATCAGAAAAGTGTCCTTATTCGCGAAGTGTCGTTATAAGCGAAGTCTCATTATAATTATGTGTTACAGTGGGATGGGACTTTGCTCTGGGCATGGAAATGCTGTCGTTATTCGCGAATTGTCGTTATATCCGCAGTCGTTATTAGCGAAGTTGACTGTATATGTGCCTCGTTAGAATAATGGCTTTTAAAAAAATAAATAAATTTCACGGTTCGCGTGAGACTCGGCTGGAAGCCGAGTTTTCCGCATCCGCCGTGGGAACGCCATCACCCTCTAGGATCAAAGGCGCAGATGCAGCGCCTAAACGGTGGGAGGTGAGTAGATCAGACCCACCACCAAGTGGTCAAAGACCGAAATCCCATTAGCTGCATCCATGTTACCCTCGTGCCAGGCCACGAGTTCCCAATTAACTGTGGGTCGCAGCACGGCTGGAAAAATTCCTTCCGCTTCCAAGCAGGACTTGAACCTGGTACCCTCTGTTTCTCAATCCTGGTCTTAGACCATCCCACTATGCCTGCTATGGCTTTTACAGTACTGTAAAAGCGGAGTAGTGCATCTACGGACCTCTGCCTCCAGCGCAGGCAGAATGATGCCGGAAAGGACAAGTGTCGCATGGCGCAGAATGACAATTCACCAGCCTCCGTTCTACCCGTTGGTGTCAGACAATAACACTCAACCACAGTCTACCCATATCATGCATGGCCAGAACTGCACTTTTCCACAGAACATCGGGACAAAATCACCAATGTGACCTATATGCGAATATTCATTTTCGCACAAACTGGAATGCGACAATTGGTGGAGAGAGAGGGTGCAGCTCTGACCTTGAACAATACGGTACCCATACCGGATAGCAAGACACAACGAGCATTAGCACCACTACAGTACTGTCGGTCGCCGAAGAACTGGGGGGGGGGGGGGGGGGTCAGCCTCCTAGCCTAGACCGTTCCTATTTTCATGCATTACAGTCTACGCACAGTTGAGTCGCCGTGTCTACATTGGTATGCTGTGCTTGGTAAAATTCTAGCCTGGTCGTTCTTCGGCACCTGGCAGTGCTGTATGAAAGAACAACAATATCTGTTCGCTTTCCACCTTTGCAGACTCAAGTAGCAATAACCCAGTGCCAACAACACATTGCTGTGCTAGACACAACACATCCCCTTACCGTGTCACCTGGTTGAACATTGACAGACACGATCTTGCCGGTCAGCGGTGCGCTGAGTTTCTTCAGTGCAGACTCCTGTGACCACACACACAGGTACGCACACACGCAGCCAGGAGCAATCGAAATACATGTATACTCAATAAGCGAACTGTTACAGGGATCTGCTATCCAATAGGCAAACTGTACTCGTTCAGATACTTTTAGTTATTCATTGTGTTATCGTTCACACCTACGTTGTATTGCAAACCATGTTCTGTGAAAACAACGTAGGTAACTAAGGTAAGTGTTAAATTCGAAGGCATGCACACACACACACACACAAGCACACATACACACACGTACACACACGCACACACACACACGTACACATACGTACGTACACACACACACACACTCACAATTCACATGTACACATGCATGAACAAACAGAGGGCATAGCGGAAAATTAAAATTTGCTCACCTTGGACTTGGCAGGTATATGTTGCACGACCTCGGCTTCTCTTTCCGTCAGCACATTCACATCGTACTGACATAACAATGCACACAAGAGAAATACACCAGGTTGCCCACAGTGAACATGTATGCACATTCAAGTCCTTTTCTGCCGTTATAATCATACTGTCTGATGAGTGTTTCTTAACACAAAACTCTGAGTAATGGCAGAAAAGGACTTGGTTGTGTCATTGCTGTGTAAGTAGTGTATTACTGGCTCTGTCCACTGGACATAGAGCACTATATGCAGCCTGAGCACCTTAGACAACTGCCTGTGCACATTCAGGTAGATGTGAGAACTGATAATGGTCCATAGCTACTTAGTGGAGCTGAACGGCAGGCCATCCAAGGAATCCGACAAGATCTTTTTTAGGCTATGCTAAGTCTGATCCCTGCACCAAGCTGCACACTAACCGCAACCCAGTAGCAGCAGGATCAATATGCACAGAACACAGTCTAAGCAATTCAGTGCATGCTCAAATCGATCTCAGAACAAGCAGCAGCAGTACACAGCAACACAGCGAAGCACACAGCAGTACACAGCAACACAGCGAAGCACACAGCAGTACACAGCAGCACACAGCAGCACACAGCAGTACACAGCAGCACACAGCAGTACACAGCAGCACACAGCAAAACAGCAAGCACACAGCAGTACACAGCAGTACACAACAGTACACAGCGAAGCACACAGCAGTACACAGCAGTACACAGCAGCACATAGCAGCACATAGCAGTACACAGCAGAACACAGCAGCACAGAGCAATACACAGCGCAGCACACAGCAGCACACAGCAGCAAAGAGCAGCACGCAGCAGTACACAGCGCAGCACAGAGCATGATACATGTAACTTACCACTGTTCCACAGTGCTGCAGAGACCACTGCGTTCCTTTGCGCTCAACAAACTACACACAATGTGGAAGAGAAGATGAAATTCAGTTAGGGAGAAAATCTCCCACGAGAAAGAGAGATGGCGACAATAAAACTGAAACACCAACAGTCTTAGTGACTTGAAATCAGGCACCGCTTCAAGCAACAGTAACAAATCGGAGAAATGTATAACGTAGCTGATGGTGCTCCATGATGTGTGCAGAATGCACGAGCTCAGTGCTAGTTGTGAACAAGCTGGGAACACTGCCGAGGGATTTGAGCACACTTGGAAGAGATTGACAGCAGCAACTTACAAACTTACATTACAAACATATGCAGGTTACTACGTTACAGTGTGAGACCTTTGAAAACACTGACCTTTGTTCTTGGTTAGAAATGTATAGTCTAGAGAGGCAGATAGAGAGCCAAGACCGATCGTTGGACTAAAAGGACACAAGCTTATACAACAATTAAATTTCCACATGCCCAAGCAGAGGGATGGCCCAAGCACTGCTTTGAAGTCACTGTTTACCTGGAAAGTAGTCTTCTTGCCGTCAATCATGAAGACCATTCTGGGATCAGAGCCCAGCATCTCTATACCGTACTCTGGTGGAGTCGATACACTGTAGTCTGGTGTGCCCGCTGAGCCACTGTCAGCAGCCTGCTCTTCACTGCTGGCATCATGCAGACAGATATCCACCTCCTGGGAGCCCACGAAGAACTGCAGACCAGTGGTACAGGCCAGTGGTACACAAACACGACAAACACAACCTTTGTGTTACATGTAATGATCCTACGTGCATCCTGCTTCAACCATTGTTTCTATGATCGACCAAACAAGAAAACAAAGGTATGGAGGTTGTGTGAGTGAGATCGTCACAGTCATATGCTCTGCGTGTGTGTGTGGGGGGGGGGGGGGGGTATATGGAGTGACAAAACAGTGCTTTGCCACCCAACACAAAGCACCACAAAGACGACATACCGTATATTCTCTATTATAAGCGCTGTGCTTGTATTTTTTCAACACCCCTCTACCCCGTGCTTATATTGGAGACCGCGCTTGTATTGGAGACCGTGCTTATATTTTTTCAACCAATACATCCATACAGAGCAAGAAGAAATACATGCTAGATATCATGCATGCAGCGTTTCCACCAAGACCGTGCTTATAATAGAGACTGTGCTTATAATATTATTGTTTCGAAAGGGGCTCACACTGTGCTAGTATTAGAGACTGTGCTAGTAATGGAGACCTGTGCTTATAATAGAGAATATACGGTAATCACAAAACCTTTTCTGAACCTTCTTTTGGACACAGAGGTCCAGTAGGACAACTGAATATTGCAACATTCTCTATCAACACTCTTATAACCGCATGATGTATGACATGGTGATAAGGGACAAGACAGGGAGAGGAACAACACCAATCACAACTGACCTTGGTGCCCTCGTTGGCATAGTAGGATACTGTCAGGCGCTTGTCACCAATGCAAACGACAAGACGGAAAGGATCCAGTGGGCCGTCCTCGCTGCCATCACACACACACACACACACACATATAACACACACACACAATCATTCAAACACAACACGCAAACAATCATCATCATAATCCGCAGCAGTGCATATTTCCAGAGTCTCCAAACAGAAACCCAGTTGCAACCTACACCTGTTGTACATGGCAGACTGTACAGTGCCAAAACAGACCGGGGCAAACCTGTAGAACATAACGCTAGAAAAAGCACTACGAAAAACTACAGCCAGTAAGAACAGTAACAATATACTTACTCCAGGTCTGGAATCTTGTGATAGTCGCGGTGCAAAGCAAGGTTGTAGCGCTGCAGTCTCCTAGCTTCCAGGATAGCGGCAGTAACGGCCAGCTCATTTGTCTCTTGATCCGTCAGAACATGACCTGAGTAGCGCCGCCAAGTCATCAAAGACACATTCACAGAGCACAGGTATCAAATGACAAGCGAGACTGGAGTGTCCAAAAGTTGCACTTGAACGCCGCGATGGAGGATACCCAAGTGCTAGCCTACTCTAGACTCACCTGTCACATACTAGTACAGTGAGTGAATCATGCTTCACGGCAGAAAGGATTGGAGTTTCCATCATGCTTCACAGCAGAAAGGATTGGAGTTTCCATCATGCTTCACAGCAGAAAGGATTGGAGTTTCCGATATGTTCAGGTAAACTACAACTCAACAGAGCAGAGACCATAATACGGTCCGGGACTATAGTGGTATCAGTCTCCTGCAGTAGATGCAAGCTGCCGTAGCTGAGCTATAAATAGACCAAACATAACTACTTGACATGAGCACATATATGTACATGTACCAGTACAGTAAATCCCATGCTGAGCGGACCCTGCACCAAGCGGATCCTGCACTGAGCGGACCCTGCACTGAGCGGACCCTGCACTGAGCGGACCCTGCACCAAGCGGTATCCTGTATTGACCAGACAAATTGTCATGGACTAAAGTGCTGTGGATCGAACCTGCATCCCTGCATCAAGCGGAATCCTGTGGTATCAGGACAGTTTCCGCTGCACCAAAGGCGTCCAGTTAGGGCAGGTTTTACTGTACTAGGAGAGTGTTGAGAGCTAACAAGTTCTTTCCCATCACTCTGCAAGCACTGTACATGCATGCCATGTAGACTTGAGCACCTCCACTCTCTATGTACTTGCACTGTACTTAGATGTACCCACTAAAACCAATACATTTCGCCCTTACAACTGCCACCACAGCCTTGCAGAAAGCACCCGGGACAAACATACCGTCGAAACCTTTCGGGTACTCCTCCACCAGGAAATTGGTGCTGATGTCGCCCTCCTTGAAGCGAGGATGGTGCAGTACATCACGGAGAATACTGACATTGTTCTTTACACCTGTGAGGCACAGAAAACAACGCCAACCACAACAATGACGATAGCAGGATGACGACAAGCAATGAAACAACAACAGTTAACATACATGTATCCCAACGTGCAATCAACAGCAACATATCAATAACTCACATCTCCACAGACAGCAGATTCATCGGCACATGTATTTAAAAACGAATAAGAACAATATGCAGTGGAAAAGAAGTAACTTGTTAACCCTTTACCTTCTGACCATAATTCCCAGGCAGTTCCAAATACGATATTTCTCACCTCATTCTGAGAATATCTTTGGTTATAATCAACCAATTTTCACACTCTTGGGCATTCTGGAAAGCTCTCCACGAGCTGCGTACAATGAGCTCAAACTGGACACTACTGAGATCACATATCCAACGCCAGGGTGCTTCAAATACTCCCCATCGCTGGGTATCCGAGAAAATTCTCTCCTCGTCAGCCATTTCTCACTCCTTCATCGTAAACATTTCAAATTTGTTGTCCTGGGTTTCTTTTTATGCTGCCCACGCGCTCAAAACATGCACAGGTGACTCAGCATGTCAGGAGAGGGAAAATCCCCAGCTCAAGGCCAGTCACTCAGAAAAAAATCGGCTTTTGGCGTGACTGAAATGTCGAGCACGATATCTTTGGAATGCGGCATCGCAGCTCTTCGCCGATTGTTGCAATGAACAGCTGGGCTCTTCGGCTTCTTCCTACATATTTAGTTTTTGAGATTCCGTCAAGAATTGATCGAGTTACGAATGTTTTAGTGCATGCATGCCCATCGACCAAATTCGGTCGATTCATGTACACACAGAAGGTAAAGGGTTAAATTAAAATTTCACTTTTGGCCAGATTCTAAGGAGTCAAATCCTCCACTACTGTAGGTTGCTCACATAACTTAGGAACAACAGGATCTAAGAAGACAACAACTGTGATGTTCCTATGTTAGCAACAACACATTGAAAGCAAAATGAATAGCTAACAATACTAAATGAATGCAATTGGCATGCTGCTGCATGTATACGTAACGGAGTGCACAGGGACAGATTCAAGGCCTACCGCGAATCACATAGTTGTCCAGGGCGTCGATCATGCTAGCGATAGCTTCGTCACGCGTAGCACCATGGGTAACCACCTGAACAAACAACACACAATGAGGTCAGTGTGGTTATTATGCTGACCAGCTGCCATTAGGTGCGGTGCTTGATTACAAGGAACTCCTTTTTAGGCTTTGTACTACAATCACCTGGCTGCAGTATGCCAACTACAAGTAAACAGGTGAGTAAGGAAGATCACCGAACAACTCTGGGGTCACGTCATCAAGCACACACCTTTGAGATCATTGGGTCGTAGAACATGCTGATCGTGGAGCCCTCTTTCACACCCGTGTCCACGCGTACCTGAGCAAAGACACACGGTAAAACACAAGTGTAAGCTGGCAATGATGCAAACACCTTCTGATATCAACTGACCTAGCTATGGTGGTGATGTACAAGGGGAGTGAGTCTGCTGAGAGTGCATTGGGGACTAGTGGAACACACTGATACCAACTACCGCTGACCAAAGATAAATACTAGTACCAAATATAGTACCCCCCCCCCCCCCCTGCACACATGCAGACAAACATCACCTAGCTCACAGAACATACACCAAGAACAGAAAAGTTAGAAACAACAGCAGTAAACATCAACGGCAACAATCCAGCAGCCTAACACAGTAGCCTGCCAAAAATGATTTACTTTTCCCCCAGAAATGACAATCACAAAACTAGAGTACTACTGCACCTACATCAGGCTCACGGCACATTCTCAAGTGACCGGGAGATGGCAAGAAGCGCTTGGGATCCTAGAGAGAAAACAAACAAAGCAATAACAGTACAACCAGGAAAGGGTTTGCTCCCCGCACACTGGAGCTCGCGCTCGTACAACCAACTACAAGTTAAACAATCAAAAGGTGATGGGACCTGTGAATGTGGCATTCCACTGACAGAGTGTAAACAAAACAGTTAGCACTGGCCCAGAGTGTCAAGGAGGACTAGTATACAGGAGAAAGCAACAGTATTTTTAGATGAAAAAACAACTGAGCTGAAGCCCGGTGAAATTTACAAGTTCCCTTGAGAGAGCAACATACCTCTGCATAGACACGAGATTCGACAGCCCAGCCTTTGATACCGATGTCGTCTTGCGTCACAGTGAGAGGCAGGCCTGAGTAGCACACAAACACGTGCGGACATATTCAACGAATGATTCACAGAAGTATACGCATGCGTGCACACACAGGGGGATGGAGGGAGAGGGTGTTGCACACATGCACACACAGTGCACAAGATCAGTAGAGTGTACCTGCTGCAACACGCAACATCTCGCTGACCAGATCAACACCAGTGATGCACTCGGTGATGGGATGCTCGACCTATGCATACGTGGATTGCAGATTCAATACACAAAGGCACATACAGACACATACACAGACATGCACGTGTGCGCATGTACGTGTGCGCATGCACACACACAAACACACACGCGCGCGTGCGCACATACACACATAAACACACCAGAACACAATTACCAATGGTGCTGATCACACAAGCAGTTAACAAGGCCAAATTTCCACAGCTCTCGACATCCGCACTGGCAGCTAAATTGTACATGTATAACAATTTCAAGCACAAATGCTACAGCAAACACGGAACTGTCTGACGATAGACTGTGTACTAGTCTGTGCTGTGTGCGACTTTGACAGTACAGTCCAATACAAGAACACACTGCAAACATACTTGCAACCGCGTGTTCATTTCCAGGAAGTAGAAGTTTCTCTTGTTATCCACCAAGAACTCGACGGTGCCTATAGTGCAAGTACAGTGAAAGAACACAATCAATTGCCAGAGGTGGCCATCACAAGTTAGTTCAAACACAACTCCACAACAGCGCACCAATTAACCATACTCTGTACAGCACACATTGCTACAAAAATATAAATGAAGACAGGGGTGTGCGACGCAGCGAGCTAAGAGTCCGGCGGTTTAACAAACACATCTACACTCAACAGCAACGCACCAGCTGAGCAGTACTTGACAGCACGGGCCAGTGCGATGGCCTGCTCTCCCATTGCCCGGCGTGTTTCTGGAGTGAGGAACGTGCTGTACACAAACGTATGAGACAGACAGACAGACAGACAGACACAGCAGGACTGTATAAGACAGTGGAGTAAACGTGTTGAAACTGTAGAAGCAACTTGGCACTCTGTCCAAATACATATGTAATGGTGTTGAGGGTGCGCTACTACAACAGCATGCACAGCATAACAGCGCCAAAATGCCCACCAAGGAGTCTAACCTGGGTGCCTCTTCAATGACTTTCTGATTACGGCGTTGAATGGAGCATTCTCTCTCGTTCAGGTAGATCTACAATAAGCAATCAAAGCAACATAAATTCACAAGTGTTCAAACAATAATTATGGTACATCAGTGTCCACACAAAGTGATCCACAAGTGCCCACACAAAGTAATCCACCATTGTCCACACGAAGTAATACATCAGTCTGATGACAGTGTCCATCAAATGCAAGGGTAAGTCACTATAGTGAAACAATAGCATACACCACTAGTAGAAAATCACAATACCTGAGGCTCAACTACTCGTCCATACATACCGTAAAGTACCGCCAGCGCGCCCCGTCTCGCGAGAGCGCCCCACCTTGATTTTAAAGCCAGGGAACAGAAAATCGTATGGTAGAGTGCAACGAAGTTCGTACGGTGTGAGAACATTAGTGTACTGTGGTCACACTAAGCAGGTTTTTGTGTGGAGCTCGTGTCCGCTCGAAGGTACGGATTGTCTGCACAACGTGCAATATGTGGACAAAGTTCGTGTCGTATGATGTACACACAGGAGACCACCTCCACAATACGGCCACGAAAGGACGAGATGGTGGGGCGTTCCGGCGGTACTTTACGGTACATGCATTAGACAGGTCAAGATCATCCAGTGAGCCAAACTCGCCATAGCATACAGGAGTGAGAACTACTTACACAGTTGCCATGGTTATCAGCCAACACCTGTGTGATGATGTCACAGCAGAAACACAAACGACACGGAATGGAGGAAAGTGAGGACACACACACACACACACACACAACACACACACACACACACACACACACACACACACACACACACACACACACACACACATACACACACATACACACATACACACACTGTCATCGTTACAGTTACAGATAACATTAGACAGAAAACCTTGTCGGCACACAAAGAAAATACATCTCAAGACACATATGCACGCATGCACAAGTCATGTTACTAGTATGTATATTTCAGTTTATCATGGGTGCAGGAATTGCTGCCTTCTTGCTGTGGTCCATGGAAGATGCCACACTCCTAAGGTATGACTCGACAACCAGATGTGCCTCTCCGATTCTGGAAGTGGCAACAGAAAGTCAAAATGTTCATAGGTTCTCCTCACTTGAATTTCAATGTGACGCGGCTCTTCAATAAATTTCTCAATGAGCAGACGATGGTCATTGAAGCTGGATTTGGCTTCGGCTGTAGCCAAGTCGAATCCCTCCCTGTACACGTACACACACCACACACACGTACACACACACCACAGCACACACAGCACACACACAGCACACACAGCACACAGCACACACACACAGCACACACACACACACAGCACACACAGCACACACAGCACACACACACACACAGCACACCACACACAGCACACACACCACACAGCACAGCAGACATATCAGCACACTAAGTTAGTGTTGCATGGTAGAGGAGCGCAAAGCCGATTGTTCTGTTCTTGTGTTCTGCACAAGCATGCATACATGCGCGCACACATGCACACCCACGCCCACGCCCACACACATGAATGCATGCTCACAAGCACGCACCCACGCACCAATGCATGCACATGCACACACCCACACGCACATCCACGAACACACACACACACACACCTGAACACTGGGAGCATTGGACAAAGATACAGGTACAGGCACACACGGAAGAAACCTGTACTGACGGCCAGCACAACTGCAGTACACATTATGTCTTATTCAAAGTTATTCTCCCCTCATCAAGACAAAGCTTAGTGAACAGGTGCCCTTACTTGCACTGGCTGTCATCATAGACAACTCTCATTCCCTTGCCCCCACCACCAGCAGATGCCTTCAACATGACAGGGTAGCCTGAAAAGCAGTAAAGAATGGACAACAGCATAAACTAGGACGCAAAGCCAAACATGCCCAGGCCAAGACAGCGCTGATTGTTACACAGCAACCAATCCAACTGGAACATACATGAAGACTGAATGCAGTAGAGTCAACATCTATACAGCCAACAGTAATGTCTACGCATGCACGGTGCTAGATATAGCATCATCATTGCTAAAGTGCAAGGCAGTACGTGTACTAGTAGACGTGTGAAGTTATCACAGTGCACACCGACAGCATGGCGCATAAATCAATCCATTGCACGGGGTGTGGGTGAGCAGCTAGCAAACGATGTGTTAATCTCGCAATAAAGTCGCGCAAAGTGCACGTACGGGCACCACTTAGATCCAGCGCTAGGCAGAAGCAAGTTGTGAGGAGCTAAAGCCATTTCTAAAGTAAATGTTAGTGCTAAGTTCACACACCAAGCCTTCACAGCACTAACAGTAGCACACTACTACTACTACGTCATTACCACACTGTATAGAAAGAAACTTTAAAAAAAGTGTTGAATTCACACTTGCATGTGAGCCCCAGCAGTGCAAAATACATACAGCAACTTTAGATGGTAACTGTATGGGAGGGGGAGGGGGAGGGGGGGGGGGGGGAAGGGGAGGGGGGAGGGGGGGGGGAGGGGGCAGTGATGGAACAAAGCACACGCATCCTACTAACCAATCTCATTAGCTAAACGGATGGCATCATCGGTGTTCTGTACAGTAAAGAGGCAAAGGACACAACACTTCCATTAGAGGGAATGCTGACTGAAGGCAACCACACTACCACATACACACATAATCGTACACGCATGCGCACACACACACACGCATCCACACACACAGACACACACACACACACAGACACACACACACACACACACACAGACACACACACGCCTGCCCCCCCCCCCCACACACACACACCCACAGACAGACAGACAGACAGACAGACAGACAGACAGACAGACAGACAGACAGACAGACACACTCACACACACACACACACACACACACACACACCACACACACACAAACGCACACACGCACATACACACATATACACATTTTCAAGTGTCCCTTCATGCTTTGGAGATCGTCTTCGCCTGGAGATCGTCTTCGCCAAGACATACCACCCTGTCGACCTAGAAAGCCACCAACTCTCTTCTTCTCTCATTGCATACGGGATCAGCATCCAAAGAATGACATAGCGAAGTATTAAAAGACATGGCAGAATAAAACAAGACTACATGCATACATGTACATGTAGCTGTGGGTGACAGCAACAAACAGCTGTTTCGTGTTCTCAATACTGCAGCTACAACTTATAATTCTCAGTGTTCACCATTACTCTTCCACAAACTAAATACGCTGGACACAAGCTTCCTGTGGTATTTCCTACGGGCGCATGTGAATGCAACACTGCAGTTGTGAAGTTGGCGTGCAAACTCGAGTTCACCAGTGCTATCCCATAGTATGACTAGACCATGCAGGCAGCTAGCTAGCTCACCTCAACTACACCATCAAATCCGGGAATCACGTTGACGTTGGCCTCCTTAGCAATTTTCTTGCTCTCGATCTTATCACCCATTGCATGGATGGCAAACGAGCCTGGACCAATGAACGCGACGCCTTCATCAGCCTACAACAATCAACAGTGCACATTCAGGCATACAACAATGCAGTATAGGCTTATGACAAAATAAGTGCTACGTATCAGTTCAGTGCAAGGCATTGTTCTTTTCTTGCCGCGGCTAGCTATCTCCCCGCCTGTGCCCCACCCCACTGGCAGTTAGCACTGGTTATGGGGGCAAGGTACAAATACAAACTGCCACGTGACTGCCAGCTACTACTGTAAATCAACTAATTTTCGCTGGCGATTTAATTTCGCTGATTTCGCCGCTGGGTACCAACCGGCCAAAGTAAATTGCAGGCCAAAATTTGTCATAGAGGCAAATGATGCCTGCATGTGAGGGCAACAAATACATGTACCAATCGATTTCTTTTTTGAAAACCCCAATCGGCCAAAGTTAAATGACGGCCAAAAGTTTCATTTCGAGATCGGCCAAAGTTTCTCACCGGCCAAAATTTGTTGATTTACAGTACTTGACATGACTGTGTGTTTCGCCTCAGTCTCCCAGCTTGACAATTCAACATGTTCTGACTGTCGTGAAATAAACCGACAAAATCCGCCATTGTCACTCGGCACAATGACACATTTGGTACACTATTCAGGCCCGCCGGAACCAGTGCGGTTGGTTAGAGCATCACCGGATCAAACTGCTGGCAACCAACACATGTTTCCTGGTGAAGAGGTTAAATGCAACCACTACAACCGCACACAAACACAAACTGTATGAAAGGCTATGGTATGGCCGCACCAATCAACGCCTGCTTCCGGCGGTCCTGCCATTCTCAAAGTAGGGACTTCAATTGAAAAACCAAATTTGCGAGTTTCGCATAAAAGGCTAGTTTTTCTAAACCGGGAAGATGTGAGAAACAACCTGTGAAAAATTGAACTCAAAATTCCAAGGCAATCTAGAGTTATAGTCGATGAAAGATAGGAAAACGGGGGAGAAGATAGTCACAGAAGTAAATTTAAGTACATGTATGTATGTGAGCCGTGTGGTTTCCGTCCAGCACTGCACTATCTGGTGCATACATGGCGATACAGGATGTGTGCATGCATGCAGTGTGCACGCATGCCGTGCGCGCCTACTTGCACAAGTCACACGTTTTCACCGTCACTGCTTCTACTGTGCGAGCGCAGTTCACTCGATTTTTTTCGTCTACCACCAGGAAATCGCCATGGGCTGGTTTGTGATCATTTTCCTTCTACTGCGATAAAGCGCGAGCCTCAATGTTCTAGAATCCTCTTGGTTTAGGCTAATTCGAGGCCGCTGAACACGAAAACTGGGTGTTCCTCGCGGGGCCGAGTACGGATCTGGTCGAAATTAGTACTTCGAAGTGCATCCGCGCCAAGCGCGGAGGCATTATTTTTGGAAGCATGGCATGTGGGTCACCATTGGAAAGGTAATGACCTCAGCTACCTAAAAATAGCATCGACAAGGCCGAAAAGGCCGCGGGAGAAGATACTTGGGCCTCGAACTGCAGCCACGAGGCGCCCATTCACTTTGTACAGGCGAGCTGTGACTGCATTTTTCGCTTTTTGCGACCGGAACTGAACTCCCTACTCAAAGATCAGCCCCAAGTGGGCACACACGTCAGGACCCAATCGAAGCAAGTATTGTATACCAGTTTGCAATGAGCGTACCAGGCGTGCAGCGAACTTCTTGTTCTCCGACAAGAACCCATATCCAGGGTGAACCTGAGGTAACACAAGAAGAATACAAGAATGCCCGACACACCGACATTAAGGTCAAGAATGATGCAAAGATTCAAAAAAAGTCATCTGTGAATCGGAGGAGATGCAACACGCAATGGACAGCACAAGCACACAGAGTGCATGCACACATGCAATACACACACACACGCACGCACGCACGCACACACACACACACACACACACACACACACACACACACACACACGGGATCAACCGGACTAAAATGCCAAAGTTAGTATAGTTGAGCCATGCAGAGAAGCAAAAGTCACATCGCCTAAGTGACAAACCAAGGCAGTTGTCAAGTCATGCATCAGAAGGCCAACGACTACATACTGCATTTGCTCCAGTCTGCTTGACAGCATCGACAACCGCTTCAATGTTCAGGTAACTCTGGTTGCTGGGTGCTGGACCGATGCAGACTGCCTCGTCAGCTTCCCGTACGTGCAGCTGTGAATAAACAGTATGTACACATGCCCACAAACAAACATACATACACCACACATCACACACCACACATCACACATGCACGCACGCACACACCACACGGACGGTGTTCTTTACGGACTTTTACCGTACTGTCAGAACACGTCAATATGCACATGCTGCCGCTGAGAGAGCATAGAGGAACGCGTCGTGAACCGCTACTACATGTAGTAAACCATTTGTCAAGGTATTCACAATCAGGGCCATCTCGAGAGAGTGCGCTATGCATGTACGTGCAGAACAATATACAGAAATACAGAGACGGGAAACTGCTTCGTCACGCACTGCACGATAACCAAGGTATTCATGTAGTGCATGGCACACACACACACACACACACACACGCACGCACGCACACACACACACATACAAATCCAGTGGAAACATAATTCAAAAGGTCTACTGAGATATGAGCATCGTTTTCCACTGGATTCCTGTGTACGCCCTGCACTACATGCTTTGAAGATCAGTGACCTGATGTTGAAGTTCCTTTGTGCATTGTACTGTAAGTGTATATGAGGCTGTACTGATATCAATGCCAACGTGCTGACAAGAAATCCAGGTCCTCGGCACCAGCATCACAGCACACATAAAACACAAAACACACGGTTCATTGGCTTCACGTCTCTACAGAGCACTTACAGCACTCTGATCAGCCTGACTGTATACGGCCACGGTCTTGATGCCCATCTCCTTGCATGTGCGGAATACCTGTGTGTACACACACGCACACAATGCCACAGAGGCATGTACAAGCACACACATGCAGGCCAAGCACGTATATATGGGGGGGGGGGGGGGGGGAGGGGATTGCACGAACACATGCAATTCGCAGGTGTATATCTAAACTCCACATTTTCTCTTTTATTCATAGTTTTCATCGTACACATGTTCTTTCTTTCATAGACACGGGTTACATACAAACGCTGAACATGATATTTACGCCAATAAAGAGTGGAATCAAAGTCAACATTTCTGACAAACTGACACTTTCAATGCCATGACCATGAGTCATAGCTCTCAAGCGCATCGCTGTGTTACTAGTAGCAAATAGCTCGGCGTGGTCTAAACCACTTGTGTGTTAGCAGAGCTTGATTGGTGGCCTAATAGTTCTTAAAACTTAGTTAGTTAAAAGCTACTGTCTTATTTTGTTAAATGACTACATAACCTGCGCTGTACTCTACAAACTTAATCTATGAGTGGGGTGACTAACGTGATACACACACACGGCGTGCGCACACACACACACACACACACACACACACACACACTCACACACACACCTCAGACCTCAGACCTGCCCATCGCGGAAGCGATGATAGTGAACAGCTATGTTAGACATAGCAACTTGCACACACACACACACACACACACACACACACACACACACACACACACTCGCACACACACACACACACACACACACACACAAACACACACACACACACACTCGCACACACACACACACACACACACACACACACACACACACACACATACACACGCACACAGAAATCAAATTACTCATCCCCTTACAAACTAATCCCATCCACCACACGAACACCAGCTCCTACATTAACGTTCTCCGCTTCACTTACTCTGCAGGCGATTTCACCTCTGTTTGCAACCAGCACCTTCTCGAATGGCTGAACAGGAAGGCGGAATAGAACAAGGGAATGGCATGTATCACAGTTCAGTGATGGATTACCGTATTTCCCCGTAAGTTAGTTCTCCCCAATGACTTAGTACCCCCCTATAAAAATACACTTTCCACTGCCGAGGGTATCACCCCGAAAGACAGTTCCCCCCGAATGATAGTAAGTTCGTACCCGTCCTACATGTACAGACACCGTACAGTACATACATCATATGCACGGACACTAGAGTTGCGCAGGCTTCCCACTGCGTGTCATTTATCTCCGATAAAAAAGTACTCCCAGAAAGATAGTACCACCCCCGAAAGTTAGTACTCGTGTGGCTGCTAAGTTCGAAAGTTAGTACGTACTAACTTACGGGGAAATACGGTATCTCAATACACCGGGGATAGTATCAAATGGGACAAAATGGCTTGAGAGAGACACCGGGACGGCGGTGTCTATATACATGCGAGTCCGTGCTGCAATTTTTACGACTGTCGAATAGTATAGTAATCCCAGAGAGTACGGATCCAGCCAAAAACTCATAATCGAGTTGATGAGTTGCACTACGTGTACTAAGAACATCAGCGAGTGGGCTGATCTGCTTGCAAGTAATTTATTTATTTATTTATTTATTACAGCATCTCATAGCACAGTGAGAACACCGGCCAATACAAAGAGAGAGGGTGTTAGCCAACCACGGCAAGGAAGGGAGAAGGGGAGGAGAAGAAGAAAAAAAATGCAACATTGTCAAGAGGAACATTGTGATGTTTTTATCCAGCTGGAATAACATAACAATAGCCTTGACGTGCGTATGAAGGGATGAGTGTGCAGCAATGTATCCCTTTCATAGTTACTAGTTTAATCAAGAGTACTCTTGGTATAATGCATAATTGCTGTCTCCACGCAGATTATTATAAACCACTGATGTCATTATGTTTATATTCAAAAGTGGAAGGAACTGAAGAGGGAACATCATTGTAATTTCAACTAATTTGTACTAACATAACCCTTCACCATCTCACATACAATAGGCATTGTCCTAAAATACACGACATGTCCCCTCTTGGCTCTTTACCTTGCCACCAGTGGCCTGCCCCGAGGCGAACCTGGTGGAATTGTCCATGAGATTAGCATGTCTCCGAGACGTTGAAATGGCTGGCTGACTCGCCCACGCCTACACAATGATGATCGCGTAATGCAGTGGTCACACGCACACACAGCCAATGAATACTTTAGTTTAGAAATAATTATAATTGACAGTCATAGGCTTGACCTAAAGCTTATGTCCACACGAAATGCAAGTGTTAAACAAAAATAGAAAAATATAATTCAAACAACTTTCCTCACCGATGTCAAATGTCGCCGATATTGTTGAGAAGCTAGGGGTTGCAAGGCATATCGCCATTGCCTTGGAAGTGAGCGCAATGCCCTGGACGCCATCCTATCCAACTCAATAAAGCATCAAGAAGGGTATCCAATGCGAAAATTCAATCAAAAGTCGAGTAGTTCGAGAGAAAATAGTGTGTTCTTGAGTATGTGGTACGCAGATCTTCGTAGTACATGTGTCCAGTACGGTTACGTCATTACTCACGTGTACAAATCATACATCTCCATGACCCATGTCCATGATCACCATGATTGTTATTATTATTGACATGTACATGTACATGACGGTTCACAAACTAGAATGTAGTCAGTGTACGTACTGTAAAAGCAGAAATTTTCGGTGGTGTTTTATTTTCGGTAACTTCGGTGCCGACAATTTTTACCGAAAATAAAACGCACCGAAATTGTCGGTACACCCGATACTGTATACATGTACTGGTAGTACTAGTACACTTACCTGGAAAATGGGTTTTACCGAAAATTTCCCGCTACCGAACCGCCGATTTTGGCGAATACCGAAAATATTACACCACCGAAAATTTCTGCTTTTACAGTACATTAGACAGCCAAAGTCACTTCCACTATTCCAGACCAGATGGCAGGAACTGACAAGACTAACAATTCACTGGTTATTCGATGACAACTTCTTTGTATGATCACAAAGGTCCCATCAAGAGCATTATAATACACTTGGACGTCTCTTATCCGGGCACCTTGGGACCTGGCACTGCCCGTATCTCAGATTTGCCCGCATCTCAGGATAACTCATCTACCATGTACCATATCATTTTTTGAAGAAGTTTATTCGGAATGTATTGCACATGTTCAGGATGCAAAAGGAACCCATGGATAAAAATGTGTGGATTACATAGGTTGGCAGTGAAAAAAATTAATAAGCACTTCCTCATACGGAAAAAAAGGTTCAAAACCCCCGAATTCGAAGCATTTGTGCTATCGGAACCCAAGCTGAAGGTGCCCGGTAGAGAGACGTGCCCGTATCTGAGGCGTCCGGATAAGAGGCGTTTGAGTGTATACATGTTTGGCCATGTTTGGCACATCAACAAACGTGCACATTAGTACAATGTCATGTACTCTACTCTTGACACGTGCATGCAAGCGTAACTTCAAAAACATTCTACGCGTAGTGCCGAGCCACACTCAATCGGTGCCAGGGAGTAGTACAATAATGCATTGTAATGTTCCCTGGCTGCACATTGGCACAGAGGCTGCTTCCCCCAAACACATGGACAAGTCAGTTGAGCTCAACACAGCTGTTCACAGTAACGGTTACACGCAGCCCTTCGGACTCGACGTCCTGTACACGACACAAAGCCTTGAGAAAGAAAATAACAATCCCGCGCATCAACTCGCAAAACAAACAAAGAGCTAATACAAGAGAACAGCAGGGAAGAAAACTGACCATGAAGTATTGCTTGAACAAAGAGACTAGAATACCAAAAGCCACAAATCAGAAACTTATGACACACACACTAAAAAAAAGAAGCTCAGAAGTCAGAGCAGCGGTTAGCAGAAGAAGCAGCAGCAGCAGCAGCATAGGTATCAATAATTACAGTAGCAAATAAAAAGGAACGTGTCACTGTAACAGTGAGAGAAACACCGCACAGAGCGATAATTATTACAAACTCGACTGAAGCAATACTCAACAGTCAACACACAAACACACACACACGCGCGCGCGCGCGCGCGCGCGCACACACACACTCACGCAAGCATGTGTACACAAAGCAGATCTCGAAGGGTAAAAAAAACACAGAGATATAGTGATTTACTATGCCAGTACTTGTTAGTAAATGTGGCTATGGTAGTACTAAAAGCATAGTTTTATAGGTACATGCATAAGTTATGTGTTGATGGGGAAATGAAATCCCAAAATTATTGTTACACTTTTCAAACACAAAAAAAGACAATGTGATACAAGCAAATAATTGCTGCATTGGTCTCCAATCAAGGCAGCAAGGAGAGAGACAGAGAGAGAAGGGGTGGGGTGGACAACGACTGAGGTAGAAGATAGGATGCATCAAAGACAGCAGAGGCGGTAACACTTACCAATCACAGCGGTAAAGGGGGTTGAGGATATAAAACAAGGCCAATGCAAAGTTAAACTAGGTCACTGGCAATACATTTCTACGGCGTAGCTAGCAGAGGCGGAAACCCGTAGCACAAGTAGGAGCATCTTCGAAAATACCCGGACAATGAGGACGTGAACAACTAGACAGTTTGCGCAGGACAGTACCTACGGGAAAGGCAGTTTCTTGACATGCTGACTGGCCATCTCTTCTTCGTGCAGCTGTTGTCGGAAGCTGCTCACTTTAGCTGCAGTCCACCAATGCATGCACAAACAAACAGATGAGAAATAGTGAGACTTGTGAGTCTCCAAGACAAAGGAGGCGAGAAACAGAGCGCTTTTTTTAAAGAATGAGTCGGGAATGCAAAATCTCCCAGTCTCCTGAGCAGGTCACCTCAGAAGAAACTGCACCGCTATGAAGAGCCGCACAAGCTTCCCAGTCTTGAAGAGTTAGTCTAAACTGCTCTGAAAAACGTAAGAGATCCTCTAACTTTATCCCTAAAACCATTATATCACCTTCAATATGATCCTGCTTTGAGTATCGCAACTACAAACAAGGATGAAAATGCACACATGTGCACATATGCACCCGGTCACGCAACAAACACGCCAATGCAACCTGCCGTACATGATATCATAGCAAAAGTGCACGAAACCAAGAGTGTGCGGCTCGAATGGGTTGCTGTCACGGTGAAATTCCTGGATTACATCATTTTAGTGATGTAGCGCGTACAAGCAAGATTCAATCAGGCCCCCTGCAGCACAACTGCAGCTCAGTTGCACCCACTACGCCACTTCCCGCGGCATATCTGCGCCAACTATGATACAATCCAGGAATTTATGCCATGACAGATACTCATGCAGAAAAGTCAGAAGCTGCACACTCTTTGTTCATGTAGTCTTGATCATAGCAAGACACCACACTGCTACATAGTCATGTATACACCCACCCACTCATACACCCACCCGTACACCCGTACACCCGTACACCCGTACACACACACACACACACACACACACACACACACACACACGCACACACGCACGCACACACACACACACACACACACACACGCACACACACACACACACGCACACGCACGCACACACACACACACACACACACACACACACACGCACGCACACAAACACACTATATACCTCGTAGCTGGGCAACATGGTGCTCTTGTTCCGTGAGTAGCTCCTCAAGGTGCCGAGCATATGCTAGCAGCAACATAACAACAAAATACAGAAAACTTCGGTATAAAGAAACCTGGATACTCAGTATCACATACAGCCAAGCTCACGAATAGCAACAACTCATGAAGAACGACACTACCGTCAGACCAAGTAACCAATTAACTGCATAAACTTAACCCCATGAATAACAACACTTTTCTCATGCCCGATCGGCGGTCGTTATTCGCAAGCTTGACTGTACTACGAGGTATTATTAATAAACAATAAGGTACTATTTTCAAGGACCCTGCAGTATGGAATACAAGTCAATTGATCTCGGATATGCAGTAGCTTGGCTACACAGTACAGTTTTGTTACATCCCTTTGAGGTATGCTATACTGAACTGTATCATTGTATGTACTTCTTGTAGAGACTCGCAAGGTAAACACCCTTGTGAAGTTGGGCAATCATGTGGCCATGACTGGATGTCTTGCAATGCACTTCTACAACGTGTAGCATCAGCTTTGCTGCCATACCCTTAACACCGTATTGCGTTACAGCTGTACTAGTTCCTGTAGCCAGTCACAGCTAAATAAACTCTCATGCAGAAACGCTGGCCGCATCACCAAGGCTGACTGTGTAGAATACATGAAATGACTACACTCTTGTGATGTTTTACAACACGCTTTCACACTGACGTATATGAACAGTGCCAGGCCGGCGACTTTGCAGACTCATCTGCACACCTATCTGCTATAGTAACACTGGCAACTCCGCACATTCAGAATCATATCTACGTCAGCGTTGAATAGGAATGCAGTTGGCTTGCTCAACAAATCGCAGCAGCAGAATATTCACTCACCCTCCATGTCGCTGTCAGGACTGTCTGCATGCTGTAAGAGCTGCTCTGACCGTCTCATGAACTCCGCCTAGACCGACAAACACACAAACCATGCCGTTGCAAGTAAGTGATGGTTACTGAAGTCAAATGTGGCTGATATCCATGCCCATACACACCTTTTGAATTCAAATCAATGAAACACACACACCTTTGACCTTTGACCTTTGACGCCCATCGCCGGAGGCGATGATAGCAATGCTACGGCAGAAGCCATAGCAACTTGTGCCGGGATTGCACCATTCAACAGCTTGCAAGGCTGAAGAATTGACCGTCACTATTCAGCCTGGTCTACACCATACAGCTATTTGAAGTGACTTTTTCTGGCCAGTGAATCCCTATTTTTGGTCTTTTTCTTTTTTTCTTTCTTTTTTTTTTCTTTTTTTTTTCCCACACACACATCACACCACATACTCCGGCATGCACTGGCTGTTGGTAACCACCCAGGAGAATGAAAGAAAAGTCAGGAAGAGTCTGAGAAAGAGAAGAAAGACGTGTGTGACCATAATCGTCGGGAATCGAACCCGCAACCTATCGATTGGAAATCGCTGCACATACCACTGCACCATATGGGACACACACACACACACGCACACGCACACGGACACATGCACAGATATACACACACATGAGAGTGAACACATGCATAGAAGAAAATGAAGTTAGTGACGCATGGACACGGCGATGAAAGGACGTGAGCAGCTGGTTTCTATTGTTCTGCAAGTACATGCACGGACATGGCCATTACCTGGTTGAATCCCCGATGACATTCGACTAACTGTTCCTGTGCCTCCACCAGGTGTGACATAGCCACATGGAAATGTAAGATATCGTTAGAGAACAGCTGCTCCCCCTGTCAACACAGCACAACAACCAGACAGCAGAAGTCAGTCAAATCCAAGTAAAGACTATGTATGATTCAGAATAAACTGTACTGGTACGAGTACTTGGACAAGTCCGAGAGGAAGATCAGTTGAGCAGCTTCACAGACAATACAAGTATTACTACTGCTGTGCATACATCGGAACTTGGCACAACGGAGTGCATGTACACAGAGGATTGCAGTTTGAACATTCTGGCATCAGAATTCTAAACCGTCGACACGTCAACAGCCAGGAGAAGGCAATCCTATTGCATTTAGGTAGGGACTATATTCTATGAACTGGTGAACCGTCTTGGATTTCGAAAGTTAAGTATGCAGAGACACACACATGCCCCTGGACACCCAGAGCCCCCTCTCTCACACACACACGCATGTACGCATGCACGCACCCACCCACACACACACACACACAAAGAGCCATGCACCCACATATCCCACATCCACAGAGTCATGTACTTACGAATGCAAGCACAAATGCACGCACCCACCCACACTCATACACACACTTACACACCAACAAGGAAACATGCACACACACACCCACACACACACCCACACACACACACACACACACACACACAGGACCTAACTAACCTCTTTCAGAGACTGATGCACGAGCCGCAGATCGTCGGCTTCTCCATCGTCCATGGGCTGTGGTGGTGGTGGTGATAGCGGTGCAGCAGGAGGGGGCATGTCACCACCATTGCCTGCTGCACCACCTCCACTGCCAGCCTCCAACTCTTTTACTCTGCCACACACACAAGACGAGAAATTGTAATGCCTGGAGTGCAATACACTATGACACTGAGTGATAGCAAGAATTCTGCCGACTGGCAGACAACAAGAATGGTTCAGCAAACACGGATCGGCACACCGCATATCATGAAGACTATCACGGCGTGCTCCTCCACTTCTACACAGGGTGCAGTGGAAAAGGGATGAGGTGGAAAACTGCACTCTATTTCCAAGCTCAATCCAATCCGTGTTTGATGATCAGCACACCAAACACACTCGTGCACGCGCACACGCGCGCGTGCGCACACACACACACACGTGCACACCCACACACACCCACACATGCACGCGCACGCGTACGCACACACGCAATAGCAACAACGCAGATGTCTAGTCTAACCTGTCGGCATATCGTAGCGTGTTCAGCGTGTGCTCACAGCTGTTCTGCCCCGGTGATACCATGGCAATCTACAAAACAGAATACAACAGGAAACACAAGAGCAGATTTGACGGAGACCATCAGCACACAACAAGACCAGAAAAGAAGTACTGCACGTGTACATGTACATACTTCCGTCCACTTTACGAACAGAGGATATCCGGCGCAGTACCTGTTGATGAAGACTGCTAAATACTGCACGTGTACATGAACATAGTTTGTAGTTCCTGTCAATGAAGACTGCTACTGAAAGCTTCAAAACTGACTGTGATTCACTGCCGGATAAAGAAATGCACAACTCTCCCTGACCATGTGATAATTTGATGATCTTTTAAAACAGAATCAGCACATACCCAGTATATACCTACAAGTCAACAAGACGGGTCTTCAACTTCATCATGACTTACCATACACGTCCGAGACCGATCACCCATAAACGAATCTTTCAACACCTAGCAGTCCCAAGCACACACAGCAAGCCAATAAGCATGATTCCAAATCTATTTACAAAAAAGTTGAAAAAAACCCACTGTTCACGTGAGAACCAGTCAGACTGAATATTTCTGGCAACCGTAGAAATGCCACCACCCATGCATCACAACAAATGACGACGACGGCAGCAGCAACTACAACAACACACAAAGGTAATTACACTTTTGAAGAGCATCGCTGGTATATCGAGATGAGCCTGGTATGCGGAGAACCGGGAAATATTTGCGCCGGTTTTAGTTCGCGATTTGAGAGAACAGACTAATTTGCACTTGGAAATGTTGGCGATTGGAGTCAATTTCACTAATTTTTTCGCACTACAGTTCTACGTTTCGTGCCGGCTTACTTTTGCGAGTCCATCGTGAACTGCAAAGGATTCCCTGTTTTCAGCAGTAGAGCATTTGTTTGTCAGTTGAATTGGTAGTGGAGGGAATGATCGATCATGGAAATCGCGGTACATCACATCACTACAACTGCAGGAAATATCAGCTACCAGTTCACGTACTGACTTGATGAAATGCTTAGAAGACAACACGGAGAACGAATAGCTAGCAAAAGCCTCTGCCACATACATGTACACACACATAGACCATTGTCACTTACCAGGGTGAGCTTGCTGGCACGGAACGGCAAATGAGCACCTTTGCGACCAAGAGCTCGAATGCATTCCTGATCAAAGAGCAAACAAAACCAGAAAGAAACATCACAGAAGTTGACAACACATGAGAGCAGAGCAGTATAGCCACAGCAATTGAATTCATATCCTGCTTGCAACTTGCCGACATGTTGAAAGTTAAAAGTGGCTCTGAGTCACAATAAGGCATACAGTAAGACTGTATCACACACACACACGCACGCACACGCACGCACACACACACACACACACACGCACACACACACACACACACACACACACACACACACACACACACACTTTTCACATGTGACGGCGGTGGCGGCAGTGGCGGTGATGAAATTTCTAAACAACTGCACGACACACTGTGTGGGTTCTTTAGTCCTGGGAGCACCAACCTTGAGCGCCAGAAGGCTTTTGTTGATCTCCGCGCCCTCCATTCGCGTCTGTCTGTCAGCACTGGAAGTGTCGGCACCTCTTTCGTTACCAGCCAAGTCGATCAGTGAGAACTTGCCATGAAGCTTCTTGTTTGTTCTGTACCAAGATGAGAATGGAAAGAATAGACACTCTTGCCAAACATTGCTGGATATGAAACCGTAATTGCTTTTGCATTCGGCAGAGCTAGGCCCTTGTCAGAACCAAACTCTGCCATGTCTTTGCTCTACACTGTAGGCTATCGAGCGTTAACCCACATGAAGCGGACTTCAAAGTCGAGCTAGCTTATCATAGCGCAGTGTACAGAACAGCACATGGCAATATACCGGTGACCCTTTCCCCGGATTATAAATCAAGGTGGCGTACTCCGGTAGGACCTTTCTGTATGCATCTGTATGTCCAATAATCCAGTGGTCTAGATGCAGAGGTGACACTAAAGTTACCGTGGGTTCAGTGCCTGCTCTAGACATTCAACACAGCCCGGTCAGAGTGTACCTGGCGCATGCAGGCCAGCCGGGTCAAGCCGGGTCAGATCATCCGGCAGAAAAACAACCAAAAAGCCTGCTCAAAACGCAGGAAACAGAAAGGCGAATTTATTACCGGAAATCGGAAATTTTAGAGAACAAGGCGAACTATCAAAGTCCGCAAACGTAAAAGGTAAACGACATTACGTGAAGAATGCAAAGCAGTTCCATTGGATTCTGATTTAACAATTTGAAAAAAAGGAATTCTGTTTTCTAATTATTGCTAGTAGCAGGACGAACGACCAAATCCATCGCCGCTCATCTTCCTTTGGAAATGCGTCTTGCACAAAGCGCATGACATGGATAGACTAGCATGGTCGTAGTCCAGCCAGGGTCGACCTTTCTTCCAAGAGTCTTGGAAAGGTGAGATCTTTTTCTCTTCGCTGCGGGCTCCATCATCCAAATCACCAGTCGGCTGAAAAATTGCAACTGTGTCAAAGTAACGCTTTTGACTGCCTGCCCCATCGACTTTGTATGTCCTGACTTCCTGCTCGCCGCTAACTGGCCAGATCGTGCTCGAACCAGTTGACGTGACCGCAGTTGACCCTAGCCGAGTTTCTGTCGCTTGTAGACTGTAGTGTGTACGGTTGCGCTAGACTTGCAAGAGATGGGGTCCGCTAGTCGTAAAATACCGGAATTTTATGAATCCATTGTCAGTTTGAGACATTTTTCAGCCGGGTCAGACTGGACCCGGTGTTATCTGTTCAGCCAGGTCGTGCAGTTCCCCAGCCGGGCGCGTGACCCGGCTGACCCGGCTCTCCAGCAGGCCCTGCGTGGGTTGTGTGGAAATTTTCAACAAAAATAATTGATAGATAACAGGAGAGCCACCAACTAACTGTTACTGTCGGATATCCAAATGACGGAAAAAGCCAACATGTAGTGATCATAATAATGCTAGGGGGCTAACAGACATCCCGTACCTCTTACGCAGCACAAGCTGGAAGACGGCATGTGATCGAGACGAGTGTTGGTTGGCGGATGTAGTCCCGGACGTTCTGCAGTGAACCATGACAAATGGCGAGACGACAAACACAAGCTTGATGAACACTGGAACTCAAACCGGAGAGGATGCCACACACTCAGGACCATGTGCAGTTGCAGAAACTGAAATCAGACCTCATGAAAAAAGCATAGTCGTATTCGGTGCACAGCCCAGTGTTGATAGCGCTAGAACGGTACACCACTCTACGTACAGCTGTTTCTCGCCATGAGGTCGGATTTCACACGTCCTAACTGTAAGAGAAAAGTGGGGTGAATACGAAGTGACGCTTGCAGCAGAGAGACCATGTGTGAGTGCCTGGACTGAGTAAGGTAATATGTAAATGGCTGCAATGGAGTTTGCGAATCCCGAGAAATATGTAAGAGAATACACTGGATAAAGGTGACAGAGGTGCTTTCTTGTTCATCAGGCTTCATAGCGATCGGTTCGGTCAGTGACTCTGGCCTCCACTGAAGACACCTGACGAGGTCAAAACAGCTAGCTGTCCAGAGAGACCGAGTATTTATCGCAGCCATAAGCAGGGTCAAGAGAACTAATCACCCTTTTCAACCTTCCAGAAGCTCATCAACCGACCTCCATTGCTGCCCAATGATCATCGGATCACTGCTGCTGTTGTTGCTGTAGTACAGTTGTGTATGTGCTACATACCTGATCTGATTGCCGAGGTGAATGCAGCGTAGAACGTCGTCCACGCATGTTACAGTCTGCTCAGTCAGACCGACCACCTGCACCTGCTGCTTGCCATCCTCCAGAATGCGCAGCTTTGCCTTGTTGTTGAGCAAATCAAACACCTGTGCATGCAGATATACATGCACACAGTCATTATGCATCTTGAACATGCCTGAAGTACTGGACCTATGTTCAGGAACAACATCAATACTCCCAGTCAAAAAAGCACACCAAAGCTGTCGCAAATTACTGTGAGAGCGCCCCACCTTGATTTAGGACTAGGGAAAGGAAAATCATATACCAGTTTACTGTTCTTGCGCGGAGCTCGCTGAAGCTCAAAGGCGAAATTGAGTACAGGTTCAGCACAACATGCAATGCATGTACAGTGTACGCGTCGTACGACCTACAGACAGGACTGGCTCATCCAGCCCACCTCCACAACACCACCACAAATGAGCGCAGGTCATGGAGAGATCTAATGCTACCCAACGGCACACATAACAGGGGCGTCGGAAGCAGTTTAACATTGGTGCAGCGAAAGTGTGAGAGGGGGATCGGGGGGTTGTCCCCCGGGAATTTTTTTTGAAAATTGGGCCTAAGGCCGAGTAAAAAAAATTACTAGATGATCGTCCTTTTTTTTGGAAAAATCGGGGAGGGCGGGAGGATTTTATTTTTATTTTTTTACTTTTTACCCTCTCATGCACACAGTGTACACAACAACATCAAGGTTTTTTTTCTCTTTTTTTCTTTTTTTTTCTTTTTTTCTTTTTCTTTCTTCAGCAGATCGATACTGACGTTGTGATATACTAGTAGTATGTGGTCCATATAGTAAAGAAAGTATTAAACAAAGCGTGCACATGTTTCCTGCATCCGCGATCGGTAAAAAACCAACGATTTCGGCAAAAACTCACGATTTAAAAAATAAAATATTTCTTGGGGCGCTGACAAAAACTGGGGCGGACGGGG